CACTCTAGTCTTGTTCTATTGTGAATTTTACCTCCATGTTGTATTAAATATGCTTAATTTAGAGTTAATTATATCTATAATGGTATTAATGATGTCTAGAGGGTTTTCACGATCTTGAATATGGTTGGTTCATGTGCAAATTATATTTAGTTGTTGATTTCCTATGTTTACTATGTGCTAGCATGCTGAAATTGATGTATGAGAGTATGCTTATTTAAATTGCGCCAAATTTCCCAATTCATGATGTTGAGCTCATATATATATATACATGCACATGCTTAAATGTATTTTGTTGTATCTTAATGTGTTAATAATTACTTGGGAGATGTTGAACATGTTGAATGTTTAATTTTATGATGGAAAATTTTAAATGCCATGACATTGAATGTATGGAACATATATGCATGCACATACCATTGGGTTTGCATGAAATGGGAGAAATTGTTCTTGAAATAAATATGGGGAATTTCAGAGAAGTGTTTTTGATAAAATGGTTTTATGCGAAACCCGGTCACTGCGGGGTTACCAACGGCCGGAGGTTAATATAGCCTAGAGGGGATTAGGGAGTCGCCCTAGCGTGGTTGCGCTAGCTGGGCCCCATAATGACGCCGCGGGGTTACCAAGGGTCAGGGACACTAGCCAATCCTCCTTTCATGTCGCGGCGGCGTTACCAAAGGGCGGGCTGTATTAACGTTTGAAAGTGATGATTTTGAGAATGAAAATGGGGAGTGTCATTGACATGCATTGCATTTCATTGCATTGCATTGCATTGTTTATACTTGGAATTGACTTGTATGTTGTATTTGATCCCCTACGTTGTATGATCCCTATCTCTCATTGGCCTATACTTTGCTTGAATTCACAAGGACACAAGATTTTTGTCTTAAGTGTCACCTACTGAGCATATAGCTCACCCTACTATTTATACATTTTTTTTCAGGTCTTGGAAAAGAACCGGTGAACGACAACCCACCTCAAGCTTGAGCGATACTAGAAGCTCAGTTTTGTGTCTTTTGTATATTTCCCATTATTTTTGCAAAGCACTAAAAGTATAAAGGTATATATGTATATTTTGCAAAACTTTGTCATGTAACCTTGTTGACGAATGGGAAGGATAATTTTCGTTAAAGTAATTATCGGTGTTATTTGATTGTGTATGATCATATACTGTTGCCGTGAATTCGGAAATTGAGCCATGATAGGTTAAAAATGAATTTAAACAGGGTATTGTAGGCCTTTTTTTTAGGGGAGGTTATGCCGAATTTTTTATAAAATTCTTAGCATCAGCTAGGGTCGTTACATTATACTTCATGAGACACTAACAGACCCATCAATTTTCTCCATTTGCATTATGGTTAAAATTTAATAAAAAAATTTAAAAATAAAAATGTCAAGTAGGGTCCCAATGCCTTGATTGATTTGTTAATGTTCATGCATTTGAAGGGTTAGACTGTTTGAACTTTTTTCTTTTTCTTTTTTCTTTTTTTTTTTTTAAAGGTAAATTAGACTGTTTGAACTTGGTATATAGAATGTCATACTTTGACCTGATATTTTATGAGGCGCGCACTTAGGAGGCCTATCGATTTTTTCCATTTGTATTATGGTTAAAATTCAATAAAAAATAAAAAATAAAAATGTCAAGTAGGGGCCCTAATGCCTTAATCAATTTGTTAATGTTCATGCATTTGAAGGGTTAGACTGGTGAACTTTGAATGGGTATATAGAATGTCAAAATCTTTATATAAACACAAAATTTAATTAATATTTTTTCATTCAAGACCCCATGCAAACATCACAGGTGCATGAATATTGCAGATTACAACTAAGTGGTGGGGGGACAATGCACCCTTCAATATGATATGCACCTTTTATGTAAACATGCATAAACAATATATATAAAGTTCTGGCTGCATCAGTTGAGCTTTAGTTATGGCTTTCAAATCCAAGACAATTTCTACCAGTGGTCTATATAAAATTAATAAGGGTCATTATTGTTTTTTTGAAATGATATAAGCTTTAATTGCTAAGCATAAACACATCAAATTCGAGTTTGATAATAATTTGTCACATCTCATATTGTTTGAAAAAGAAGTTGTTAGCACTTATACGCGCGCGTGTGTGTACGAAAAGAGTGTAACATGATCTAATGACACAATCACATTCCAAATATAAGAAATTAAGTAAGTATCCAATCTGTTATGAGTGAAGGGCGTATTGTAACACCTTGGTGTGAAGGTGCAGTGACCTCCACATTAAACATTAATCTTCATCTTAGTCCTCATTATATTAACCAAAGCTTACGTGAGATAAAATAATTAAAAAATTAAAATTTTAAAAAGATTTGGTATATGATAAAAAAGAATGGAAAAATAGAATTCATATTGTTCACATACTTACGGAGAATATAGGCAAGGATGATGTTATTAAAGACTTCTTAGAGCAACTCCATGGGAGCCTTTTGGGCAATTATGGGTCAGATTTAGCTATTGGACTCCTCCAATGGTCTATCCAAAAATTGGGCCCCACCCAATGGCTATGGGAATGAGTAGTTGAAAACCACAACCCACTTGGCGAGCGCGGGCCTACCATGCGGGCCCTCATCAGTTTTTTTTTTAATTTTTTTTTTTTCTAGTTCAAAACTCTGTTCCTAAGGCTCTATTTGTCTGTAAAAAAATTCAAAAAAATTGATTTTTGGCTTCTTTTGGTCTCTTTTTTTTTTTTTTTTTCCTCAAAATAATTGAACCATTATTTTGTTAAAAAAAATCTACTTTTAAAAATATTCCTTCTTACTTTTATGTCCTATCGTATTGTTTTTAATAATAACTATTGTATTGTTTAAATTTTTTGTATGACATAGCCATTTTAAAAATATAGCTGTTAAGAAAAAGTTAAAAAATAAAATTTATTAAAATTTAAAAAATATTAATATTTTTAGAGAGTGAAAATGCATCATTGGAGTATATTCGATAGCTAAAATTTAGAGATTTTAAAACGCTGACGTGATTACGAGAAATACTGACGTAAATATTAAAAAATACTGATGTGGTAAATTCAAAGAACCTACTGAAAATGCTCTTACAAAAGGCAAACAACAATAAAATTGAGGGTCAAATTTGTTAAAGGTTGGGATTGAATTGGCGGCTGTTATTTTCAAAGCTTGATTATATTATAATTATAGGAAGGGGGAAGACAAAAGGAAGACCTTTCTTTTGTTTTTGATCATCTTCTTTACTTCAGGAAAATGATTGAGATGGTTGGAGCAAGTGAAAGTTTCAAATTTTGACTGATTTTTGGTCAAAAATATTTATAAAATTATGTATTCTCAATCACAAGGACAAAAATGTGTTTTTTGAGGTCTGGACAATTTGGCTAGTGATGATGCTAGAGGAAACACAAGGACCATTATGTTCCAGTGGAGGACCCAGAATTTTACTTTGAATGGTCACTCATTTTATAATAGAAACTCTACGGCTAAACATTTAAAAGTTTAATTTGTGAAGTCAAAATTTTAAATATGTAGATGTTAATTAGCATGCTCTCAAAAATTTTGGAATAATTTTTTTAGTGTTCATCAAATACTTTTCATAACAATTCTGATTTGGTAAGTCTTGTAACAATGGTTTACATAGAACAAAGTTTGAAAAACTAGTTATGTGAAGTCTAGTTTAGAACGGTAAATACAGACTTACAATTTTGAGAGAATGACTATTAATCTATTTCAATGGTATGATATCTTCTTTTTAAAGAAAATGTTGTGGGTTCGAATCTACTTACTCGAGTTTTCTGATCTTATTTCTAGTGAGGCTAGAACAAGTGGCCAAGTTGTTAATAATGTGTATTATTATTTTTTTAATATAGTGTATTATAAAAAAGTAGTATTTGAAGGGTCTAATAAAACATACTACCTCCGTCTTATATTAGTTGTCCTTTTCAAAAATTAATTCACAATTTTTGTGAGTCAAAATTATCGAAGTAGACATTTAATATGTGATATAATCATATAAGTAGTATATAAATAAATAAAAAGAATATGATCAAAAATGACTTAGAAATAAAAATTAACATTGAATCAAAATTTTCGAATTAGACAAATAATATGGGAAATTTGTATAAGACTACAAGAGATGAAATTGATACAGTATAATGTCTTCTCGCAAATAAGAAGATGTTAGTCATTAGTTAGAAGCACAGGAAGCAGGGTCAATGGAAGATAGAGAGAGAATGAATGGAAGATCTAGAGAGAGAGAAAGGTATGACAAGTTTAGTTTACCTGAATTCTTGGAGTCGTGAGAAATGAGTGTCTTTGATCAATGCATGGGTCGATTCACCTACAAGTGTCAGCGATCCGAATAAGCATGAAAAAAAAGTCTTATGATCCTATTCTTAATCTTTATTTAACATGGTGCAATTATAAATCAAGCTTGAATTATTATTATTATTATTTTTTATCAGAATTAAGCTTGTATATATTTAGTCATTAGTCATATCACTCATTTAGTAATAAATTAATAATCTTGCTGCATATATAGATCATAAATAAAAACAAAACAAAAAGTTGGTAGCCTCGAGCAGTGGACCAGCCTAAAAACAAAAAAAAAAATTGTCAAATTAACTGTTCTGAGCTCTTTCTGTATGCTCGTATTTAATTATTAATAATATATATATATTTCAAGTTCTCCTAATCCCATAAGGGATAAAGTTTTATTCTACTATATTTAATTACACCCCAATAAATTAAAGGCATTTCTTCTTGCGCTGGCATGGTAGGACCATCCCCACGTGAATACCACGTGCTTTTATGAATGTGAAGTCAGCCTAAGCCGCCCCTCTGTGTCTCTCTCTCACACACACACACACTCACTATATGTAGTATTATACATGTATATTATTTATATAACACAAAGTCATCCGAAGCCAATAGATGAATTGAAAGTACAAACCACCAACTAGTATATAATATCCTAAGTTCATAACCACTACCCACTCTCCACACAAGCAAACATGAACCTCTTCAACTCCCAAGACCAAAGACACTACTCATCCCAGTCCAAACACAACAAAAAGAGACTAACCCAAGACCAAGTGAGCCTCCTAGAGACCTGCTTCGACTCCAACAAGAAGCTGGAGCCGGAGCGGAAGCTCCGTCTCGCCCGCGAGCTCGGCATTCCGCCGCGACAAATCGCCATCTGGTACCAGAACAAGCGAGCCCGGTGGAAGACTCAGAGCCTAGAGCTCGACTACAACGAGCTCCGGCTCAATCTTGAAGCGGCATTGGCCGACAAGAGACGGCTGGAGCGAGACGTCCAACACCTCAGGGGAGAGCTGGAGAAGGCTCGAGAGATGTTGTTTGGTTTGAACCAAGCAGCAGCAGCAGCAGTAGTGTCACCTCCGGCTGTTTCTTCTCTCTCTAGATCTCTCTCTAGCTGTGGTGATCAGGAGAGATGGAGCTCTAGTATGCATGATCAGGATCATCATCATGTGATCAGTTATTCTACTACTACTACTACTACTAATTGGGTGAGTGATGATCATGTTGAGGAGTCTTTGAAGATTGAGGAGCTCTATGCTTGTTTAATGGGTATAAATGAGTCCTCACACTGTGGTTAATTAATTGTGGCACTAAACATGCCCTTATCCTTTTATTTTTATGTTATGCATGTCTCTCTTTAACAATATCAATGAAAATCTTAGTAATTCAAGGGTAAATATTTAGTACTTTCGACACTACCGATAATATAGTACTTATTTTTTTTTGTGAATAATATTTGTTTGTCTTTAATATTTTTTGGTAATTCAAAAACAATTAAGGTGAGAAAAGGTGTTATGAATAATTTAAAATTTCACAAATAAACACTTTTATCAGATTTTATGATCATCAAAGCTAGATTGAAGTGATGAAAGGTTGTCTAAGAATTCACAAATAAGAACCATGTTTTGATTTTTATGACTTCAATAATCGTTATCTTCAAATTTAAATTTTGGAAGAATTAGAAGTACAGGAAATGAAAGGAGAACGTTATATTATGGCAAGTGAGATAACCGAATCATCATATTCAAATTAATTTTAATTTATTGCGTGTAATTCAACTTCGAGTTCCTTCATATAAAGTTCTTGACTTTTTAATTGCATGCAATTCAACTTTTGCGGTCTATCAATAAAGGCAAACCATTTGTATGAACTCCTTAGGCTTAGTGTGGATACATTGATGAAATTATAAGGAAAAGAAAAGAAAAAAAAGATAGAGAGAGGGATAGTGATGTTCATATTTGGTTTGTCAATGAGTAGAGAAAGGAGAGAGGATTTGGAGAAAAATGATTTTGTTATCCATCCAAAAGTGAAAGTTTTGAAAAGAAAAGATAGCAACTTAAGTGATGCTTTCATAATTTAAGGAAGAAAAAAAAAACCATAGATTCAAAAGATATTTGAGCCCACTTTAACATCAGGGTATGATAGTAAATTGGTCAAAATAATTTCTTTTATTTTCCTCTTATTTACCTTTTCCAAATTAATAAAAATCTCATCATTTTCTTTCCTTTCTTTTATAATTTATCGAAACATAAATATAGGTTATAAGTTATAACTAACTTTTCTTTTCTTTTTTATTTTCTCCCATCACTAATGTTATCTTTCTCTTTTCTTTTCTCTCTTATTTATCCAAACAAGCCTTATATAACATCTGTACAATTAATTTGCCCTTAGTTATTGCAAGTATCTTATCAAGGATGGCATATGGTTGACTCCATCCTATCCATACAAGTTTTAGGATCATAATTTGGCTCTTAGACGCTTAAATGCATTAGAATCAAAAGGTTTGAGAATTATTGGATGTAAACCAAGTATATGGAATGCAAATTTAATAGATATATAGATGTAACTAGTAGAATTGGAGCAGGTTAGACAAAATGGAGACAAGCTAGTGCAATTTTATGTGATAAGAGAACACATAAGTTAAAAGGAAATTCTATAGGACCGTCATTAGACCAACTATATTGTATGGAGTGGAATGTTAGGCCTAAGAAAGAAAAAAGAATAATGCCTTCATGTAACGGTAATGAAAATGTTAATATGGATGAGTGGAGTGACTAGTAGGCCAGGCCACTTAGAACGACCGAAACTCGGGAATCCGAAACACTAACCGGGTCCTTACCCGAACCCGTACCCAAGGGTAAAATGGTCAATTCTAGGTATGGAAATAAATGAGATGACTCTGAGTAAGTCATACAAGATCAAAATAAGTCCAAGTGATTATTTGAACCCATATCGCAAGGTTCTAGACACAAGAATGGTGATTTCACACATTCGCCTCCTTCGATTACAAGGATTAATTCCCAGAGCAGTCCGTACTAAAAAGACCATAACTTTCTTTAAAAATGGAATATATGGCTGAGATTGGTATCGTTAGGAAGTTGACTTAAAAGCCTTGAAATTGGACTCAAATTTGACCCATTTGGAATTAAATTAAGGAGATATGGTCATTTAAAGTCGGACTATGAAAGCTGGTACACTGGGTTGTGTCGGTCGGCTGAAGCCATGGGTCAGCTGGTCGAAAATGGATGGTCAGCCGGCCGAAACAACCTCCCAGGCTTCCCTACATTCTGTTCGAGCCAAAAAAGCACTGTCGGTCGGCTGGCTTATATCACCAGCCAGCCGACAGACCTTGGGAGGTGAAAAATGGCCAGTTTACAAGGACTAATAGCTATGGACTTCACCTACATCAAATATATGGATCCTAATGCTATCCAAACAATAATCTAAGTCAAACAACATGGCATAGAAATGTCGTTACAACATATGTGAGTAAATGAGGCATGCAAAAGTATGCATTTAACATAGGAAGCATACTTTGAAATGAAATGGCACCTTGGCCCCAATTACATCAATTTGAAATCACTTACATAAACATTCCCTAATATTAGTACATAAGTTTATGTCTATAAAGAAAGAAAGGAACAACATTGAGTTTGAAATCTCAAAATATACAATAAGGTGTGTTTACAACAAAATACATCAACAATGAATCAAGACATGCCATTGACTCCAAAAGTCATCCTAAACAACTCCTTTCCTGAAAAATGTTTGTAATAAAAGGGGTTAGCACCACGTACCGCTCAATAAAGTATTTGCAAAACATCGCTCTTAAAGTCCCGAAATAGACACATATAGAAAATGAAGGTTAAGATAGGAGGATCATGTTATTCCGGGAAAAATAATGAAATCAACTATACATTGCATTAATAACAATATATATGTATCAACTTAATCACATTCACACACACACACACAAGTCCATCACGAGACTAACAATGCAATCAATGCTTATGTCATGAATCCTCCCGAACCAATTCCATGATCTTATCCTACACACAATTTTATTTTCCTAACCAACCATCTCACTACACAAATCCACACTAGAGGCTACTACCTCCAAATGGCACAAATCTACGACTTGTCCACTATTTGGAACACTGGTTAGCTATTCCTGGCGTGAGACCACCACTCATCGAACCATTTGCGGCCTAGTTATCGAAATCTCAAAAATAAGACTACCGTTTGTCTTCCGTCCATCACAATTCCACTAACTTGAAACCTCATCTTTTCTACATTCCCCTTTCCACTCATATATTCTCTACCCAATGCATAAGCTAAAATACCTCCACGAATGCACCTAACTAGCATCATGAAATGAATATGCCAAGCATGCTTCTACCACGAAACTCAACGCATTACTTCACATAATTAATTTACCAAATATCAAGCATGTTTATTAAACATTTACACAATTATCTTTACATGCAAGATTGGCATATTTTTATCATATAAGACATACTAACTATTTTCTCACAAAATCATTTCAGCATACTATTGGCACAAATTTAACATACAATCATACTTGTCACTTTTCCACATAGATGACATAAATTATACACAACTAAACCTTATACAAAACATGCCAATAACTTATAGTTTCATATAATCAATTAAATTACTACAATGATGTAACCATAGCATGCTATAACACAAAATCAACACATAAAAACTCACAAAACCCCAAGACTCCATGAATTAGACACCTCTACCTCAAATTAGGGTGAAAACCCTAATCCTACCGAAATCAAAATACCTCCCTCGCGAAACTGGCTCCGTAGGATGAAAGAGGAGGCGAAGGAGATCAACATTTCCTCTTGAAGCAACCACATAAGCTCAAGTCCACGACTAGGTCAAAATCTTAAAGTGCTCCAATAGACTTCATAATCACCTCATGTTGTAGATCAAGAGATGCTCTACAATATCTCTAACTAGCGCCTCTTCTAAATCTTATCTCCAAGAAACCCGAATTCGATCCCAAAGTGGCTCAAATCTCTAATTTCTTTCTATGGGTGTGTAGAGGAGAAGGAGAGGAAGAACTTTCCATTCTAGAGCACCCTTAAAATCATGGGTTAAGGGCCTTAAATCTAAACTTTTCGAAACTTATATATGAAGGTTGATATATGATTAGATATAGAGAGAGAAAATGTGAGGAATAAGAAGGTGAATAGTGGCCAAAATTACAAATAAATCATATATATAGTCCCACACAACTTCTTACTAATTACGTCATTTAACCCAAATTTTCATAGCTAATTACTTCCTTCCTCCAAGCAACTTTCATGAAATTACACTAAGGCAGCACTGAAAATATAACAATAATGCCTTCCAAAGGCCTTTAATTTAAGCCCTCGCCATTTCCGCGCAATCGGGCAACCCTGGACCTACAGGGAACCTTCCGGTCCAAAATTTCAAAAATGACCACAATGAACTCAAGTGAGTTTTCTAAGGGTTTTAATCCTAAAGAAACATCCCAACCAACTTCCGGAATACCATGGCACGCATCCCCATGCACAATTAAAAAAAAAAGCCTGAAAATATTGAAAAAATCCAGGACGTCACACCACGAATAAAAATGTGAGAGAAAAATTAGGGGTAAAGTCTATTGGTGAGAAAATTCGAGATAGTAGACTTAGATGGTTTAGACACGTACACGTACACGTACATTAATTCTAATAAAAGGTAAGAGATCGAAAAAGTGATAAAAAAATAGGGTAAATTTCACTTACCTCCCCTAAGGTTTATCAAATCTCACATACACCTCCGCTACGTTTCTTAATCTCACTTATCTCCCCTATCAATGACTTTTCTACCGTTTTGCCTATGAAATGTTTATTGTAATTTCAGACATTAGAAGGGCAAAATGGTCAGGCAGGGGAAAATCTGTTACATAAACTAGAACCTCAGGAGAGGTAAGTGGAATTATGAAATGTAAAGGGACCTATGTGGAATATTGACAAATCTCAGGAGAGGTAAGTGAAATTTTAGTAAAAAATAACATGGTATAAGATTATTAGAAATGATTTTTAAAAGTTAAAGTAGGTGAAATGACATGTAATAAAAAAGTTTGAAGAGAAAATTCATGTAGCGGACACCATTTATATGAGAATGAGGCAAGGATGATTATAGTGATTATGAATTTTATTTATTAACAAATAATCTATGAATATATACACATTAAAAATGGGTTATTACTTCTAATTACATATATTAGGATCTTCATCTTTCAAGGAGAAGATGAAGGGTTCAATTTGACCTAGTGATGGACTCATATATTTAAATTTTTAGTGGGGGCAATGCTGAATAATAATAAGAATAATTTTTTTTTTTTTTTTTTTTTTTGAACCAGGATAATTAATTCAAATCCGTAAATGTTTGTTGATAATAATTTCATTCAATAAATTTATAATTGTATTATATGAGTCTTCATCTTCTTTTTTTTATTAGGTGATACTCACACACACGTCTTTACTTAGGTAAGAGCGTGGTACCACTAGGTCACAGGCCTGTTAGTGAGTCTTTACCTTTTAAAGTATATAATATACGGAAAAAAAATCCCAAGAGGTACCAACAACCCTACTGGGCCTCACATACGTCCGTCCCTGATCTGATTCTCTTACGTCCGTCCCTGATCTGATTCAAATTGTTTATGTGCATTGTTTCGGCTCAAATTGTTTATGTGCAATATTGTATGCTTTATATAGATGAATATCAATTATTTTTGAGAATATTTTCTTTTACTTAAGTGAACAATGGACGCAATTAAATGAGATTACCTTTGCATTCTCTCCTCCTCCTCCATCTTCTTCTTCTTTAAAATTATTTCATTTGTCAAAGGACTTCATAATAGTTGTCTCAACTATTGACACCGGCCATACAATTAATCAAAACATGCCCCAACAATTCAGCAACAAGAGTTATGAACTCATCATGACTGAGCTTAAAATAGTCAAATTTATGCAAGTGTAGGTAAAGAGTTCATATATAACAATCTTATTTAAGAGTCAACATAACCTTATTTACAATTCAGCAACAACAGTTATGAATTCATCCTTAAAATAGTCAAATTTATGTAAAGAGTTCATATATAACCATCTTATTTAAGAGTCAACATAACCTTCAACAAATTGCTTAACTCCATTTAATAGGCTCTAGTACCATTTGGCATGCCAAAGTGGAACAACTTGGCTCCATGGGTCAACTTCTGACACGCACGTACAATATCAAAATCTGACATCAACAATAATCATTTTTTTCAACATTGTAGGGTAGTTTTGCATAAACCTCCATAACTACATACTTTGACGAGCATAATTCTTCTCCCTCATAGTCATACTCCTAATAGCTACGGTGGAAGAGGCCATCAGTCTTTTAGTGCAGGTCTGTGGAAGACCATCGGTCTTGAAGGCTAAACCTACTCAAAGTTGTATATATATATATATATATATATATATATATATATATATATATATATTGTATTCCCATGCCAAAGTGGCTTAATTATTAAAACTTCAATATTACAAGTTGCTTCTTCTTCACATTCCCGTTGAATGAACTAGAAGCCTTTTCTTCTTATCCTTCGTTTGATTAGCTGGAAATAGCAAGAAATTTTTTTTTTTTTTCAAGAAAAACAGAGTGTTTTTAAAAAAACCATCCTCCTCCTTTTACTTTTGGCTCATAAAGAATCAAATTTAATTTTTGACTTCTCTTAAATGTAAATAATTTCTTAGAAGAGTTTGAGTACTAACTTAAAAAAAAAAAAAAAAAAAAAAAAAAAAGAAAAAGAAAAAAAAGAGCTTTTGATTTCTGTAAACGACCATATAAAAATATTTTCAGATGATCATTGCGCAGGATGCATGTATAGTAAGAGCTGACAGTGAGTCTCTTGAGATTCATTAATATTGGTGACTTCATAATAAGAAGAAAGTCCGTCATTAACTTATGGCATGCCAAAGTGGAAAAATAGTGTCTCAACATCTGAGAGAATTAATATGTCAAAAGCTGAGATAGATAGACTTTAATTTCATTTCCATTTTGAACATATATTCAGCTGACATAGGGCTGCTGATCCTACTATATAATTAGACAAAAGAGGGAGAGCATTGGATTCAAAGTGTTTGAATATGAAGTGTACCTAAGAACCTAAGTGACCTTTCATATTGAGGATTTAAGTCAAAAAGCCCTTTTCATCAATCGATTTCCTTCCACTAATAACAATATAAAAAATTTACATGGCTTTCTCACATTTTAAATTTGAGTTGCGGTAAAAAAATACTTTTATAATATGCGTGCAGAGTATATAATTTTTTATACGTTTTAAAAGTGTATTACTATTTTTACATTCTAATAAGTCTTTAACCTTTAATTTTAGAGCAACCAAGGAATTAAATGTCAAAAGACTAAAATACCCTTCCATAACTGAATAAAAAAATACGTAAAAAACTAATTAAATGTTAAATGACTAAACTTTCTATCTTTTCTTTCTCTTTTTTTTTTTTGGGTTGTTTCTTCATCATCACCGTCGTATATCTAAACTATCGACAATAGAACAGCGACGATAACTTGATATATTCTGCAACGATGTTCTTACTATCGAGGACAATGACTTACCCTTGTCAGTTCAGTGTGTGTGTGTGTGTGTGTGTGTATAAGGGCATTATTAGAAGAGATAATGACGTTTTTAAAATTTTATACATCAACAGTAATTTTAAGCCATTTTTTGTTCATTTTTCAAACTTAATGGGACTTATATACATAACATAAGCCTTTTTGGTTTTTTGTTTTTTTAAAATTTAACAAACTTATATATACAACATAAAGAATAGATGTATTATTTGTTCAAAATGTAAACATTTGGAGTGGTTTTCTCACTTTACCTTCTAAACTATAAAAGAGAGAGACATTCAGGCATAAATTAACTAGTCATACTAAAACGAAATGTGATGATACAAGTGACCTGCTAGACAAATTATTTGAGAACATGCTCATCTTACAAAAGGACATGAATCATCTCACCAATTCAAATCGTATAATTGACAATCCACTCCATATTGTCTTCTACAAGACTAAGCGCATCTTCAATTAATGCTTCAAGTTTCATACCTTAAATTTATTTGAGGTATGATGTGACAAATTGACATATGACATTTTAGCATACTCTATCAATATGTCTAATTTATTAATTTATTAATATTTAAAATTTCGTGCCAAATTTGAATTGTTTGTGGGATCTATAGATTAAAATAATGAGAAAATTTTATTTGGCATACCATTTTTTGATAAGTCAAATTTGACATATTTAATAATATGCTAAATGCCAAGTAGGCATTTGAGATATGATTGGAGGAGTTCTTGGTGTAAAAAATAGTTGTTGCAAATGTCACATAAGATTTGACATATTAATGGGAGATGCTCTAATACTTACATATTAATGGCCAAAAGATGTCACAAAAATCAAACCAATCAAAATTTAGGCTATGTTTTTTAAAAAATATTTTTTTTTTCAAGTAAAATATTCTTTTATTTTCATTTTGTCGGGATTTGGCATAGGTTTACGTCCAGATTGAGGTCAAATCCATCAGGTTAGGCATGTTGCCGAAAATTGATGGATAATTTATTTTTATTATATTTTAATATTTTTTTCTTAGTAATTATTTTACGACAACCAAACATAAGAAAATAAAAAAAAATATTTTTTAAAAATATTTTAAGCCCAAATAAACGGAGTCTTAATGTAAAATATTTTTCTTGAAAAAGATTTTTTTTTTGAGGTAAAATATATATATATTTACTATTTTTGTATTTGGTAAAGGTCTAGATTAAAATTAAAGTCAAATTTATTGGGCTAAGTATAAAATATCTTGTCGAAAATTAATGAATAATTTTAATATTTTTTTTTCACAAATATTTTACGATAACCAAATACCAAAAAAATAAAAAAAATTATTTTTTGAAAATTATTTTAAATCCAAACATAATAGCCTAAAAATGTAGTATAACTTTTTCTTTTTTTTTTTTTTTTCATTTTTGAGACTATATCCACTGCTAAAACCGTTCTTAAACCCCCAAAACTCGAAAAGCCGCACCGCGTCGTTATGATGGCGTTTTCTAGGGTTACAGTCACTAGTTCTTCTCTGTTTCGTCGGAGTTTTCTGTCATCCCTCAATCCTCTATCTGTATCTCCTTTCACTCTCACTCTTCAATCAATTCGTAGAGTCACTCTCTCTGCTTCTCTCTCTACCCAAGAATCAACTCCTTCAATTGAATATGCATCCCCCAAGAATAGCAACCGTTGGAAGCCAATGTGTTTGTACTACACGCAGGGTAAATGCACAATGGTAAGCTTTCCCAAAGCGCATAAAGTAGCTAAATTCAACCAATCCTTTCCATACATACATGAGTATGTGTGTGTATATATATGTTGCTTATTGAAATGTGTTGCTGGTAAAATTTGACTGTGGCTTGCTGGTAATTGGATTTCTATGTATTTTGCACACCACGTGTTCGATTCGAACTGTCTAAGAGAAGAATCAATTTGCTGCTGGTCTAATTGTGGTTCTCAATTCTGCAGATGGATGATCCTGTACACCTACAGAAATTCAATCATAATTGCTCTGGGGAGCTTAAATTAAATGCGTCGGAGTGCAGGAACATGCGGTCTCAGCAGTTAGATTTTTTTCTTGTCCTTGATTTAGAGGGAAAAGTTGAGATTCTTGAGTTTCCTGTTTTGATGATTGATGCAAAAACCATGGATGTTGTGGACTTCTTCCACAGGTTTGAATTCGTTTTCTTATGGTGTGTTCAAATATGATTGAAATAACCTGTTCTTTTTGTGCATTCTGTTCTGTGAGTTAGGGAATATAAATGTTTTTCTTTCTTAAGGGCTTTTTGGTAGGTCCTGTTGAGTGTTGAAAACTGAAACGTTTCAGTGGTTTCTTTGTTAAGTGTATTTGATAATATATCAGTAGTTACCATTTCTTGATTTCACTTAGAAGGGTTTGACTTTTCTAGATTTCACTTCGAAGGGTTTGACTTTTCAGTTAGAGAGACGATTAATATTGCTAAACAAACTTATTCAAGGTTGTTTTAAAATAAAATTTGAATCAAAATACTTTTGCATTTGTAATCCATCACTAAAGACATCCACATAGTCTTGTTAGCATCTTGTTAGTTTTAATTTTTCTTGGGAAAAATGATTAGAAGTACATTTGTAAGTAGCCGACATAGCACGGCGGACATGACAGAATTAGATATTTGGAGTCAAGTTTTGGCAACAAATACCCTCACTCAAATAGAATAAGCATATGATCTTAATCAGTAGCAAAATTAAATTTAATAAATCACATCTTTGTTCATAACCTTAAATAAAAAAATTAAAAAAAACTTATTGTAAAACTATAAAGCATTGGTTGGCTGCAATGCAAGCAACTACTTGATTTGGTTCACATTCCATAATAATTGGACACTTTATTTTTCTGTAACTTCTTTATTAAAGGGAGCTCTTTTTGATATTAGGATCAATAAGGGAAACAAAGTAATTTGGTGTGAGGCAAACAGCCTCAAAAAGATCGTTGGGTTACAATCGCTAAAAAGGCGCAATTTTGAGAAAATAATTTATATGTGTTAAATTAAAATCTTTTTCCCCAGAAGATTTTATTATTCGTACTGATAACCAAGCAGTCAAGGATTTCCTAATAAACAAAAAGAATTGTTTAGAAGATATTTCGGGCTGTGGGTTAGCTTGTATTTCTTCATCAACAGATTCTGAGCCTTGCTTTAAATTGAATGACATTCATTGGAGCTTCTGCATCAATACCTTGGACACCAATGGGATGTTTAGAAATTCGACAGTGGTGTGAAGATGTTCTGCTGAATAGGATGGGTAGTCCATAACCAGAGAGGTGCCAAAGCCTGCTTTGCAGTCAAACTTGCTGAAGATTTTTGCCGACATCCAATTTAAGGAACAGTACAAAGCAAGATTCCATCTTATCTTCTTGAAGACTGTTTTCCTTTTGGTTCATCTATTTAAACCGATGCTAACCGACTGCAACCAATCCAACACACGATATAGGCGATGTCAATTCAACTATGAGAGGAAGATATTTCGGGCTGTGGGTCAGCTTGTATTTCTTCATCAACAGATTCTAAGCCATCAGAATTGTTTCTGGAGCAAGATAAATATGAAATCGTTTTATTACCTATTTAATTGCCAGAAGTTCTTTTTCAGAAATCTTTTGTATTCTCTCTCCCTCTCTTGTAAAACATTCTCAGTTACAGATGGGTGATCGAGGCAAACAACCTCAAAAAGATGGCCGCCTTTTTAGCGATTGTAACCCAACCATCTTTTTGAGGCTGTTTGCCGGTTTTGACTGGTCAATGGAACCTGTCGATTGGGGAGTTCTTCAAGTAAAACTCCAACTTTCAAACCTCAAAATGGATCATGATTCTCCTGGTTTAGGAATGGAAGTCCAGGATTATAGAAGTCTATTACCTCTATTGTTTCTTGTCGTTTTGCAAAACAGTGAAAGTTGCCGACAAACTATTCATCAACAGTGAAAGTTGCCGACATCCACTTTCTTCCTTTACAGTTAAACGAAAAGACAATTTCTTTAACTTTGAAGAATTTAACAATTCTGATGGCTCAGAATCTGTTGATGAAGAAATACAAGCTGATCCACAGCCCGAAATATCTTCTGGCAATTAAATTGGCAATAAAACGACTTCATATTTATCTTGCTCCAGAAGATTTTATTATTCGTACTGCAGTTTACTTCTCATCAAGAAGATGAAACCTCTTTTAAGACAAAATTTCTCTGATATCACTTTAAATCTGTGGAAGTCCTTGACTGCTTGGTTATCAGTACGAATAATAAAATCTTCTGGAGCAAGATAAATATGGGTCTCAATTCATCGACTGCTCAAACCGGAACAGCAATCGAAGATCTACAGCAAGGATTCACGCCATCCAATAGTACTGGAGATCCAGAAGGTCATGTTGCGACTGTTAATTACTTCCCAATCGACAGGTTCAATTGACCAGTCAAAACCGGAAGATATTTCGAGCTGTGGGTCAGCTTGTATTTCTTCATCAACAGATTCTGAGCCATCTGTAAAGGAAGATAACTGTAAATAAAGTTACGTCTTAGAATGAAATTTGTCCCATCCAGATGGTTCTCTAGAGTAATTTTGGTATGATAAATTTTTTGTCATTTAACCAAATAGTAATATCTTTTTCAGTTATTGGGAAATGATTCGTCTAAGACAGTGCCTCACAATTGACTGGGAAAAAGATTTTAATTTAACATATATAAATTATTTTCTCAAAATTGCCCAGGAGGAAAAACATTTCTTGCTTTTTCAAGAATACAAATACGATTGATTTTTGCAAAAGTATTTGTATTCTTGAAAAAGTAAGAAATGTTTTTCCGCCTTTTTAGCGATTGTAACCCAACCATCTTTTTGAGGCTGTTTGCAACCAATCCAGCACACGATACAGGCGCTGTCAATTCAACTATTCATCAACAGTGAAAGATCACCGATCTGTAGACAACGAAATGTCTTTGTTAGATATTTCAATGTGATTCCTGCTTAAAAAATCTGCTTCATGATTATCAAGATTAAAATTCTTTATTGTTATAGGATGGTGGGTTGATCAGTTCCTTTTCGGAAAAGAGAAGTGATCTTAATTTGGTATCAGAGCCTCACACCGAGCTTGGACCACTATTGTAAGTTTTCCTTAATGCCTTAATCGGAGGTATTCAATCCAACCTTGTCAACATCAACAGATTCTAAGCCATCAGAATTGTTAAATTCTTCTGTATTAGATTGATCAGAGAAAACATGTATTTGTTCTTCTGGCCTTTCCCACCTTTACCCGAAAGGATGACCTCAATAAGTATCCTATTTCATACAAGATAAAAAGCAACTACAGAGTTTTTTAGGAATCCTGAATTATAGCCGTACCTTTATTAAAGACCTGTCTCAAAAAGAGCTCCCTTTAATACTATTTGTTCAGCACTGTTTGTTCAGCAATGATTGAAGTAAGATTACTCATGTGTTGACCTTTCCCACCTTTACCCAAAAGGATGACCTCAATAAGTATGAAATTTGTTGTCCATGACTAGAGCAAGAATGGGTTGATCAGACTTTTCGTCACCTCTCTGGTTATGGACTACCCATCCTATTCAGCAGAACATCTTCACACCGCTACGACTGCCACACACAGTTGAAAATTTTCTCTGGATCCTACCATACCAGTAGAGAAATGGCGACAAATGAAACATCGAACCGATAACCTTGGTTTTCGTACGAATTTCATTTATCGTCTTATCAACGAAAAATGTTTGCAGACAATTTCTTTAACTTCGAAAGACAAAATAGTTAAACAGGAAATATGGGCTTTAAACAGTAATCAAATGTATGACCTTCTCGAGAAAAAGCTCATAGAAAGGACCAAAAGTCCTCATAGTAGCCCCGCTTTATGGTAAGAAACCATTGTACAGGCGCTGTCAATTCAACTATTCATCAACAGTGAAAGTTGCCGAGGCAAACAGCCTCAAAAAGATGGTTGGGTTACAATCGCTATAAGGATAATAAGAGGATGTTTCATCGGAGAAACATACTTTCTGAGCATAATAAAACTTCTGGCTTTAACTTATCTATGGAGGAATGATCCTCATATTATGAGTCTCCCGAGAAGTCACCTTATTGGAAAGCTATTGGACATTCTTTACTACTGATGCCTTCCTTGTCAGTCTGCAAGATCATTACTTTCATGCTGATTTCTTTTTTCTTTTTCTTTTTTAATAAAGTCTTTTCCTTTTCATGATTATGTTAGAAACAATAATTTGCATTGAAGGAGCTTGATTTTACTTTCTTCTTTCCACGTTCCATACAGGTTTGTAAGGCCCACAGAAATGAGTGTGCAAAGGATAGACGAATATATTGAGGGAAAGTACGGAAAACTAGGCGTTGATCGGTATGTTGTTATTTCGTTTTTAACTAGCACACTAATCATATCTATCATATTGTGACAATTTAATTCAGTAACTCGTACTTCCTCCTAAGGAAGATCTCTGTCTGGAAAAATTGTTACAAAATCTGCTGTTTGATATCCTTGAAAAACAGATATTTCTAGTTTTCTGTATTGATGCTGGGAGGATGATATAGATTACATAGATTTGCAGTGTCTGGCATGATACAGCTATCCCATTTATGGAAGTTATTGAACAATTTGAAGTTTGGATGGCTCAGCATCACTTGTGGGGAAAGGAGCTGGGTGGGCCTCTAAATAAAGCTGCATTTGTAACTTGGTGAGTTCACTGTTTTGGAGAGCTTATATGAGAGAGAAGCTCGCCTAAATTTTTGGTTCAAACCTATTCATTTCTGTTTCTTCTTCAAGTTTAACTGGATTTGGGTCTACCTAATTGCCACTTCAAGACAAAAGCTACACTCTCTTATGTATAGAAACATAAATTTGTAAATTTGGGCAACATTGATTCAAAATAACATCTTTGTATGCCTTCCATTTCCGTGGACAAGAATAAATGATTTTATATGTGGAAAGTGGAAGCAACATCTAGGACCTGTTTTTCTGACATATCTTTGTTTTACTTTTGGTAGTGGGAATTGGGATTTGAAAACAAAGGTACCTCAGCAATGCAAAGTATCAAAGATGAAACTTCCCTCCTACTTTATGGAATGGATAAATTTGAAGGATGTCTATCTGAACTTTTACAATAGGAGGGTGAGTACATGAGATGTTAAGTTTTATTCTTACAAATTGGCTGCTCTTTTCCTTTTCTGTTTACCCTTGACGTGGCATTTTCTACCTTAGATAAATAGTTTGTATTTCTAGTGTTGCTATGCAATTTGTGTTTCATTCATTGACATCAAACATAAACCAAACCAAGGCTTTATCGCATGAACCTGATAATTGACTAAAGGGAGACAGTTTATACAATGCTTAACTTCTCAACTCTAGACACTGGTTTCTAATTTTAGTCCAGGTTGGATTTAATTGCATTGTAAACAAGATCTCTTTTATATTGAGTCAGTGAAGATGCAATTGATGACCCACTGCTGCCACATATGGGGATAGAACTGGCCTCCAATGTCATGTTGGATGGTCCAGCTCCAATTTGGCGGACCAGACCAAATTGCACTCTGAATTTCTATCATTCCCAAGTGATGTGTTCTTTCTCTATTTGCTTTTCTGTTATTGACATGGCCTGTATTTGGATGGCAGGCCACAGGAATGATTACAATGATGAAGGAACTTCAAATACCATTGCTAGGAAGTCACCATCTTGGGATCGATGACACAAAAAACATAGCAAGAGTGTTGCAACAGATGCTCGCCGATGGTGCACTTTTACAGATTACTGCAAGGAGAAATCCTAATTCTCCCGAAAATGTTGAATTTCTTTTTAAAAATCGTATTAGGTAGATGCTCGCAGACGGCTTGGTCCGCATATTTGTTTTGCACAAGGTTTACATTGCAATTGTAATAGTATGTCATTGCTAAAAAAGGAGGAATTTGATTTCTCATAAGTCTCCGCTTTGCTTTGCTGATTTGGCGTTATTGCAATGAAGGCTGTGGAAGGTGTAATTTCTTTCGGCATTGTATGACAACAGATAAAAGTGAACAAATATCTGCTTAACTCGATGGATGTGTTCTCCTTGCAATGCGAGGGTCCTGAGTTTGGCTCTATGTTTTGGCGCCATTTGCATCTTGTTTTGTGTGTTTTGAGAAAAGATGTTGAAAATTACTGAGTTGGTGCTTTTTGCTGTGCAATTTGGTTTGTAAATCAGTCAAGTCGAACCAAGTCATTTTTGAGAAGTGCTGTGGAAACTCAGCTTGAGCTCTATTTAATGAACTGCTCTCCTGTGGTGAGCACGGATTTTACCATGTGTGCAATCAAGGAATTGCAACTCGGTAACAAGACAATGAGTATGCATAGGCCTGCAAATAGGTTTGGGCGCTCGTACGCACGCATATGTATGTGCAAATGAGAGAGGGTTGAACATACCAATTGGGAGATTTTTTTTTTTTTTTTCAAACAGGTTTGGGCGCTCATACACATATATGAATGGGCAATGGGAGAGTATTGAACATACCAATTGGGAGATACATATATATATATTTCTTTAAGTTGACACTCACAAACTCTCCTTTGAAAAAAATTTTGGACCTAAGAGGAGTCCATCCCTAAACGCACTATTTCAAGAGGAACTGGGGATAAATAGTCTTTTTTTTTTTCTTTTTTTCTCTCAACTTATGTAATACAAGTCGGTAAATAGTAATATTTGATGTCGAGTGCATTTATTTAAGAAGGAAAAAATAAAAAAAAAATGAGAGTGCGAAAATAGTCTCCCATAACAAAGCCGATACTAAACATTCCTTTTAAAGCAGATATTTGAGGAGAGAAAAATGGAAAAATAGGGACTTAATCAGACTCTCTCTCTGTGTCTAAACCCACAATGATACACAACAACTGTCAACACCTACTCTCCTCCAACGCAACATCCCCATCCCCAACTGTCTCCTTGTTCATTTTCCTTTTGTCCACATTGCTCTCCCTCCACTCCACATTGTCTCAGCCCTCCTCCGAACCAGAACCAGAACCAAACAATGGCTTTGCCCAAGTCCCACCCACCACAACCGCACCAGAGGACGAACCCATCGAACTACCTCCTTCCACTCCATCCATTTTCGCAACCACAGACGACCCTTCACCTCTCCAAGTCGCCACCAGTGTCTGTCTTCCTCTTCCGCTCTCTCCATCTCGTGCAAAAGCGAGCCCAAGAATGGTATACCCACTGTTTGCTTGTATGCGTGTGTGTGGACATATAGTTCTGTCCTTGAGCTTTTATTTTGTTTCTAATTAATTGGGTTTTGGTGGAATTCGAAAGTTAGGTCTTGAAGAGTAAAAACATGGTTGAAGGAGAAAGCAATCGATAGCTCCAATGCAATGACCCGGCACCGGTTGGACGCCAAGACTCCACCTTTGCCTGTTCAGACACTTTCAGATGATTTCTCGGTTAGTTTCTCAACTGCCTTTGTTCTTTGTTTGTATTCGAATTGGTTCTCCTTCGCTTGTTAAATCCATGTTCATGATAAATGTTAGCAATTTTTTTTTTTTTTTTTTTGATAAGTATGATAAATGTTAGCAATTAGAAATCATAATTTGTAATTTTTTCAGGACACTCGTACCAATTCAAAGAATATCACTACCTCATTAACTTAATGTGGACATAATAGCAATGAAGTTCATATACCTTATTTTCGAGAAAATTAGGATCAAAACATGAATCATCATTCCCCTCCATTATGGTATATATGGTCAAGTCCCTTTACGATACAATTTCTCTGCATAGCAATTGTAGTAACAAGAAAATCTGATAAATGGGCTTTCCTCAAGAATCTTTTTCTAGAACATATATTTAAAAACTAAGGGTGTTGAGTTTCGTGAGCATTCTCTCAATCCATCGTCTACGTAACAACATTTTGTAAAAGGTAGTAAAATATCTAATCTAATCATTGAAATAATCTACAAAACCACCCTTACTTGGAATGAGCCAGAATTTGGGCTGCAAATAAACATGAGTAAATGGACTATTGCTAGTAATAATGAAAGTGTAAATCATCTGATTTCTGACGTAGCTAAGAGATAAACTTCGCTGCTGATGTTTTGATAGAACATCAAAACTCGTTTCCCTTTAGGCTTTACGACAGCCAAACTCTAAGAAATAATGCTAACAACTAATGATGTTGTCAATAGCCCAGCTGGTACAAACCTACCTCCCCAAAGGGGAGGTCGTGGGTTCGAGCCTTAGTGGAGGCATGGGTGTGTGAGTTTGCTTAACCTTTCAAAAAAAAAAAAAAATGACTAATGAAGTTGTCAGTTTGGAAAAGTTCCGAAATTTCATTTTCTTAACCATGTAAAAACCAGTGAGTAACTTGTGGGACATCTAAAAGGCATGTATTCGATGTACTTGCCTCGTGTAAACTACTGTCACAGAAAATTTAATTAAACAAAGACTAAAAATATTCTACTTATATTAATATGTAAAAGAAAAATCCAGACAATATATATATATATATATATATATATATATATTCTTATATGAAATGTGTTGTTTTTTGCTTATATGGGAACAAATTAAGATGGTTGCTGTGTTTCCTTTGCAGTATTCCTCTTTATCCTTTAACTCTAATTTGTTCTTGTTTATCTGCTTTCAGGTTCGCCGAATAACAGTAAGGCAACGCCTTCAAGGCTGTGACTTATACTTTCATCACCTGTCATTTTATATAAAATGTTCACAGACCTGTTTCATTTACTATTTGCAGGACTATTGCTAACAGATTGTGCTATCAATATTTGTTCTTGGCATCAAGTCTGTAGGTTTATCCCCTTACTCGGGCGAGCTTTCTATCAACTTCTTCATGGGAGATCCTACTAGTAAAGATACTCAGAAGTCAAAATAAAGATGAAGTGCAGTTAAGTTCAACAAATTTTACAGCCAAGACCCACAGATAGCTCTGAAACGGACATCAGTGATGAGGAACAAAGTTCAGATAATACGCAGTAATGGAAGACATTGAAGGAACAGGTTTCATTTCATCTGCCCAATTTGTAGAGCACATCCATTCAGTTTATATAATTTTATAGTCTTGGTTTTTCCTTGATCACAATGCAATCCCTCCTTTATATAATAATTAGCGTAGTATTATAAAAGATTGCTTGGGTAAAGGCCAATGCGTAATAATAGCAGTTGATATGGATTTTGAGTAATGATTTCCTTTTCTTTCTAAGACTTTGGGGAACTACCAGAAAGCATGAATGCATGAACTCTCGTTTTATCCAATTTTCCTGGACTTCTATACAGTAGGTTAAGCTACAACCAAAAGTACTTCAGTTGAATACAAAGAAATACATACAACAAATCCTGGAACAGCATATAAAGGAACTAAAGAATCCTGAAAATGCCAAAATATTGAGACCACTGCTCCGAACATTTGGCAATTTCCTGATTTATTTGTCCCTGGTTAAAGATCAATCTTATAAACTAAAGGCACAACTTATTGATTGGGCAGAGGTTTGTTGGAGATGATTTTGACAATTATTCAACACTGTTTTATGATTAGCCAAAAGTTTCTAACATCCTGCCTTAATAGTAGTTCTTGTTGGTAAATTATTTCTCTCTACTTAGTTGTGGAATATCATCATGACCTTTGTTTGTTTGTTAACATTGCTATCTAGATGTCAATCTAGTTTATCCGTAAGTGTTATAACACTTATCTGCTATAGTGATTATATGGGATGTTTTGGACAAGAGGGGTCTGTCCATTTCTGATTTTCAAAATTTATCCCATGACTGATATGTTCTGTTCTGAATTATTCCTGTTGCTGGTCTGGTGGGGTTTTGAAACTGTTTTGTTGAGTCAGCTGGCTTTTAATCAGGAGTACATATACTGTTATGTGAATTCTCTTAATCATTGGTGTTGTAAATTGCATTTATGTAAAAGCTATGTTGTTAGTTTTGAGAATTTGCTGTTAAATGCTAGAAAGGTAGGTCTAGAATGGTGCCTTCTCTTGTTGTCATATGTGTATTGTCAGATTGTGCTGATCAACTGGCGGCTTGTGTTGTTCTTAGTGGTGAAGTTCTGGAAGTGGGACTTGTCAGTCCTCTTGTATTGGGATGGAATGTCCTCTTGCTGTGTTGTATAGCTTTCTTTTGTTAATAAATGTCATTTGGGAAGAAAAAAAAAAATGTTAATAACACTTGTAGAATTGGTAGGTTTGGTTGGTAAAATACAATGTAGGCTGATTTCCATATGGGCCAGAACTACCGGCTGACCCTATGAGGCACTGGGAGGGCTGAGAAAAGACCTTATCAGTTGATTAAATCAACAGCCAAGGTCCTTCCATTTCTGATCCACATTCAGGATCCTTCTGTAGTCTCCTCGCCGGAACTGTTTGGAGAGGAGCTACAGACTTGATCCTGGGTGTGGAGGATTCTGGATCCAAACGGTGTGGAGAGGATCTGCACATTCTATTGACTGATTCACACCAATCAGTTCTCAAACTAGAAAAATATACCAGGTAGGAACCACAAAAGCTATTCAAGAATCTACTGTTTTGAAGCTGGGAAACTTTATATAATTAACAAGAAAATGGAAAGTGATGAATGGATTTTACACACGTTCAGCTATAAAACAAGCTTGTTGACTTATCAAAAAAAAAAAAAAAGCAAGCTGGTTGGTTGTGAACCTAGTGACATTTATCTATCGGATAAGGTAAATTCTTGTAGTTCCAGGTTTTGGTCAGTGCGGACACCTTCTCCTGTTATGTCCTGATAACCATGTGCTGGTGGTCTCTCATGGCCCTCAGTAACCCTTCTGATAGAAGTTCTTTCCTTTCCATTCTTCTGAAAACGATTGTGACTTGGGGATGGCTGAAATGTATGCAACAGGGTCGAATTGGTGTCTAGGTTATGCAACACTGCTACCAGAATCACTGAAGAAACAAACATCGGGATTGGACCAAAAATCCACAATAGCAAGGTGGTGGCAAAGTAGAGTGCACGCATGCCGATTGACCAGTAGTAACTACCTCTTAGCACAGCCTTCTCAACATAGCTTACAGGAATTTCTGTGTTTGGCATGGTTATGAGGAAACAGGCATGGACTAAATTCCTCGTAGTTTGGACAAAAGAAGCAAAAGCCACTAGGAAGAAAGAAAGAAGAGTCATATATTTGATGGAAATGATGGAACTGCTTGTGTCCCCATAAATAAGATCGCTGGTGAAGACATTTTCCGAAGAGCTTCCGATCCACGCTCCAATTAGAGAACTCAGAACTAGGCAGATTGAAGACAGAGAAGATGCTGCCGACATGTTGCTATTGATAACTTGTAAAGCTAGCCCTCTTTCCTTGGCTTCAACCTGCAAAAACCCATTAATATTGTGGAAGTGGTTAAACTAAATTTGGCTGAGATATGCTAATACCTGCTGAAATGATGAAGAGGGACGGAGTTCACTGACCTGCATAGTTCTCTCAACCCAAGCTTTCTTGCTATTGTTCTCATAGCCGATCATTGTCCTGTCGGGATGCTTTAGCACCCTGTAGAGAAGGAAGAGGTGATAGCCAAACATGTTCAGTAACCCAATTGGGACCAAAACTACATCCAGGTATTCCTTCTTCCATTGCCATCCCATTCTCTCTCTCTCTCTCTCTCTCTCTCTCTCTCTCTCTCTCTCTCTCTGTGTCTATTTGTGTGTGTGTGTGTGTGTGTGTGTGTGTGTGTGAATTTATAGAATTTAAAATATTTAGCTTCGTGTTTCATTGGTGGATTTGTAAATTAAACGTGGCTTGACATTTTGTCTCAATCTCTGGTCATGGATTATGGAAATGATAATCTGCATATACCCTTCACAACCTCTTCATGTAGATCAAGTTAAAATGTCATTGTCCCAATTATCAAGTGAGCATGTATTAATGTCTACATTGTTTGGTCATTAACTCACTCGGGACCAAAACTACATCCAAGTATTCCTTCCTCCAACTCCATTTGTTGTGTACATGTGTGTGTTTGTGTATGGACTGGGTAAACTAAATGTGGCTTGACATTATGTCCCACTGGTTTGGTCATGGATAATGAAATTAATAATCTGCATATTAAGTTCTTCATGTAGATCAAGTTAAAAATGTTGCTTTCCCAATTATCAAGTGGGCAGTATTAATGTATAACTTGTTTGGTCATTCTTTGAACGTGGTGGAGTTTTAATATTTTTAATGACTTCGAGAATCAACACTCATTAAGAATTTAGAATAAGCTTATAAGCATAAAACCGAACCACACTTGGTCTTGTTTCTCCCTTAGATTAATTTGGCTTGGACATTTTCTATAGTAGAATACTCTGTTTGTTTAGACTTAAAATATTTTTTGAAAACGTTTTAGTCATTTTATTAAAGCATTGTGCAACATTATTAGGAAAAATGAAGGGTACTTTGAAAAAAATTAGATACATTCCTTTTCTTTTTTGAAGTCATCACTCGGAATTCATAAATATGTGTGTGCATGTAAAGATATAGAATACACACGCACACAATACAACAATCTACATATAAAACAATATAAACTATATATATGCGTGTGCTTTTGTATATGTGTGTTTGTTATGCATTTTTAAGAACTGAACAGTTTTTTTTTTCAAACTTCACTGAAAATAAGAGAGAATATTTTTCATGTTAAGAACATTTTACATCAAAACAAAACATAATGGAAATTTGCAAGGAGGATTGCATTTCAAAGTAACTCAACTTGCTCCAAGAAAATTCAACATGGTTGGTGGTGGCATATATAATATATATCCATAATATTTATTAATCCGTTGAATAAGCTTAATTAGAAGTGTGAAAAAACGACTAATCTGTCGCAGCTCATATGAAGTTTCAAAGTAACAACTAACAAGTTAGATATTGAATTGCTGTGAATTCTAGAGCTTTGATTTTTCGTTCTTATCTCTTTCAGAAATATGTGCTGTGCATGACATGTTCATCTATAGCCCAACCATATGACCACCTACCCAATAATGTGTAACATGATTTTACAATGGAGACAATGTCATTCAAAAGTATGTTTGATGGAGTGTCCTTTTCCATATATATATTTTATTGTTTTCTTGCACGTCTTTTTAACTTTATTAAAAGATAAAAGGGAAGAATTTGTTGAGTGGAAAATCAAAGCTATATATATAGCTGAATACAACCAGGTGGTTATTTTTTTTATTTCTGTTAGATACCTTTTTTCCTTCATGTATTTATGCCTTTTTCTTAGGAGCTGCTGTGAGAACCTAAATAATAATATTATATTGTGAGACTGCCAACTTTCTTATGTCATGTCTTTTTTTCTAAGTAGTTGTTAATTTGTTAACCACCGGCCATCACTTCGTATTAATGTCATTTTTGTGGGTGTGGTGAAAGTGATTGTAACCTAAACCACATCCTTTGTGGATGAAGTGCTTATTTTTACCATTGATATTGAACATTTTGCCTTATAATCTCTACATTTTTTATTTGGTATTTACATAAACATTGTCTAAAATCATATGATAGTCTTACATGAATATAATAACATTGTGATGTTGTGACCCGAATTTGAAAAAAAAAAAATTCATTTTTTACTTATGGGTCGTGGATTTTAATTAGTACTCTTTTATAATCCGATATACAAGGGCGTTTAGGATTTGGAGTGCGGAACTAAGAAACACTGAAAATCGCAGAGAAAGAGAATGAAGGGATGAAACTTGTAATCTCTTATTTTTTGAATAGTGAAAGCTTTCGCTAGATCTTCACCGTAAATGTAGGCTCTGCCGAACCACGCTAAATTTTTGTGTTCATTTATTCTTGTGTTCGCTAAGTTTGATATAACAAATACGTTAGTTCAACTAGTATAACCTCTCTTACCTTCCATTGAAGGTGAAGAGTTCATACATACATTATTTGTGGATGTGTGAGTACTTACCTAAATAACAATGCGGCAGTTATACAAGTTCCAATTAAGAACAAGAGAACTACTTAGAGAAAATTGTAGTTACGAAAAAAGAAATAGAATAAATAAGAAATCTACTTAAGTGCGATTGATGTGTATAATTGGTCACAGTGATTGATGTGTATAATTGGTCACCGCGGTCTTAGATTATGACTGAACGCCTCCGAAAACAAGAGAGACAAGTCAGATGATATATTAAATCAAAGGTCATAAATTCAGTGGGTTGGGTCCTTTGTTAGGTCATTTGTTATCCTAATATCCATCCTACATTCTCCTCCTTTCAAGGGTAGTCATAAAGATGTGTGTTTAGCAACACAGACTTACTTGTCATGCGCAGACTGGCGTCATGTGCAATTTGTTAAAAAGAGAATCAGCGGCCTTTAAAGGCTTAGCCCCACCATGGGTCCAGTTAAAGCCCAACACACAACCCCACTTGCTTCTCAGCCTTTTCTTTTGTCATTGTCCTTGTCATTTACCTTCTCAAACCCAAAAGCAACTATCCTTGTGTTTATACTTTATAGGGAAAGACAATCATGGGTTGGGATCTCTTTAAAATATGAATCCACCATAGCTTCTTGTTCATCCCTTTAACAAAAATGACTGCTGCCCATTGAACAAAAAACTAGGTTGGTAGAGGGATTGTTTAGGAATCATATTTTTCTATATTTTACTCTCTTTTAATTTATCCACAAACCAATCAATTGATACAAAATAGTATCCAAATATTAAAGTTATCAACGGTTTATCTCTTTTAAAATCAGTATATATAGCATACTAGAATGATCTTTATTTTATAAATGGTATCAGAGAATGATACAACGATGCAAGGCACTAGCAGACTACTATGTTGGCAGGTTACGGGTGCACAATCCCGTGTCGCCTATGTGTTGAAAGGAGAAGTGTATGCATGTAAGATTGGTACACTCCAAATTTCAAATGGTACGGGCCTTTTGGAGTTAAAACCCAAGAACAAAATCATGCGAATTTGGACTCAAAGCATATGACAATATCATAATATATGGCGGAGTGGAGTGGATTGTTATAAATGTTTTTTTTTTTTTTTTGGGTGATGGCACTTATAAATGTGAAGGAAAAATGAAGTCAATTATGGCAAACAAAAGTTTCACAGGATCATGAAGCTATTTGATCAAAAGACAATGGCATTGTTAGAAGAGTGAGTGTTTACCTTTTCAAGCAAAGGAAATGGTTTGAAAACAATACCCTTTTTTTGGGCAAGTAAAAATGCTTTAAAGGATTGGTTTTAAGTGTATGTAGAAGCAACCAAAAAGATTGTCATTTGGCCATTGTTTGATGTACAAAAGAAGCATAAGGAGGATCAAAATCACGTGCTTGTACAAACCTACTTCAATTTTTAAACCAATGAACAATAGATTCCATATGGAACCAACCTGTCCCATGTGTTTTTTAATATCTGTTTGGACACAATGTGATCTTTGATTCTTCTTAGTAAGAGAACATAAATTATTTTCATAACATTATATCTCTATTCATTCACTGGGCATGTGACTGAATGTTAAACAAGCCTTAAAAAGGGAGTATTAAACTACTCAAATAAAAAGCTATTTGGCTGCATTTATACAATTCAACTTTCTTAAATATGGATTATATGAAATCTATCACTCGTCTAAGCTACTATCATGTTCTAGTGTGTGTGCGCGCGTTAGTCATACGGAGTGAAAACAAGAGCGAATTCAAACACATAAAAACTGTAAAATTTAAATCACACTGAATGAGAGGGTAAAAGCGCGCTCAATATGAGAATGGTGGAAGCAAGCTAGGAATGTATTTGATGTAATTAAATCATGTTTCATCGCATTGTTTCAACTGAAAAATAATGGTACTAAACACAATTTAATGGCATCGAGAGAAAATTTTAACACAATTAAGTTTTATTTCAACACATTATTTTGAAAAATAATTGTTGAAACTAAATTAATTGTGTTAGAAAACTTTACAGCATGGTGCAGACTGTGCACTGCACCAGAGAGTAAAAAAGTTCAAAATGAATTACTTCAAAAATTATTAATAAATCGTAAAAATGAAAATATATTAACAAGCCAAAACAGTATAAGCACTGTGCAACACTAGAGACTACATATTATGATACCCTCTTACCGGGTCGGGTCAGAACCCGACCCCAGCCGCGCCGACCCCAACTGTGGCACCACGGTGAGGCTCAAGCTTCCTGTTCTTCCAGAAACAGGCATCTGGTGCGAGCTTAGCCGCCGTTCTCATCGGCTCCGACTTGCAACGTTTGAGCGCGAACGGCTCGTACCCCACGGCGCTAACCAGCTTCTGCTCTATCGCCGTCCCCATGGACACGCCGGTGACCGGCAACGGAAAGGAGCAAGACGACCGCGGCGGCTGCTGGAGCGGCTGTTCTCGCGCAGGGCGAGTGGGAAGCGCAGGATTGGAGTCAATGCTGTCCCTCTTCTTCTTTGGCTCATCACCACCGTCTTTTGGTTTGACTTGTCTTTCTGGTGGTAACCATCTGATGAAGTCCGTACTGCAGACCCACGTCTCCTTGGAGACCTCCATTGACAGCTTGGGCTCGCACATCATCAGCAGCAAGCAGTCCGGCAACACTGAGCTTTCTCTCTCTTCCTTCACCTGATCACTTTCTCTCTCTACTTCCTCTGCGTGGCTTTCTCTCTCTTCTTTTGATTCTGTTTCTTCTTCGTCGTCTTCGAGGTTTTCTTTGGTATCTTCCTCTGGTTCAGATCTCTCTTGGGTCGGTGTCTCTCCCAAAAGTCTCACTTGGGTCTCTGTCTCTTTAGTTAACTTCTCTGCTTCTTCTACCAATACCTCAACCTCTGCTTCGTCCTTATCTTCTGAATCTGAATGTATTGACAGTATTGAAGTAGACTGACTCGCTCTTCTCTCTTCTTCTTCTAGAGTCAACAACTTTGCTTCTTCAATTTCTAGGGTTTCTTGATCTAGAAGAGCTTCAGTGGAAGTTCTATCAGGTACTGCTTCATTTTCTCCTTCTACTGCTGTCTGGTTCACCTCTTGAACTACTTGTTCTTGTAATTCCTCATTAGCATTCTCTGGGTTTTCTTCTTTTACTTTTTCGGCTACTTGTGTAATCTCCATTACAAGCCCTGCCTCTGTTTCTTGCAAGTTTTCTGGTTCTTTATGAGCTTCATCTGAAACTGAAACTGAAACCCTCTTTTCACACACTTCAATATCCTCTTTGATTTCCATTCTCAGCTTATCTTTTACTTCACTTTCTTCAACTACATTCACTTGTTCTTCTTCGTCTCCATTAATATCCTTGTTTTTATCATCATCTTCTTCTTCTTCTTCTTCTTCTTCATCTTTGGGCAAAGGTGATTCCCAGAAACGATTAGAGAGAGCTGAAATTCTCATGGGATCAGATCTGCATCTCATCAACAACAGAGCATTCTTGGGCGGAACACAAATGCTAACTCTCGCTTCATCTTCCTCCACAATACCACCACCATTCGATTCACATTTCTCATCTCTGATTTCAATCTCATCCATCACATGATACCTCCTAGAGTTTCTCTCACTAAACTCTGTTATCTCCTCTTCCCCTCCTCCCACCACCAACTCTATATCCCTCCCTTTTCCTCCTCCTTCACCAACTTCATGTAATGACACCAACCACCTCGCAAACACAGCTCCGCAAGAACTCCGACCACCGCCACCGCCGCCGTTCGATCCAGAACCCTTCTCTTCCTTCTCCCTCTCGCTCGTCGACGAACACGAGGACCGGCACGGAAACAGACAGCTGAACTCAGACCCAAATGCTCTCAGAGCTTCACAAATCGTCAATGGCAAATGAAGCCATCTCTGATTTCTGTGATTCAAACTCTCTTGATTCTGTTGATGAAACTGACTACTCACATTGGGTTGATTATACAGCGTCTGATTCTGATTCAACCCTTCACGGCTCTGCTCCGATTTCCGAAAACTCACCTCGCCGCTTCGCCTTCTCGAGAGGGTTCGCATCTTCTTCCCTTGTTTCTTGGTCTTGACTCGAACCTGCCCAATGCAGGTCACTTTGGGAGACGAGGGTTCTGGGTTTTCGAATGCACCACCTCGTTTCTTGCCGCCGGTGGGGAACATCGGCGACGCTTGGCCTCCTTTCATGCTTCCATTGCTTCTGAGTCTCCGACTGAGAGAGTTGGAGAGAGTCACAGGCAGGTCTCGTGAGCGTGCCGGGCTTAAGATTGACTTTGAAGAGAGTTTCATGGAGGACGAAGACGATGAAAGGCGAGAGGTGAAGCAGATGAAGAGCTCGCTGCTTGAACTTCCGGTCCGGTGGGGTCTGTCTGAGTCCGTCATTGTGCTGTTTCGGCCATTGAAATACACCAAATCTTGTTTATATTTTTGAGTGGAAGTGATCCAAGAGATGAAAAGAACGGGTGGGTGGGTGTGTGCGTGTGTGTGTGAGAGAGAGAGAGAGAGAGAGTGAGTGAAAGTGATTAGAGATAGAGATGGAGAGAGGTTTAATGGAAGATGACGAAATGTGGTTTGTCTTTATCCAAAAGTAACGATAGTTATAAAGGTTCAATAGCAACTACTACAAGTAACGCTAGGTTATTAATATGACATCAATACCCTTGGTGCTTCATAAAAGTACTCTTCTTGCCCGGACGCACTTTTTTGAGGTGCCCATTGAGAAGTATTGTGTGGTGTAGTGTTTTGTTTTAGCTTAAAATAGAATAAAGTATTTTAACGTTTTGAAATGAGAATAAAATATATTTGGAATGAAAATTTGGAGTAAGAATTTTGGAATATAAATTATTATTATTATTTTATGATTAAAATAAATTAATTACAGAGCTTAATTAGTTTACAAAACAAGAATTACAAGCTTGATTAGTTGATTTAGAAAAAAAATTAAAACAAAACCCATACACGTTAGCAGTGGCAGAGAGAGAAGGGGCAAACTTGAAAGTTGAGAGAGCGGCTGAAGCTTGTAGCTTTTGTAGTTTGCAGTTGGAGAGAGAGAGAGAGACTAGGGCAATTGAACGAGAATAAAGATGAAGGCGTTTGGGAGGCTGATATGATTTGCCCTAAAAAAAATTAAAACAAAACCCATACAATTTGCAGTTGCAAAAAGAGAGAGCGAGAGAGATGGAGGCGTTTGGGAGGTTGAAATGATTTGCCCTAAAAAAAATTAAAACAAAACCCATACAGTTTGCAGTTGGAGAGAGAAAGAACGAGAATAAAGATGGAGGCGTTTGGGAGGCTAAAACGATTTACCCTAAAAAAGATCAACGAACAAGTAATAGTACTGCCGGCAGAGGAGCTGAAGGAAGAAGCGCAAGCAGAAGTGTCGTCTTCGTCGTCGTCAGGGTGGGAGGTGGTTGTGAAAAATAGGATGAATGAACGACATTAGGGCCTATTTAACTACAGTAAATATTGGACTAGAACAATATAGAACACCTAAATCTTGTTCCAGCTTTTGGACCAAATAGTAGATTTGTTTTGAAAGTGTTTTGGTACTGTTGAGAACAAAACAATACAGGCCAAACATGTTGTGGAATCAAAATGGGCTAGTATAGCGGCCCGGGAACACTACAACACACTTAGGAACAGACACCAAATGCCTCTCCTTTGCATAAAAGGATATGAGGGATACCCATGGAGCCTCCTTATCGATAACCCCCTCCCTTTTTATTTTCTTTATCCTGGCAAATTTGCCGAAGGGTAACTCGAACACGAAAAAATTATTCGGGAAGTTGAGCATGGTAATGCTTTCATGATTCTCTACTTCAATTTGTTGTAAATTGTTATCCTTTTCACGTGTGTTTTTGAGTCATTTGATGCAGCATAAGTTATAATACTTGTTCTGTATCTTAAAAATTCAAACCATTTATTTTATTTTTTAACACATTAATTCTATTTTCAACACATTAAATGTGAGTAAAAGTAAGTAGATTTAATGTGTTAGGTCCGCTCCATGTGACTTAGGTGGTCACCTAAGGCCCAACTAATATGAACGTCTCAAAATTTTTTATTTCTTAATATTATAAGCTTCGTAAAATTTTATTTCCTTCCTATCATCAAATTCTAGCCTATAAAAATCCAAAATTTTTATTTCCTTATATTATAACTTTCAATTTTTATTTATTTGTTTATTTTACTACCTTCCCAAAATTTTTATTTCCTTATATTATAAATTTCAATTTTTTTATTTGTTTATATTATAATCTTCCTAAAATTTTTATTTTATTCCTATTATTAAACTCTGCCCAATAGAAAGGCCCCAAATTTTTTTATTTTCTTATATGGACAATATTTTGGTCTTGTACACCGTCTCACTATTGATGTGGATAAATTAAATATGGTGGGTACATCTTTATTTACCAAATCAAATATGATAGGTAAATATAAATATACTATGATTTTGTAATGAAAGAAGACATATTTATTTTTTATTGGTCCAATGAGGACGGTGACCAAAAGAGGTTTAATAATGGGCCCAAAAAATTTCTATCTTTATCTCACTTTTTTTTTCTCTTTCTCTTCCTCATTCAATTTCTCCAACAGTATGTTAAAATATCATTTTTTTTTTTTAATCTCCACCAGTCTATTAAGATACACCGTCACATTATCAATGTGTAAAATTATTATGTATTTTATACAATATTTTTAGACAGCCACATCAGCATATTTATTTTCTCCTCCATCTTTCTCATTTCATTAAAAAGCCAACCATATATTAAGTAGGTTTGTAACAATTATGTGGGGTCCTGGCATAACACGTGGTTGGTTGTTATTGGAGGATATATTTTTACACAAAAGGTATAAAACAACTACTATAACTAAAAATAAATAATCCAAAATTTGTGTGTAAATATATCCTAACACATCATATTTGTACAAAAAAATATACACAACGGTTGGAGATGCTCTATCTTCAGCTGTTTGTATACACTGCTTTTTTATCTCCAGTAGTCTGTTAAGATACACTATCACGTCACCAATGTGTAAAATTGTAAATTTACACAACCTTTTTATACAGCCACATGAGCATATTCTTTTTTCCTCCCTCTTTCTCATTCCATTAACGAATCAACCATATATTAAGTAATTTTGTAACAATTATGTGAGGTCCAGACATGACATTGATTGGTTGTTATTGGGGGATATATTTTTACACAAAAGGTATAAAACAACCGCTAGAGCTAAAAATAAATGACTATGATTAGCTGGAGCTAAAAATAAATGACTATGATCCTCTAAGTACGACTGACCGAATCTGTCTACCGATAAATGGTTGCTCTGTTTACTTTGTTTGGATTGTGAATTTGTGAAATGTTGAAGACTGAAAATGTGATGGAAACAATCCATTTATTTGTGGTATAAAGTTGTGGCTTGAATTTGTTGAGCTGTAACTTTGACCTGAAGAATGAAAATCAACTCAACTGCAACATTGTTAGAATAGATTAAAATATAATCAATGATTTTTTTTTTTTTTTAAGTGGGAAAGAATATAATATTTTGGGAAAGTGAAAAAAAAATATCATATTATGTGAGAAAGTGATAAATTGATAGATATATTATATATATTTACAATTATGTCATGATTATATATATATATATATATATATATATATATATATATATATAAGTGCATGTTAAAATTTTAAAGGAAACAATTATACAGATATAAAATCTTTTAATATAAAATTAAAAAAAAAAAAAAAAAATTAAACACTGGTCCCTCTGTGACTATGCGGGGTTGCACTAATTGGCATATTTACCATTTATGTGAGAATAATTCAACTAGCTTGTTAAATAATTTTTAAGAGTGAGTTTGAACTTGACTATTCTACTTAACAAACAAATGTGAATTAAATTTTAAACAAGCATAGAGTTTTCCTAGATAGTTTGATTCTTTTGCTTATTACTCGATTGTTAGGGTTGCAATGGAGCATCTACCTATTTGAACTTCACTTACAAACCAGAAGAGGTTTCACGTTATCTAATTTAGTGGCATTCTCGATATTTATCAAGAATATGTAGGGCTAATTGGGAAATTTGATGTCATCGGGGAACCGACAGGGGACTAGAGGTGAAACAGAAGAATCCAGGAGTGCACGTGACTGGAGCCCGTGAGAAGAGGCCATGATGATGTGCATGAATTGAATTATGAAGCGATCCCTATTTCGTCCCACGCGCTTTTATAAAAGGTGAAAAACATTCCATGCAAATAAGGCCATCGAGATCCAATATATATCTATATATCTATCTACACGGAACAAACGAGAGTGGGACTCAATTCCATAGAACCAAAAGCCTGGCTGGCGGATTTCAGTGTGCTAGCACCCAAAAGATAGAAAGCTGCGTAGAGTGAGCGCGTGAGTGTGAGAAAGGTCATTGGAGTTTGTACCCTCTGTGGTAATACCCATACCTTCACACAATTTCCACTAATAATGTATTGACACGTCACAAATCAATAAATATGAGTAGTGGATTATTGGTTGATTTGGTGTTACAATGTAGTGATGGTCACACATGATATATAGTTATTCAAGACCATTGATATTAGTTTAATCACAGAATCATAGAAGGGACAGCAATAATGATGTGGGGACTTGAAGAGAGCAGAGAGAGTGACAAAAGAGTTGCTGCAGAAGAGGACAAAATTACAATTAAAAGCTAAGTAACCATCATAATCACTTTTCTTAGTGGACTAAACTAGATTTAGGGTATATATAAATGGGACCAAATTCAGGTGATGTGGGTTAGTAGGGCTTATGATCAAAAGGTTTGGGATTGGGTAGGGTCCATGGAGTCATAATCTTCCACCACTACAAATATCAGGTGGTCCATGCACAGCCAACCTAGGAGTGTGACCTTGACCATGACCAAACCCCACCTTCACATTCTAAATCACTCCGATAATTAATGTTACCAACAACAACATTGCCATCCAGCCATTAAGAGCCACATTCCTTACGCAGGTCAATTTATACTCCACACTGATAACACAATTTCGTTCGGTTTGCTCGTGAATATGTTCAAGTTCAGCTCGACCCGATATATTTGCAGCCTGAACACATAATACAGAATTCACTCCATCTATCAATTCTTTTGCAGCCTTAACACATAATATAGAATTCACTCCATCTATAAAATTTGGTATAGAGTAATTTCTAACCTTCCTGCACTAGACCATCCTGTGCACACGGGTTCCTAATTCCTCATCCAAGATTGCGGTGCTAAAGTCAGTCAGAGAGCATTCGCGGCCGGTAGTCGGCGGTGCACCGCAATTAAACGGGGTCGGTAGTCTGCGGTGCACCGCAATTAAATTAACCCCACCCGTTGGTGCTACATTAATCCAACATGTTTGCAGAGTTGACCCACCCCAGTGCAAAAACAATAGGTTTCAGTCGCTACAGTCAAAACCGTGACTAGCGAATTAATGAATTCAATTCTCACGGTTGGTATTGGACCCCACTCCCCCAAAATATATAATAATAATAATAATAATAATAATAATAATAATGTACAAAAGACTATGCAAAGACACGGACATGAAGCATCTGATGGTGAAAAGCAGACATCTGCAGGTTTCATGCTACATAACCCAAGTCAGATTGATCAAAGATGAGTCCAGATTCCAGAGTCAATGACGCTAGTTATCGTACAAAACATGGTAACATAAATGAAATTTTGAATCCGGTAAATACAACAATAACATGAGTCTTATGATTCCAAGCTTTTTCTAAACTAATATATGACTTGCAGCAATTTGAGGAAAAGTCACAACTAGTTTCCAACAATCAAATTTTACCCATCTAAATAGGGAAAATGAAAAAGCTGTCAAACTCCAATTACTATCCTAGTGGCATATTTTCATCAGAGCCGCTGATGGTGTTGCTTCTAGCAGTACCACTCACCATGACAACATTATCCGGTGGGACGTTTGAATTTGCCGCATTGCTAGTACTTGTCATGACAACATTTCCCAGTGGGATGTTTGAATTTGCTACATTAGAAGCACTCGGTATGGCAACATTACCCGGAGGAACGCATGAACCCACTGCATTACTAGTATTGGTCGTGACAACATTACCCGGAGGGCCGCATGAATCCGCCACTTTATTAGTATTTGTTGTGACAACATTACCAGGAGGGACGCATGAACCGGCCACTTTACTAGTATTCGTTGTGACAACATTACCCGAAGGGACGCATGAACCTGCCGCATTACTAGTATTCGTCGTGACAACATTACCTGGTGGGACACATGAACCCGCCACATTACTAGTATTCCTCGTGACAACATTACCCGATTGGACATTTGAATTTGCCACATTACCAACACTTTCAGTCTCAGCAATTTTTGGTTGCAGAACATTAGTTTCGGTGGCTGAAGGAAATTTTGCATGAGAAGCAGGGGGGACTGCTGCTACCTGTGCATGTTCCTCTTGTTTCTGCTGCTTTTGTGCTGTTTCAATTGGAGGATAGACCCTCAAAGTGCTGCCTATATAAGGATCCGCATCAATTTTATGCTGCTTAACAGATGCTGACTCGTTTACAGCATGAAGTTGCTGCAACCTGTAATCAGTTTCAGGCCGTCGGCAAACCTTTCTCAGAGGCACAATTTCCTGAAGGTAAAATAATTAAGAATTGAATAAATATTATCCAACAAAAGTGCACAAAAGATGAGTAACTTCAAAATGCAGGGTGTATGGTAGGGTCAGATGGCACAATAGAATGTGCTTTTTAATGCATGCTTTTTTCTTAAATGCAAGAATGGAATGAGTACATGGTATGTGTTTTTCTGTCTGAAAAACTATGTTAAATAAAAACAAAAACAAAATAATTGAATTGTTTTCATTTTTCAATCAAAGGTGTCAAAATTGGGAGTTCCTTTCACATTAAGACTTGGAAAAGGGAGGGAACCTGCAAAAAATAATTGTGACCAAGCGACATTGACGAAGAATACGCATTTCAAGTGAAAAACCTAGAACCCATTCCTACATGACACGTTAAAATGTTGAGCACCCCAAAAATCCCCACAAATTAATCAAAGTAATTTCTGGATCAAAACACATGTTTCCTTTTATCAATTCATCAAAAGTGGTATATTAAAAAGTCTAAATGAAGTGTGCTAAATTTTTTTACCTCAGACTGATCATGATCATAACGCACCAAAAACCTACAACGGCACCCTCTTACATCATGTCTCCGTCTTTGTGAATCAATAACATGGGCATCAAAGTAAAGAGCCTGCTCTTTGCCTTCCTGAAAATCATTTAACATCGAAAATGATCTAATAAAAGAATATTAGATCTAAATAAAAAATCTAATAAAAAAATATATATTTTTACAACGCAGTTGACCACGTAGGATTTTTTTATAGCATCAATATACAAAAATTACTACCTGAAAACAGAGTATTAGATCTCCTGGGAGAACTGCAACACATTCTGATGATTCACATGGGAGAGACCGCTGTCTGACATGCTTGCGAACATTAACCCATTCATCCTCCTCAGCTCCAAAACCAGCAAACCGAACCAGAACTTCCTGAAACAGCCAGCAGAATTTCAATTATATGAGAAAAACAGAATGCAAAGGGTCATGAAAAAGTAACCCATAAAGACAGACAAATTGAAAAAGGAACTGCATCTTTAACTTCTAGCACACATTCAAGGAGAAAAACTAGTATAACTAGCTTACCAAAAAAATAAAAAAGAAGAAGAAAAACTAGTATAACTGTAACTTGGTTTGCAGGTATAAACAATAAAAGTGGAATAACAGAAGTCCTGCGTACACTTTTTTCTTTTTTGTTCTTTTCAGACAAGGTTCTGTGCACAATATAGGAATTCATGAAGGAAATCAGAAGCAAAATGAATAGCATCCCAAGTTACTGAATAAGGACCATTTTAATCCATCAATCATTGTTTTTGCATAAATCTGGTGCGACCATAAGATAAGTTATGGTAAAGATTAGAGACAACCATGCCAATGGGTGAAGGATCAAGTGGCATATATATGTAATGTAGAGTACCCATGGTATATTATATTTCTAAAGATATAATAGCCATGAAGAATTGAAAAAAAAACATGAGAGAACACATTCACAAACAATAGAGAACAATCACAATAACAAATCCATGCAAACTAGGTAGGGGTTTCATTGTATGTATGTTCTTTCTAACAACTTATATACCTATATGAAATGTAGGTAGAATTTCTTTATATTTTTTTTAATCTACTTTATATTATAATACTTTATCCAAAAGATATATATATATATATATATATATAAGTGACAAAAGTTGTATGTACGTACAGTACTTTATAATTCACCGAGTTTGCAACTTAACCTCTCTCTTGTAATCGTCTACGCAAAGAAAACCCATGGCACATTATTAGAATCTTTCTCACGTAATTATCTACGCAAAGAAAACCCACGGCACAATATTAGAATCTCTCTCTCTCTCTCTCACATACAATATAGATCTAACTAGTACTTTTATATATTGCAGAAGTTTAAGAAAGGAAACGGCTAATAACTAATGAATAAATTTTGCAATAGGTTGATCGAATTCTGTAATTGTCAGGCGTTTATCCACACAACTATGATTTCATCTCAAGAACCATTTGGCAAAGATAGTGATCCTATTTACGCCTTGATTCTGATGCAGGTAGCTTCCTTTTAGCGGCAACCAATGTCACCATAATGTAAGTAATATCGATCTCAATTCTCCTAAGTTTATAGTATTGACATTTGGATTGACCCTTAACCATTAGGAACCTGTATTACCTGGTTCTTTCCTTGGAGTTCGTGCCATTGATTGATGCCTATGATCAATCAGATAAAGGATTTTAATTCTGTTGCTTGATTTTGTTTCCTCATTCCTTTATCCATATCTTCTTTTAAATATTAGTGTAAAGGGGCTATAAATGAAAAACTAGGCAACCAAGGATGCAGTACATTAAGATACATATATACTTTTGTTTTTTGGGGCAGTAGCTTAAGTTAAATATTATTTTTAACATTGAATGTTTGAGACGGGCTACAGTTTTATGTGTGTGTGTGTGTGTGTCGCTAGTATTTACATTTTTATTTATTCATGTAAGTTGCCCATTGGATATCTGGAGAAACTATTAGAGTTAAAAACTGAGGCAAAACTCTTATCTTACTCATAAAACTTATTGATAAAATTTTACTCATTTAAATCTATCAATAGTCTTAAAGTAAATACCTTCTCTCTTTTAAGGAAGAGGAACGGGATGAATTCTACAATGATGTGATAAGTTGCAAAGAAGAATATAAAAACAAAAGCAAAATAAATAAATAAATAAAAATGATTAGAAAACATTTTGCACAAGTAACTCAGGAATTCATAAAAGATAAAATATTTTCAAAAACAAAGCAACAAATAATTTTAAATATTTAAATAATATTAGAGATGTTAAAATAGTAATTTTATTTTGTTAATATTAGAATCACAACTCAGTAAGATCACAAATTCATTTTTAACCACATGCATTACACATAATTTTTTACTAGTATTAATAAATTAAGGTAAATCAGCAGCAAGAAATACCGGATCAATCGTATCAAGATATCTATGAGATAGAAAGGTTGCAATGTCATACCTGAGGAAAGGAACACAAATGAATAAATATTTACAAAAAGTAGTAGTTAATTATCAGAAAGTATCTGGTCAAGTATTAAATAATCAACATCCAGAAGTTGTAAACCTTAATGGCCAGAAATACTAACCAAGCACCATCCCTTGCAGATTTAGCTTCAAACTCCAACTGAGAATTATCTGAAACAGTCCTTCCTGTACTTCGAATAAATAATTAAATAAATAGGGAAAATGAATTGAAATAAGATGTCGAGTGGAAAGAAATTCTCAAACAAGTTATAAAGAAGGTGGAAGTATTTCAGAAGTCATTCTAAGATAAGTTTGCAAATAGAAAAAAACTGGGAAGACAGCCAGAAGTCACAGATGTACATGACAGTTATCACGGCAGACAGCTAGGTATTGTAGAAAGTTCCTATGAGAATAATAATTCATCCTGTGAGAATAATCAGAAACAAGCTCAACGCCTAAGACTGATTTCAATGAGCAACTACAGAACATCTCAAAATATAATACATAAGAGATTTGAACGTACTGCTTGGTCACAAGCCAAACTTTTAGACTCTCATGGTAGTAATAATGCTTCCAATTTGAAAATTATACCCAATTTATCTCGAACGAATTATTTGGCCAGAAAGTTCTGGTACAGTCCCTTCATATGCAGAACCAGAAGTTGGATTTGTTAAGGCATCTACCGCAGGCACGGACCCACAATAGGACCTGCCCCCACTGGATTTTTTATTTTTGCATTTTATACTTCATTTTTTTGGGAATTTATGACACTAAAATTACAATTCGCCCCCACTGGAATTCTTTTTTTGCATTTTATACTTCAAATTTTTGGGATTTAATGAAGATGCCCTCACTAAAATTACAATTCGCCCCGCTGGAATTCTTTTTTTTTTTCATTTTATACCAATTTTTTGAGAATTTATAAAGATGACCCCACTGAAATTACAAAAATGGATCCACTATATAAATTTGCCCCCCACAAATTAAAAGTCCACCCCCCCTCACAAAATTTTCTAGGTCCGTCACTGTCTACCGTACATGGTTAACACTTCCACTCTCACATCGCAAGGACCATACAAAGTACAGTGTGTGCATCCAAATCAAGAAATTTCGTTAGGGTAACATTTACAATCATGCACATTCTTCACTATTCAGGTCAATCAGATAGCTGAATGATAGTACATTAAGATGTGCTTTCATAACCTTTGATTTAGATAGCTACTGGGTATTGCACCGGTAACCAGAGAGAGACATTTTTGAACATGTAATGTCATTATGTGAATCAATTAGGATTACAAGATATGGGAAAATGGAAAATAGATTTCAAAGAAGAAACAACAACAACAAATAAAAATAAAAGTAAAATTCCCGATAGGATAGTTAGTGAAAAAAAAAAAAAACTGTTAGGATATACTCTATAAAAAAGTACAATAATAATCTGTCCAGAGGTAACAATTCAAGCTAAAAAAATAGCTATAGAAGAGAATGTGTGCAACATATTGCATAAATGAAAACCACTAGGCACAAATAAATGTATTCACATGAAATGTAGTTAGATAAGCAACAAAACCTGTATCAATATATTTAATTTCAGTATAATCAGTTAACCAAATTGATAAAGATAACCAACTCTGCAGCCAAGGTCTGTCAACCAAATTATGGTTAGTTGATTACTAAAAAATTATTCCAAAAATATCAGAGTGAGTCTCAATCTTCTTTGCCTCTAGCTGTCAGAAAATGTATTTCCCCTGCTGAACCTAAAATGCTGGAAGCCCCTATATCAGTAAGAAGTTAAAAATGTTGCACTCCTTTCAGGTTCAGACAAGAGTCCTGAGCCCGATGGCTTCCCTCCCAGATTCTTTCAGAAGTTTTGGGCAGTGGTGGGTGCCGAGCCGCTTAGGTAATAAAAGCTATTCAGTTCTTTTTTGATCTGTCTAAATTGCCTAAGAATATCAATTCCTCCTTTACCTACCTAATTCCAAAGAAGACAAGTAGCTTTAAGGCCTGTGATTTTAGGCCTATTGCCTTATGTTATACTATCTATAAAATCATTACTAGAATAATGGCTGTCAGACTGGGTTCCATTTTGGGGAATATTGTGGGTAGACAAAATAATGCTTTTATAATGGGCAGAAGTCTCCATGACAATGTAATTCTGGTTAATGAATTAGTGAGGGGCTTCAAATCTTTTAGGTTGAAACCATCTATGGCTGTAAGGATTGATCTTAAAAAGGACTATGACTCTATGTCATGGCATTTTCTCTTCAATTTACTGCAAGCCTATGGGTTTGGTAGAAGATGGATTGGATGGTTTAGGGAATGCCTTGAATCTGCCTGGTTCTCCATCATTGTCAATGGATCTCCTGCAGGGTTCTTCCAACCTCAGAAAGTCCTCAGACAAGGATGCCCTTTATCTCCGTTACTCTTCACTCTTGTCACTGAGTTTTTCTCTAGCCAAATGCACGAGGAGGTTGAAACTGTAAATTTGCAACTGTCATTCAGTTATAAAGGCTGGTGTGGACTTTTCTCATTGTTTCTTTGCAGATGACCTCTTGACTGTGGCCAACGCTGATGTGGGTACAGCTAGAAGTATAGAGAAATTGCTGCAGTCCTTCCAATTAGTCTCAGGGTTGGCTGTGAACTATGACAAGAGTCGAAACTTTTTTTCTTCTTCAGTTAAGAGGAAAAGATTGCACAAAAGTATTCTGAAAATGCAAGTTAGTGAATTTCCTATCAAAAACTCGGGGCTTCCAATGGTGGACAGGAGTTTGAAACACTCAGATTGTGCTGGTTGATGGACAATATAGCTCCCAAGCTTAGTAACTGGAATTCATTGAAACTATTATTGGCATGCAGAGTGGAATTGGTAAAAATAGTTATTTTTTCATTTTTTAATCATTGGTGTTATCATTATGCTATCGAGATTCCTGCTTTTTATTCCTCTATGATTGATAAAATGATTAAGTCCTTCATTTGAGGTAGCAAAGAAAATTCAAAAAGAATCCACCTCATGAATTGGAGTCAGGTGACTAAACCTAGATCAGAAAGTGGGCTGGGATCAGGAAGGTGAGAGAAATTGATGGAGCTGCTAAAGCCACTCTTTTCTGGGGTTTTATTCAGGACAAAGATAAGCTATGGATTGCACGGTTTCAAGCATGAAGGCTGCAAATCCATCTATTTGGAGCTGTTCTCGTAGTTCCAAGTTTCTGTGTTTTGGAAGCACCTATTGGAAGTCAGAAAGGATCTAATTCCAAATGTTCCATTTAAGTTTGGAGATGCGCAGGCTGTGAAATTATTTCTTGATCCATGGTGGAAGGGTGAATCTCTACCTCAAGCCTTTGGGCATAGAATTGTGAAATGGCTTGACCTGTCAAAGAATGCGAATGTTGGAGATCTAATTAAAGCTGAGGATATCTGGAATCCAATTTCTGCTGTCAGCATTAACCAGATATCCTCAGCTTCAATTAGATCTCCAACATTCGCATTCTAAAAGAACTGGTATAAAGTGTGTTGGAATCAAAGCAGGCCCAAAGCAATTTCTGATATATTATTGTGGAAGTATGGTAAAATCTTTTTCAAGTCTGCATGGAAGAGTCTGAGAGGTAATCATCCTAAAAAGAACTGGTATAAAGTGTGTTGGAATCAAAGCAGGCCTAAAGGAAGTTTTACAACCTGTTTGGCTCTTCAGAATAAACTTCCTTCTCTCTCCAATCTTCAACTCAGAGGTATTTGTCTCACTTCAGTTTATCATAATTGTAATAAGGCTGGGGATAGTGTTGAACATCCATTTTTTGAGTGTTCCTTTGCTTGATCTATTTGGAGGTGGCTGTTTGATGTCCTTCAATGGGATTGGAGCCAGATTTCTTCATGGAACCAATTGATTTTTTGGCTCCAGAATTATTTCAGATCTGATTCTAAAAAGAACAAATGGTATAGAATGTTTTTTAATACTGTAATTTGGGGTATTTGGAAGAACAGAAATATGAATTTCCATCAAGGGGTAGCTCCAAATGCAGTTCAATTAGCCAGAATGATATTCTGGGAAGTTAGTGCAATTGGTGGTGTTCATCTATCTGACCTTCAGAATTACTATGTCTGATTGTCATTTGCGGATAATGGTGTTTTTGGTTCTTCTTCCTGAGCTTTTTAAGCAGGAGAGTGATTCTAATTGTGGTTGTTTTGTGTTTATAGTTGCTTGACTTCTAAATGGCCTTTGGCTGGAAGTTTTGGTGGTTTTCTACTTTATTTTTTCATCATTTCTGGGTTTTGGAAATAGTTTTTGTCAATTGTATGGTGAGGGTATGCCTCTCTGGTTGCCTTGTATTCTTGGTTTTGTGGTTTAATGAAAGCTTACATGGGAAAAAAAAATAGCCAACTCCATTTCAATAGTTTAGGCATTTCAATAAACATTAATTCAAACAAAACAGGATACGCATAACCAATACCAAATAGCAAAGGTTTTGTTAAGTTGAGAATGAACATGGACTCTCATACAGTAATTGAGTACCCATAAGTGTGCTAAAACTCAGTAATCGAGTACAGGTGACTAGGGAGCAATATCAAGTTGGGATACAAACTAGAGCTTAACATAGCATAAGACAAAAATATTAGCGACCACCAAATAAGCATGCTAAAACTCAGGAAGGCAATAAGTGATTTTAAGAGACTCGGACATAGACATAAACCAATTCTACCTGGAGGAGCAGGTACGGGTTGAGGGGCTTGAGGCACATTTCTCACTGTAGATGAATCATCCTGAGGTGTGTGTGTTACACTTAACTTTCCAGGACCAGGAGCCTTGGCTGCTTTTGCCCTAAGAGCGTACCGCCTATTTTGGAACCAATTCCATACCTGTACAGAAATTAAAATTAGCAAAAGATTCTTCATCGGTCGTCATCATGCAGTAAAGCAAAAAGTGTCTTACTTGTTTCATTTGAACGACAACCTTTCCGGATCGTTCTGCTGTAGCACTACAACCAAAGACAAACCACATCACAACCTTACTTCTGATGCTGATAATACAAACAAGAAGTTTCCTCCAAGTGTTACTATTCTTAGAGAAATGCACATTAACTAAATACCTGAACTTCTCAGCAAGAGCTACGAGAACTTCACGTGTCGGCACCTGAGTATTGTGTTCCTGCAGAATAGCTTCCATCTCCGCTACCTTAAGAAAGAGCCAGTAATGAATTATATCATTGAGTATTTCTCAAATATATCTAAAACCTCCAAACCGATATCGACATATGACATACATAATAGCATTTTCACTGTATCACGCCGGACAAAGAAGGCTAATTAACACATGCATTAAATGGATACCCGTAATGCAAAGAAGGAAGAGTTTCATTGCCTTATTGGCATGCATTTTAAATTATGCATGATCAACTTGTTCCATCTGATCTTTAAAAAGATGTTTTCATTGAACATCTTAGATTGCATAACCAGGTCTAAAAATCTTTTTACCACATATTAAATGTTGTTGCTTTAGCAAAGTTATTGTCTCAAATTACAGTAGCTCCAAAATTTTAACGGGAGGTGAGGAGGAATTGAACTACAGGAAGTTTTATCAACTTTAAAATTTCATCTAACCATCCCCAAACCACGCAATGGCGGGTGCCTCGTGCACCAGTCTAGCCCTTATACACCAGATGGACAAACTCTAAGGAGGCAAAAATCGTAGGCAAAGGTATTATTTTAACTGCTAGACTCTATCTATCTAACGTGATGTTGTACCACAAATGTTGTAGAACTTAAGCCTTTCAAACCATATATATATGTATATATATAAGAATAACAAGTACACAACATATTATTTTGAAATTTTTAAGATTTTCTTCCAAATTGCAAACCCATAATGGAAATGGTCTAGAAAGTCGAACAAAAAAAAAAAGAGATTAAATCATGAGAAAGCTGGATTACAAATAAGTAGAGCTCATGACTCTTCTCATGATAGGGTCCTATTAGGAGCATTACTCTTACAAAAATAGCACAAAACATTCAACTTCCCGACGAGATAAAATCAACATCATATTCAGAACCTAGATATCTAAGCAGCCAATTATAACAATAAAAACACATAAATTGAACCAATTGATGTGAATATGAGTGTGTGTGTGTGTGTGTGTGTGTGTGTGTGTATATATATCAAATATATAAGAAAGAAGAAGGTTACCTCAGCCGGGTTGAAGCGGAAGGCGGGCCCTCCGTTACTCGGAGGTCTCCCCATCAGCTCCTCAATTCAGTCCAACTCCCAGCGCTATAGAGAGAGAGAGGGTCCAAAAAAACTGTCGAAGTTCAGAGAGAGAGAGGGTGGAGGGAGGAGAGGAGCGCCCGTTTGGGTTGGGTTCCGATCTCGGGTCGAAAGAACTGCAAAAACAAAATAAGTAAACAGGGTAAATCTGCAAAGAAAAGCAGGCCATGAAAGGGCACTTGACAGAGGGTGTGAAGACCAATTTGCCCTTACAATAAAAGGGCACCATTCCACTTTAGGCGTGACTATAGCTGATGTGGACAAGGGTACTTTCGTCATTACATAAAACATTGGTCCACAAACTCACAGTTGGTCAATGTGCCATATAACTTTATTTATTTAAGTATTTTTTAAATAATAATAATAAAATAATTTCGTCCCAATTTAGTTCTCAGTTTTTTCTTTTGGGTAGTCCAAAATACTTGTTCATTTTTTTAATTCAAAAAATATATTTTACATTTTTTCATAAAATACCCTTACACTTTTAAAAATTTATATATATATATTCAAACCAACTTAGTAATTTTAAAATAAGACAATACAATAATTACATGTCTTCTTAAAAAATTATCATCCCAAAAGTGACATCTCAATAACATTTTAAAAAAAAAAAAAAAAAAAAAAAAAAAATTTAAAGCAAACACAAACTCATTATCTATAACACTTGGAACTCCGACTATCAACTTTTTCCTTAGTTAATTGATAAAGGAATTATTTCAATTGCCCTTGGATAAAATAACATTACCTTTAACATTCAGAATACTATGCAAAAATTGTGATAGTTAAGGAATCATTTGCTAAAATCGTAAATCAGTGAGTTATTTGTTTAAAATGATATGCTATAGTCTCATGGGTTTTTTATGACTAATGTTTTTTTTTTCAACCCTAATACTAGTTGTAATTAATGCTAAGAGATCGAGAAAAGTATTACAACTGATTTTTAAAAATTTAAAATAATATGTGATATAACATATAATAAAAAAAAAACTGAAAGCAAAAATGACTGAAGAAAAATTTTCTTTTCGATGGAATTTCTTTTTGGACTAGTAAGAGCTGTAAAAAAAAAAATTATACTTAGTAAATGTATTTTAGGTAACACATTATAATAAGTACTTTTCACAATTAAATTATTTTTTTATTTATTTGGTAACAATATTTTTTTAAACACTTCTATTACTAATTTTACAATAATATCCTTTAATAGGATGTTATCAAATTTGATAATAGCAACTTTATTAAGAAATCATCTTTATAAAAATTAAAAAGAATAAAATTGTCTAATGATGACAACTCCCAATTCTAACTTCATTCATAAGCTCTATTGAGTTAAACATGGTAACTATTAAAAGGGCTTTTAATTGTTACCAATCACATCTAAACATAATTTTTTTTTAACTAAAAACACATTTAAACAGTAAATAAACCATCTCAAACAGTTTTGTCCCTAGTTTTTGGACATTTTATGAATCAGCAGCCTTCTTTTGCTTCAACGCATTTACATAGAAAACTTGTTTCGGACGGCTAAAGCAAATAGCAAAATTATTTTGCAAAGCTAACTTTAAAAAAAAAACACACAACTCTAACTGATTACTTTCCAAGCTTGTCTCAATTTTGTTTGAAGCATTAATTCAGAATCCAAACAATGTTTTGGATAAATGATCGTCAATGCTGCAGATTCTTGCCATATAACAACACACAACAATTGCCTACAGAAAGCATCAGTAAGTAAACTGATAAGAGTAGATAATTTTTAGTTGATGATTCTGTCACCAACTGCAACATCCTCGTAACATCCATAATATGTTATAAAATACATAATACCAAATAGTTTGAAAACATTTTATATACATTAAAGATGTCCTCGGTAGTATCAGATCTGCTATCTTCTCCCATCAAGAACCTCCCTAATGGATGGTACAACTTCTTAAACTAACAGAGACTTCCTATTATTCCTTCCATGGTACAACCAGAAGTTCTGAACATCTGATCTGTCTTCTAAGCACCATCGTCTTCGAGGTTGTCAACGGTGTTGACACGTTCACATTCATCAATCCATTCACTATATCTGTAGCCAACACAATTTAGTAACATCAAGAAATGCCTGGTAAAATGATTAAAGTAATAAGTTTAGGGTTCTTATAAATTTAACTCACATGTCTATAGCTTCGGTTAAAGCTGCAAATGAAAGATAATAAGAATGATCAGCTCATCTCAGATAGATATTTGAAAGGAACAAATTAAAGTCAACATAAAGATAAAATCCCCAGCTTGTATCGCAACTACTGAGCGAGAGAGATGCTGTCACCACTAGACAATGGAACCAAGCACTCAATGCCGAAAGGCGAAAACAGCAAGCATAATAAGGAGGAGAAAGGAGGGAGGGGGGAAACCATACCAAATAGGTTCAGGAACCAATGAATTCTAATTTAGACCATCCTCTAAAATCATTAGATAATTATATTGGATCAGATTCAGATATTCTCTAAATCCTCCAAGTTTAAACATACCCTAAAGGTATCCAAATTTGATCCCCATTTACATGCTGTCCATCAATTTAACATGTAAAGAGGCAGAAAACACTTCCCCTTCTGTCTTTTTGTGCTTGTAATAGCTCTTGGACACCAACTGATGCAATAGTGGAACATAATTGCTAACCTATCTGTGGCTTCCTCTTTTGTCTTCTGGCACAATTAATTAGGACTTTTTCTTTCATACTTACAACTGAGGTTGTGGTGTGGCAGCAAAATTAAATGTGCATAAACTAAGGTACGCCTAGGGATTATGGACCTCCCATTACAAGTATTACAAGTTAATTTTAAAAAATGAGGAATTTCTTGTGCTATACTCCCTCAGCTTGTCCCTTTTTGGAATTCCAACTCTATATCCATATTCTTAGTTGGGAAAGTTTTCAAAAGTTGAGGATATTTTGAAAAATATACAATCTTTTTACACTTTTCAAATGGAACATGACTTTTAGAATAGAGGAAGTAGAAGAGTAGCTGATGAAACCAATCCTAATAGCAATTTGTCAATTTGCAAAGTTTTTTCAAAACAAAGTTACTTCCTTATTTCATAACAAAGTTTTTAAAATTTATTCTTCTTTCATCCAAAATTAGCGAGACTCAATCCACTCCTTTAGTCCATAATAAATAATCCATTCTATTTTTCTTTTTTTTCATCAAATTCAGAAATACAAGACCATGCCCCATTACTAGGTTTTGACTCTTTCATTACAGGTTGTGGGGAAGTCCAGAGTCCTAGTCCCACCATATCCCAGAGTATTACCAAATTTTTGGACATGAGTAACTCTCAGTTATAAGCAATGAACTTGTACATACCTGTCACAGTAGTGCTAAAGCTTTCTTGGCAAATCCTGCATACGGCCTCACCAATCAAGTTCTTCATATCACTGGAAGCAGATAATTTTAATGTTTCAGTACGTAAAACAAAATTTTGAAGACTGTAAACAACAAAACAAATAAAATCTAACCCTTCCATATTTTTCACTGCATCAATCCATTGCAACGATATATTATGCCAGAAAAACAAATAATGAAAACTGAGACAATATGGAAATACTGAAAGTATAGTGATTCTCTTTGGCATGTATGCTCCACTAGGCAAATAGATCCCTAAAACTCAAAAACTGGATCTGGATAAGTAAAATTACTATTTCATATTGTATTTTTTTCGAAATTTTTCAAATTGTATTTGTTGACCGGATTCTAATTATAAGAATTAATGATTTTACAAGATCCTGCATCCATGGAAAACTAAGATGCATATATTACTTGTGTAGACTGAAATCACTAATCAGACCTTCAGGTGAACACGTATAAACGAATTTAAGGTGGTAATTCTCCAATTTCAGAAAGGAAGTACATGACACAAAGTGCTCTGATAAAATCATCACAAAACAGGAGTTACTTTTAAAATCTTCAACAAAATAATTATGAGCGTAAAACTGTCTTGAGTTACAGACTATACATTTTTCTTCATTTTGTTTGAATTGGTTAAAATCATAAAGACCTGGTTCAGTGTTTCATGACTTTGGGATCTTTGTTTATGATTATTTATTCTATTTGTATTGATCGAAAAACAAACAAGTAGGTTAAATGAATTTGGAGTTTTAATAAGAACATAAGTTGAAGCATACAGTCATATACAACCCAGAAGCATGAATTATTGTTCGGAAGAGCTCAAATAAGATATCTCAGCATAATCACCTCTCCCAACTTCATTAATATAACATGGGCAAATAACAATTAATAAACACTTACATACGGCATTCCACACTGGTCCCATGATTACAGAAGGGACAGCTGAAAACAGTATCAAGCTTATCCATTCTCTTCTTAGGTGGTGGCTTTGCCCTTGACTTCCTTTTACCCATTTGTCAAATCAGTTGTTTTCCTGCAGTATCATCAGCATTTCAAGTATTACATCATCCGCTATATCATTGAGTATGCTCATTAACTCTATTCAACAAAACGAATTTACAAGTACTAAAAGCAACTTGAAGTGCCAAACTGTAGTTGACTCATAAAATGCTTATTAACGGGTACTATGAGTAGTTTTTCATGAGCAGTAACAACCTCTAACTCAGAATATGAGCTTATTGAATCTAAGATTATTCAAAAGATATCTGACAAGAGGCAATATCTAACACTAAATTGAAAATCCTACAAAATTATCAGAGTAAAAAAGTCTCTTAACTCAAGAGGAGAAAGACATTCAAAATAGTAATTTATCCATAACAAAATCATACAACCAGTACTATAATGCACTACAAGAAAAATTCCCAATTGGGTACCAAAATGCCCAAAACCAGCATAGACAAGAAAAAATAGGAAATGTAATGACAACAGTGAAAACAAAAAATAAAATACCAACTTTTAACCTAATGTAAATACATTCCACTCATTTTTTAATCAACAATTTTTTTAATATTGGGAGATACCACATAATATTGTTTTCGTTTCTCGACAAATGAGAAAGCCAACTACACAAGTTAGTAGCTGTATTGGGCTCAGCTGAGTGGAGGATGAGAATTTTGAACTACTTAATCTCAAAATATATAAGAGTGTGTCTGTGTGAGGATATCAAAAATTATCTTCCTACCTTCTCAAAGAAATCAAAGACATAAAGGAACCACAAGAAAGAAAGAAAGAAAGAAAGAAAGAAAGAAAATTAGCTGCATTAGCCCCAAAACTAAAAGCAACAGAACGCAAAATGTTCCTTCCTCCAAATACAGTAGCAACTCAAGAGATAACCAAGTATTTATCAACCCCAAGAAAAAAGGTGAATGCCCAGGACTAGTCCTATCAAGGTGTAAAGTTAGTTATAAAGGGTGACCTATCCTCTGACTTCAATTGCACATAGTGGAGGCCTGAGACTTCAGACCATGTCTTCACACTAAACGCCAAGGTTTTACTTTTACCACTGCACCAACCAATACCAACCAAAACTGGGAAGGGAGAACCAAAATCTAAACAGCAAGAGCAGTAATGAAATCACATAAAAGACCCATTTTCAACAAAAAAGAATAATTAATAATTGCAAGCACCAAACCCTAGCCGAAAGAAGAACTTATTAAAAGATGTATCAAAACACTAAAGTGATGTCTAATGAAATCTTATAAATCCTTCTCTTACCTTTTTGAAGTAAAAAAATCAAACCAGTCTCGCTTCCAAAGTCAATACGAACACTTCCAAGGTGCTAACCAAACAATGTTTAAATTTCTCAAATATAAAAAAATCCAATACGGTAACTAACCAATTCCTAAAATTCTTCTACATATTACACAAACCCTAAATGAAGAACCTAAACATGGAATACTGGAAATCTAATCTGAACAAAAATAAACAATTTTTATCAATTTTTTAAAATTTTAAGAACTCCAGAAACGAACTTGAAAAGGAAGATGCGCACTAGGAACCCATAAGAATATCGATATCTAACCCTAGAAATAGGAGGGGAATCCAGGACACAGATAAAAATACTTCAATTTCGCGAAGATACCCACTAGAAAAAATAAACCCTAAACAAAACGCCGTAGACCAAGAAATTGATAAAGATCATGTAAATATCGGAAGCATACCTGACAATCCGTACCGTTCGCGGCTCCAAAGAAAATTCACAGACTTGAAAGGATTTTATAAAGGTCTCAATTTTAAGAGAAATTCTCCAACTTTATCGCCTAACATTCTAGACAACTTATCACGACGTCGTGCGAAGGCTGATAAAAATGTACATTCTCCAAACTACCCTTCAAAAGTGTAATAATTTGGGGTGGGATTTGGGTTGAATATTTGAGAAGATCCCAAAAAACAAAAACATAAAAAATTGAAGTTAAGATGGAATGAGTAAGTTCTTTCCTAATTGTAATACAAATCTAATTAAAATAAATAATAAATAATTTTTTTTTTTTTATTATACACATAAAAGCAATATTCAACTTCTCAATTGAAATTTAAAACTAAAATTATTGTTAAAATATCAAAAGAATACATAACAGTTCTCAAATAAGAATACTACAAAAGAATGTTTAGTGATTGAAATAAAATAAAGTTGGTTTGTTTAATATATCCTAATATTATTGAACATAAAATAAAGTATAAGGGCAAAATTATAATTTAACACTATAAACCGGCGAGGTGACCTTTTTTCATTCCCGCCCCATAACTTTGCGGACTTTCAGTCCTAATTCTCATCCCCGCCCCAAAACCATTTAACTAAGATGGCAACGGGGCGGAGTTGGGGCGGGTTTGGCTAATACCAACTCCGCCTCGTTAGAAAATCTGTCATATCAACTCTGCCCCTATTATAAGACGGGTTTGTAATTGATATATCATTCTCGTGCCTACTTCGGCAAACAAAGTATCGACTCTGCCCTGTGTACTCTTTTTAATTGCGAGGCAGGGTGGGACGAATTATGCCACTTTTATTATTTAGTAAGAAAAACTAGCTCATTGTACTCAAATTGGGCTGATAAATAAGTTAACTCAGCTTTTAAATTATTAAATAATGAATATTATATATTAACTGACACTTTCAACAAATTGTAGGGATGGCAATTCGTGTTCGCAGGTAATAATCATGTCGTGTCGACCTAAGGGTATTATAGTAAATAACTCAAACCATACACGACCCGTTTAATATTCAAGAACCTACAACACTAATCCGACCTGTTTATTAAACGAGTTACACATGTAACTAGTTTAATGACCTTTTTACTAAAACAAAAAATTATATTAGTTAAATTAATAATAATACTCAATCAAATTATGAATACTAAGAAAATATAAGTTATAATCCAACCAAATTACTAAATAGTCTCTAGTTTACAAAAAAGTAAATTATAAGACACAAGTTTAGATAGTTATTCTGGAACTTAAATATAAATTTATTTATAACACGTATACTTAAACGGATTACGCAGGTTGAACCACCTTAACACAAAACACGATATGATTAGCTAAATGTGTTAATCGTATTAACTTGTTTACAAACTAAATCCGTTTAAAATCAACACAAACCCGTTTAACTCATGTCGTGTCAAACTTTGTCACCCCCTACAACAAAGTAACAAGGATCTTAAAAAAAATTAAATATTATATATATATATATGAGTAATATATATATACACACATACACATATATATATATATATATATATATATATATATATATATATATATATAAATTTTAAAGGTACATGTATAATTGGGATGGGTTTCTCACTAAATCCGCTCCGTCCCGAACCCGCTTCAAATTTTCAATTATTATACCATACCCGTCCCAAAGCCAATTAGGGGGCTACCAAATTCGCCCCATTAGGGGTGGGACAGAGACACTACGGGTCAAAAGAAATTGTCATCCCCACATTTAACCAACCCCATAACCATTCTAAATGGGACGGGGTGGAACGGGTACTTGATGGGATGGGATATTTTGCTATCTTTACTTGAAATGATGACACTTCCAAAAAAAAATTTCAGTAATTATTTTGTCCACGTGGGTCGGCTGATGGTGAATTATGAGTGCTCCAAACACCACCATCGTCGACAAAAAAACGAAAACCAAAAAAGGATGATGACACTAAAATCGAGTTTAAATGTTAAAAGTTTAAATTTACTTTGAATGCACAGATAAAGTGAGAAATTTAATTTAATGGGGCATATGTCAAAGATATATATTTTTTTTTTTACCAAAATAAATATATAAAATGACTTTTCATATTTTAAATGTTGCATGATAATTTCTTTTAATATATGAAATAATTTCAGTAAATTGGGAAACATTGGCATTGTTTTAATTATTTAAAATAAATCAATTCATTGATGTTAACAAAATTATTACCTTTTTTATTTGTGACCTAAAATCAAAGTTTTATTCACAAAGTATGAGATTGAGTGAAAAAATACTCGCTTAAGGTCAAGAGATATATTGAAAGAAGATCGGTTGCCCTTGGAGGAATAATAATACAAGGGTGAAAGAGATATAATTTTTTTTTTTTTTTTAGGGTTATAAGTTAGATTAGTAGGTACAAAGAATCGAAACCTGATACTCCAAAATTTACCAGAGACATTAACCACTGAGCTATTGACAGCCGACCTTACTTCAAGCATCAATGGCGGTAATTATTTCACTTTGACGTATAAGCCTAAATATCGAGTCTGAATATCATGACTCAAATAATACAACTAAATAATCACAAGTTTCCCCCCACAAAATAAAGTAGATATTACTGAAATTTAAGTGTGGAGGTTTTTAAGTGCGATGCTCCGTCATCTTCCAAGAATCAGTGGAAGAAGGCTAAGGCCGGGAACAGTACACACCCACAAGGGGCACCACAGCAGAATCGTTCTGCACCCACAGTTCCAGTATCTTCGGGGTCAGCCCGATGAGTGATTTGTCACCATTGTTAGCAGTCGGGGCACATCAAGCCTCGCTGCCCGCAGTTTCAGCCACAGACCAGTCAATCACAGGCTAGTAAGCTCATTGTCTAATCCTTCATAATAAATTAAAGTATGGTTTATATTTGTCACTTACATATCAACAGGGGTATTTTAGTAATACTACATTAATTTAATAGAGGTCATTTGGAATCCATTTGTTATGGTACATTACATCACAGACTTGTTTACGGAAAGCCTTGCCATCTTCCGGTTGAGTTAGAACACAAAGCTACGTGAGCGATTAAAAAGCTCAATCTTGACCTTAATAAAGCCGGAGAGAATCGGTTATTCTAATTGAGTGAGTTGAAAGAGTTGAGCTATCCAGTCATCTGCAAAGAGATATCAATGATTAATGTGAAAGAGATAAATTTGATGGTTTTGAAAATTTGATAGGCAAATAGGCTTAAAGAAAGAAAAATAACAATTAATAAAAAGAAAGGATTGAAATATACATAACTAAAATATAACAAAAGTTGAGTAGGGGCAATTGCCCTGTCACATGCGATTTGGACAAATGTTTTGCTAACTGGAGTAAAACTTAAAATACAAGAAAAGTCGTCATTTTCTTTTTCTTATGGCTACATGTTATTTATACATAATTCAAGGTTAAGACTGGATGATTTATTCTTTGATGACGGTAATTATTAAGCAAACTTGTAACATAATTATTTGAAAAGTTTCAAGTAAAATTTAATTGCTAAGCTAAAATTACAATCGCACATATCACAAGTGCTTGAAATGAGATCCATTCAATGCAATGCAACACCGCACGATTTTGTACCGCAAAGGATCCCAACTCAAAACTCTCTGTCCTTGAATGAAATCAAGTCCCGAGGGGCAATCCTTCGGATCATGTACAATGAAGATGGAATATATCATCACCACATCAGAAACCTATTTCTCATACAGTGTCTCAATGTGAGTGCATTCCTCAAAACTGTTAATAGTTGATTAAAAATGACCAAAATTAATATATGAGTAATGTCATTAAATGACTCATTTAAATTTTCACAAATATAAAAAAAACCATCTCAATGGAGTGGTTAAATATAGAGAGCTCTCTTGAGAACATCACTCATTAATAATTCAAAAAATCTATTCTACATAAATCCCTGCTAGTTCATTGCTAAATTTCCTCTAGAAGAATAACAAAAATGAAGTTTACAACACAATTTCCTCCTCTATTATAGCAAAATAACAATTGTTGTTCATTGAAGAAAAATCAATTGCGAACAGAGCTGGCTCATGAGCTATCTCACGAGATAGCACTTTGAGCCTATCTAATCCGTTGTCGTCTTCTGGTAAAACAAGATAGATTCTGCCAAAAATTTAGCAGCAGGCACAGCTGCTGATTCGCAAAATGGGAGTGATCTATACATGGCAGTTACAATTGCTGTCTCTACTCCGTTCTTCACTTCTATATCTTTAATCATCCTGTAAGCTCTTTTCTTCCTTCGATCGAACTTTTCTAATAGACTTTCATGAAGCAACTGATGTATAGTTGGACTGTTTCTGAAGCATTAACTTCTAACGGGAAGTTGATGCTGAGATGTAGCAGCAGCATGGTTTGTATTTAAACCTTCTTTTTCTTTTGGTTTCCTTTTTGGTTTACGTTTCTTCTGCTTTTGCATGAGCCTGGTGAAATCTTTGACACTCTTCTCCCATTGTTTCTTGTTTTTCTCATACAGCAGCATTGCAGCACGAGCATCTTCTATCTGAAACAACACACATCACCAAGACATTGTTAAATGGGTTCAAGTTTCATGATGGCCCTAGCAGAGCATGGTGGATACAAGAGTGATAGCAAAGTAAACACCAAAACAAATTAACCCTCCCAAAGAAAATGTAAAATTATCTCCCAGATGAAACATTTGACAAAACTATCTCTGGCCTCCCCTAACTCAATTAATTGTAATAATGAAAATACTACTTTACCCTTCATTTTTTATCTTCTACTTCTCTTCTCCTTACCCAGCTCAAACCCACAACGAGACCCACCGCCTCTCTCTTCAAGCAAATCAAAATCGCACCACCACCCACCAAGCCGCCGCCACCAACCAACCACCACCACCCCCACCGCACACCTCAGCCTCACCCGGCCCAAGCCCACAACAAAGTCATACATATATATACACATACCAAAATTAGACACCGTTGACCGATGACCACCTTGAAGTAAGGATTTGACGCCATCGGCCAAGCCCTAACAATCGCTACAAGGAAATCAATTCAATTCCAACCATATCCCCAAATTACCTCCACAATTACAATTTTCTCTCTCATCTTATTGCACAATAAATATGGGTGAATTTTCTCTCTCTCTCTCTCTAAAACCATGACATGTAGTTGTCAGCCTCTGTTTACGATTTTCCTTTTGTGTTATTTCTTTCTCATATAAACAGTATACCTCTGCTTGAATGGTTGGGTTTTGTGTTATACTTTTCTTGTGTATTCCATTCTTGGATTCTTCATCTTTTCAATTCTCTGTTTTATCAGATTCCCAAACACTCTCTAATCTCTCATTGGATGCACATACACAAAATATATAGATTTAACATTTTTCAAAGCCCCCACATGCTTGTTATTGGGTTTGTCTGATCTGGGATTGGATCACAAAGATCTCTCTGTTCTTTTTCCCATCAGGGACGGGTCGTAGTAGGAGTTGAAGTTATCGAGACCCATCGCCACGCTTTTTCAGGGCGTTGGAGCAGTGGGTATCGACGAAGCCGGCGCGCCGGTGATGATGACGGAGAAGTCGTTGGGTGGCGTTGGGCGGACGAGTGGCGGACTTGCTTTTCCCAATTGGCACCGCCGCTGTAGAAGGTGGAGGAGAGGAAATTGTGGGTGGTGTGGAGGTGGTGGTGGTGGTGGTGGCTGTCAGAAAGTGGTGGGTAATTCATGGTGAAGAAGAAAATCAAGACTGGGGCAATTAACGGAGGCGCAAAAGAGGAGTTTGGAGGAAGCAGCTAAGAGCTTGGTGCTGTTTACTCTTTTGATGTAGCTGTTGTAGCGTTCGAGTTTGGCGGTCTTGCTTGTGTCTGGCGATGCCATTGGAGGAGTTGGAGATTCTAGAGAGAGAAAATAGGGGTGGTGGGTCTTGTTGTGGGTTTGGGCCGGGTGAAGAGAGGAGAAGAAGAAGATAAAAGATGAGGGGTAAAATAGTATTTTCATTGTTACCATTATTTGAGTTAGGGGAGGTCAGAGATAGTTTTGGCAAAGGTTTCATCTGGGAGATATATGGACAAACCTCAGGATAGGTGAGGGCATTTCACCCAATAAATAAAAGTAATAAGTAAACAGTTGAAGAAGAAGAAGCAAAACAATAACAATTACAACACACACACACACACACACACACAGAGTTCAGCCACCATTAACTTTCTAAATTCTTCATTTTACAAGGTATGCTATCAGTTGCTTAAATTTTGCAAGATTGGCATGATAGTTCAGCGGCATTACTTTTAAAAGCCAATGAATTAGCAGATGATATAACTTTCAGTTTGAAATAACCATCATCTCCACGTTAACTAATGGGAAGCCTAAGGAACATGATACTCACAAATTTTGGCAATCAGAAGTACCTACTATACGACAAGAAACATCAGGTCCATGAAATGAGGTCAGTGGGAGGTAATTCATGTCCAAAACAAGCCTGGACACAACTTAGTACCTCCAAAACAGCTGAGTCTCAGCCAACTCACTATATTAGTGGACAAAACTGGCCAAAATTCTGGAGCTCCAAGTGGATTTTGCTTCATCCAACCAAATGAAGCATTATCCAATATACTCGTTGTACATGTTATAACAAATGGCAAAAGGATACTAATATGCATATTAAATGACCAAAAAAAAAAAGAAAGAAAACACCAGAAAGTCAAGTAACTAACAGAGCAGTGCTCCCCATCTTGAATCTTCACACCAAGAAACTCCGCTGCAAGATGCCTAAGTGCCCTACTACGCCCTTCCCTGTTTATGATCACACATGTTTATAAGAAACTTCATAGCTAATGTTCAATATCAACTGCAGCAAATAGGGGTAATTACTATAAGCCAGGGGAGACGTACTTTAGGAAGGGTAGGTACTCCGAGGTATCCCGCACATCCTTCTTTGGATGACTTAATAGCAATGCCTGTACAGAAAATCAACTATAAATACTAGGATGACTATTTCATGAGACGAAACCAGGAAACCAGATATGCAAACCTTAAGATCATTGCGTAAGGCATGGCCAATGAGAATCCGTCCTTTGATCATTTCTGCCACTTTCTTCTGAACAAGACGGAAATCTTTTGCTGCAGATGACATAATTAATATGCATGAGGCATTCTACAAATGTCCTTATAGTTTCGAAATTTTCCAATACTTAAACCATATTTGCATTAAGTATTAGATGTTAAATACATGGTAACATGGAAAATTCTATGTAAATTTAGATATCCAAATAAATCATTAACATAAAAGCTAAATCATCATACTATATAGAAAATATATTAACAAATCAGTTATGAAACTCATCCATGAGAAAGCCAAAAGGCATCTCTTAATAAAATTACAATAACTTCCAAATCTTGTAAAGATCTGAGCACTTAAAAAAGACGGAAAGAAAATAAAAGAGGAAGAAAAGGAAACACCAAAATATAAGATACATTTCAACCGTGAAATGCCTCTATCAAATTGTTGATCTTGGCACAATCTAGAAAAAAGATGCAGCAAGAGAAGGAAATGTCCATGAGTTCAGCCAACCCTTTCCAGGGCACTGGAATAATGCTTTCAGAGATCGCTTGGTTTCAAGTGAATTACCCAGAGTATATCCTGTCTGTGCAGGGTGCTAACTACTAGGAGCGGGACATTGGAGACCGACCTAACTTTTAGCTTTATTTTGAATAAAGTAGCTTATTGCAGACTTGAAGCCACAAATTCACTCTTGTCGGTCCAAATTTTACCATTCCAGTTTCCACCAAGCAATGAATAATGATCCTTAGCCTGTTGAGTAAAACTGCTCTATATTTATTTATTTTCCCTTTGTTTTCATGGTGATGATAGATAAGCTCACAAGCATTAGATTAGACATCAGTGACTATCCATATCCATGAAGGAATATGAAACTACTGAATTTTTAATTGAATACTGTTGAGAGATCAATCATTGCATTTGAGGAGCACATCAACCATATAAATGTCTGTCAAAATGGAAGGTTAATATGGAACATTTACAAATAAGATTAATTGGCAATGGCACACGAAAGACGCTTTGAAAGTGGTACAGAGACTGAAGTTCAGCTATGTGTGCAAGGTTGAACCAAAATAACTATATTACACAGACACTTGCATCATCCACACCACATGGGACATCCAGATACCAAGAAAATAGAAGATACATACCAGAATGATATCCAGGTACTGAGAGGAGAGAACTGCAAATCAGAATCATGCTGCTAATAAAGTATCATTTTTAATATATGATAAAATTTCTTCTTCCTAAAATCAGGACCCAACCATTTCTCTCAGATAGTCTAGAATCGTAACAGTTCATATGTACTCTTTCATGATATCATACAGTCATAATACTCTTTCATGATATCACACATTCATAATACACACATCACATAAAATATGATTGCACTTAAATATGAAAAGAATAGGAAAAAAAGCAAAAAATCATCATTTGGATTCTCTAACATATAATATGCTATATATATATATACACATCTGTTAATCTGTAGAACAAAAACTTAGGTCTCTCTGTGTGTGGGTGTGGGTGGGGGTGTGTGTGTGTGTGTGTGTGTGTGTGTGGGGTGGGGGGGGGGGGGGGGGGGGGGGGGGGAGGGGGATTGGGGAAGGGGGGTGACAACAAAGATAAAGATCAAATCAACCTTTCCTCAAGTCACGAGGTCGGATTCCACTAATTTCTGTACGGAAGTCAACAACCCTGTCTAGTGGGCGAACATACTCATCATATACAACATTTCCCCACTTATTTACCTGCAATAAACCAGATTTCATCAATAATAAATGACATTAAAAATTAATGAAGTACCTCAAAAATTAGTCTGAAAAATCTGAAACATAAACTTGGATGTTGCTCAATAGAATATTAGAAATAAAAAATATTTGTCAGTACAGGGGTGACAAATATGCTGCATACCATTTGTGAATATACGGGTGACAAAACTTGCATTAGGATATTCACAAGTTAAAGCACTGTCTGACTTGAAACCTATATTACATGGACTCTTCAAAAGTAAGTGAAGTACCCGGACACAATATTCAGGCATGAGTATGGATATGTGTCCGACACTTTTGGTTGGAGATGCACCTAAAAAGTATACCCAATAATTCAAATTTATTATACTACTTGCTTTAAAATGAGTGAAATGCCTAAAAACACTATGTTACATAAATACATTATTTACTCTTGAAAATAAAATAGAAGTATTATTTAATATCAATAATTAGCAATGTCCATGTGTTCTTTTATTTGGAGATTTGACATGTCTGAGATTCATTTACATACCCACACTCAACATACATACCCAAGTCAATGTAACATGGCTGAAAAGTGAAAACTATGCACAACTATAACATGAGCTATTAGCGTATCACAAGTTTGAGAAAGCACCCAATGAGTGTAGTTTCATGATAAATAAAATGCAACACTACTGAAACACTCATCTTGATTTTGCTGCTTAAAAACCAACAAACGGGACCTTACCTATCACCAAGCTCTTAGAGAAATTTTTGTCCAAATATACTGCATGGGAAGCCAGTAATGTTGCATATCATTCGAAATCTGTGACAGAATCTGTGCTGAGTATTGTCAAAGGACTACACGATATAATATTGCCATATCATATGCACAAAACTATGAATGAAATCACTTCAGTGGCATGTTCCCAGTACTCTAGATTTATGTCTTCAACTCCTTTTCTCAAGAATGCAATTCTCTCAAGCACTTCTTTCTATCCTCCCTAAGCCCCTTCTCCTCCTCCGCTAGCACCTACCTTTCTTCTTTGATGTCAAAATCGTTAATCTCTTCCATCACTGTAGCGTTACAAACCCCATTTGCAGACAACTTCCTTATTCCACTGCCTCAAATCCATCTTTAACAACTGAAGTTTTCTAGCTAAAACATACCCTTGTCTCACAGATAAATGTTTTTTATTGCTGGACAAAGTCAAGTTTGATTACACTTGTTTAGTAATTTAAATTTTATGTTTACTCTTATGTTTTCACAACTTTTAAAGTTGAACAGGTGTGCATTGATAACTAATTCTCTCAAGGACTGGTGAACTTGTTGACAGACAAATTAACCACATCAATTGAGTAATTTACACTGATTAAGGACATAAATACCCAACTACTGGTTTAGATTAAATTAGGATAAAATCAAAAGATAAACTCCAAGACTATTAGGAGGTGGAATATCAAGAACGATGGCAAAAGTAGTATAGTATCACAGCCCAAAAAGATGGGGCATATTGACAAAATGTCAACTATGAATGTCCATGGCAGTAAATGTTTAAGAGATCTTCAGTAAAAAGAGATCTCAGAAGAATGTCATAACAGGAGATTGAAGAGACATAAGGATCTCGGGCCATTTTGGGATTGCAGAAAGGATGGATTGATTGGTTAGGAGGGGGCACCAGGATAAAGATGGCGTTCTACTTAACAATTCTGGCCCCTGCAGTTTTCAAGCTAGTATTTAGGCAACCAAGTCTTTACAAATTTGTTGGGAGTAAGCAAGCTAATAATGAAAATGCTAAGAACTATTCTATTGGTTCTAAGAACTCACTACGCCAGAGGACAGTTCTGTAGTTCCAAATGGTCAGTTAATTCATACAGAAATAGATTAAAGGTGAAAACTGTACTTTTGGATCACGCAATTGGTTGTTTGGTTCTTGTTGTGTTCCCCACTTGATATAAAATTTCATGATTCATAAACAAAATTCTAGTAAAAAAAATGAAGCATTCAAGGTCATCTTTCTATTGGAAAAAGCATGAAGCCCTTCACAACATGCAAACTAAAAATCATGAACATACCATTGATCTTCATGCTACACAATCAGTTTATACAAATACACACACAAAAACAAAAATGAGAGACGCAAAAACAAGTGGAACTAAAGAATACCATTGTGACCCGTGCAAGGGCGCTTTTGTTTCCCAGGGAACTGATGCCAACCATTTCACAGTCCATAGCTATTGTATCTGTCAGACTGTCTAGGGTGGATAAGTAATATGACAATAACTAAAGCATAAAATATTTATAAGTGACAGAAAATAAAAACCATGATAATGTACATTTTATTATAAGAATGAAAAGCTTATCGCCTTGTTAGAGTCTCTAATACACATAATAATTGTCATTTTCTCAAAAGTTTACATGAAAAATATGTATAATAAAATACATTTCTAAGCTTACCTCCTTTATATTGTCAAGGAAACATAGAGGAATGAAATATATATATATATATATATATATATATATATATATATATTGGTTCTCCATTGTTCGGGAAAAGAAAAGGAAAAAATAAAAACTAAATTTAACTGAGCCAAATTGCCATACAGACTTAGCTATTGTTAAATAAACATTGCTAATTAGAGATTTTGCCAATATTTAAAATATAGACTAAACAATTAAAAACCTTAAAGAAGTGAACTTTCTGGGAAATAAATAAATAAAAATGGCCACAAATAAGCAAGACCATGTACCTAAAATCGGATGAAGTGGTAATGAGAGGATTAGGCAGAGTATCGTCGGGGTCCACATTGGATCTCTCTTTGCGCTTCCCTGTTAAAATATGTATACATACATATATATATATATAGACAAAATCAGATAAGTGCGAATGATTAGAAAATTGATAAAGAAACAGAAGAAACAAACAAATTTATTAACCTAATACTGTTTTTTGGGTTTCTGTTTCTGATTTCCCTGGATGCTTTGAATAAGGTTTAGAGCCATTGCTTTTGAGTTTCTGCGCGTCACAAGTGAATAGACAGAGTAAGTGAGAGAGAGAAAGTGGAGGTGTGTAGAGAGAGAAGATAGGAGGAAGAAGTGTACTTCGCTTAGTTGTGCCCAGTTGGGGTTTAGCTGCAACTGCTTCTTAGGGTTTTTCAGCTGACTTCCCATCTTCGGTTATTTTGCTTCCAAGTTTTGGATTCGTTTTTGTTCATATGAGCATACAACGGCGGTCTAAAATTAATCGGCAAATATTACAGAAACTAAGCCCCGTTTGGTGTAAGAGTTCTTTTTAAATGATTCAATAATAAAATTATATCATTATTGTTATGACTTTTATTCTGATATTTTGTCATAATAATTTTTTTTTTTTTTTGGTTTCAAATCAACAAATATCATCTTGTATTTCACTTGTGATTATGTACATAAAATGTCAATATTTTTTAAAGAAAAAAATTGAACACATTTATATTATTTTTAAGATTATCGGTAAACTTGTGTTAAAAAATGTTTGGAAGTGTTGGCTAAGTATTCAACGAAGTGTAGAAAAGAATAAAATTTAATTTTTATTTATGGACACGTATATGAAGTGTCATACACGTGTTTGTGAAGTGTCGGTGTTGGACATAGATACGACAGGGTACGAACATAGTTAGTAAAATACGGTACGAAACGGGTAAGGAAATGTAGGAGTATAATTCGATATTTTTTTTAAAATACGTTTAAAAAATTCGGCAAAAAAATACGGAGACGTAAAAACACGAATACGAATATGTACGTGTATAATACATTATATACTCTAAAATTCGGGATAAAAAATTCGGCTATACACATCTTATTATTTTCTTTTATATATATATATATATATAAGGACAATAAAAAATATGTAACAAATAATGAAATAAATATATTACAATTAACACTATCACAATAATCATAAAAAAAAAAAATTATAAGTATATAATGTAATATTCTACTAAAACATCTAAGTGTGTGATAATCTACAAACTTCTAAAATAATTATAATAATAAAGATATTAACAAAATTTAAAATATCTCACAACAAAACAAAAAATCTATAAATATCTACAAACATCAATAAAAACTTATGATTCTTCAAGATTATAGTATTCCACAAATATATATATATATATATATATATATATATATATATTTCATTGTTGTGATTAAAGATCATAATTGGAGAGACAACAATAAGAGATTGCACAACAAATAACATTATTTTGATAGCTTGAAAGATAATGGCTATACCAAGCAAAAGAGGGTAGAAAACACAATAGTTTGCCCAACAAATAATATTATTTTGCTAGTTTCAAAAATAATGGCTATACCAAGTAAAAGAGGATAGAAAAGACAATATTTTGTGTTTTAGAAAAATACGTTATTACAAACGTGAATTTTGTAAACAAAAAATAATAATAATAAGGTTACGATTTTCTACAAAATTTTGTGTTTTAGAAAAATACGCTATTAGTTATTAGAAATGTGAATTTCATAAACAAAAAAAATAATAATTAGGTTACGAATTAAACAGAGCAACCAAAACGAATAAACGAATAAACGCGTTAGATACAGAGTAATAAAAAAAAACCCGTATTTTACTTTATCTTTCAACTTTGATCGACAAACGGAAGTATTTTTTCAAAATTCATACATACGCGTTTAATTCACGTATCATACGCGAATTAACTAACTAGGGTTACGACTTCTTCGTACAAACATCCGTTTTTTTATAGTATATGACTATATGAGTACGTTTCAGATTATAAAAGTGTTTTTTTTACCGTCTTTATACATAAGTTTTTGAATATTACTACAAAGTTTTTTAAATGAACTTTTGAATCTGTTGTTGTTTTTTTTATTATCTTTTCTTAAAAAAGAAAGAACTAAAAATTAAAATCATCTATCCAGTCAAGTCAAATAAAAGTGATTTTATGTAGCTGAACAAACATTCATATATATATAATTTTTTTAACTAGTTTTTTTTTTTAACTAGTTTTTTTTTTTTTTTTTAATTTTTAAGACCATTGTTAAATACTGTAATTCTTTGTATATAACACTTCTTCAAGTAAAATGCTAAGGCCTTGTTTGGTATCTGTTTTGTTTCATGTGTTTTTGTTGCAGGCCAGTAGTAATTTTTTAGCCCAAAACATGTTTGGTTCGGTCTGCTTCGTTGTCAACAGTGTCAAAACAGATTCAATTTTTGGGCCAAAAGTTGAAACATCATTTTGGTGTTTTACCATGTTTTGGGTACTGTTGGCCCAAATAATCACTGTAGCAGAGGAAGTAAAATCACTCAACTTAAACCAGACTTGTAACACGAATATAAACCATGCTTAAAACATTTCAGTCATTTTATAGGGTTTTCTAGAGAGCTCGAGCAAAGGCGATTTTGTGGCGATTCTGTTGTGTGTGCTTGTTTGGCTGAAATCCACCAAGCCGACCACTGTTCTTTGCTCTTTTGTTGTCTCTGTCGAAGAATAAGGCACGAATCAGAGAATTTGAAGTGATTATGGCTCAAAAATGGATCGTCGTATAAGATGATTTTTGCCGGACATTCTTTGGGGTCTGGTGTCGCCGCCTTTTTGACGGTGATCGTGGTGAACCACGGTGACCTACTCGGTGAGGTTCCAAGGAGTCATGTGCGGTGTTATGCGATTGCACGTCGCTCAATTTAGCTGTGAAGTATGCCAATGTTATAGACTCTGTGATCTTGCGGGTGAGGAATTTGAATGCCCCCAATTTGATTTGGTTTTTCTGGTTTCAGTTTGTTTGAATCAATCAAATGAGAAGTTATTATGAAATTGGTTTTATTCTGTTTATATTTGCTTGTAAATGTATATTTTTGAGTTGTTTGATTCAATTGCTTTTGGTTCCTGATAAAATTCATTGCGTATTAGCAACATATTGTAATGTTGGATATGTTGATTTTGAGGAGTCATTGCGTATTCCATATTTCCAAGGAGTGCGATGATTGGATCTGTTGTTCCTCTCTCCCTATCCTATATACGTGTGTGTATATATATATATGTATACTTGCTCATTATGCATGATTTTGGAAGTGGGTAAGTGATCTCAATTTGGGATTGCTAGCTTCTTTGATTTGATAGGTTTCTTTGGAGGGTGTTTAGTAACCTCAAAATACAGTTGTGAACCTCAAGAAGTTCAAGGAAATTAGTTCATATGGTTGGATGATTTCTTGGTAATTATACATGTGCAGTAGCACGAACCATCTCGATCTGAAAATAGATTATCAATAATATGTCTCATTAAGATTCTGGGTTATCTGTTGTCTGAGTTTTATTTACTGTGTTGAAAGGGTTTATGTATTTCAACTCTTTAAATGTTCAGGATAATTCATATGTTCTGTGTACTTCATAATTTTGGATAATATGAATGTTGAGGCTTTTTCTTTTCTTTTTTTTTTTTTGTTTTTTTTTTTTTTTTTGTACATTAGCTAATTAGCCTAGCACTAATATAAATTCACATATTCATTTACATACAAAATAAAAAGAAAAAGTTAGTTCCAGTATTTTTCTAACCTGACCATGTTAGTTTTAGGAAAACGTCCATCCGTTAGATCTCTTGTTCAAGAAAAGCTATGGTCTGTGGACAATGAGTTGTGTTTGGTTTGTTAAGCTGATTTTGACTGTTGCATCAATGGTTGTTGAGCAACTGATAGATATATAATTTGGTGGAAAGTGATGATTATTAAGCATATTTTATTGCATGATTGATTAATATTATTGAGTAACTATTTAAGAGAAAGCAAGAGAGAGTGTATGCATATATGATGGAAAAAAACTTATTTGACCTAGCTGATATGTTGTTTATGTCTTGAAAATACATACATTTCACCATCAATATATAAATTTGGTGGAGTTACTCCAATGTAATGAACTGACCATGCCAACTTAATCTTACCCAGGATGATTTCTTGCCAAGAACACCCACCCCTTGGAAGATGTCTTTAAATCAATGTTCTAGTTAGCTGTTTTTCATTTTTTAATTTTAAAGTTTGTTTTCTTTCCCTATAGTATCACAGAGACTGTTTTTTCCCCCTTAAAGTGATGGTGAAGACGATGAGATTGTTGAGCATGTGCCTCCGGCTCAACTTTGAGAAATGGATCAGTTGCGTAATACTATTTCTGATCGAATATAGAATTCTCTTGGGCTTTCTTGATCTTCCTGAAAGTGATGGTATGTTTTTTCCTTTATATGTAATATATTTGTTGCTATTGTGGACTTGTAATATATATCATTTTTGCTGTTACTATTTTGCTTTTACTATTATTGGCTAATATTATTGTTAATATATTTCAACTTAAATGCTACCATTGTAGATATGAAGTGTATTGATACTCTCTTGAAGGTGATGTGTGGTGTTATGAAGATGATGTGTCCTACTATTGAAGCTTGTTCCATAGAAGTGAAATTTGTGTTTTTTGAAGTATGTCTCTTGTAAGATCTTTTTAGTTTTTCTGATACCTTCCTAAACAGTTAAGGAAAACATAAGGAAACATCTTTTTATTTGTTAAACATCTTTTTCTTCATTTTTGAATCCTATTGTTGAAATTTGTAAACAATGAAGTGAATTGTGTTTGAACTTTGAATTATATCTCATGTGCGATAAACTCTGACCTTTTGATGCTTTAAAAGGTGAAGGAGACACAAGGAAACCTCTTTTTCCTTGGTCCCATGTCACCTACTACTGTTTAATTTAATCCACTGTTTAATTTGTTCCCAATTTCTTTGTCATTTTTCCTAATACAGAAAAATGAGTATGATTTGAGAAGCTTCTTTGCAAGCTTCCATTTTAGCAGGGTGCTTTTTTTTTTTTTTTTTTTTTTTTTTATGTTTGACTCCTTGATAGATGTTTTGTAGATGGAAGTTTGACTCCAAATAAATGGATTATAAATGTCAAAGGTAATCTTAATATCTAGATCATAAGAGCACAGTAAAAAGATGGAACTCTACATATCATCAAGACTCAAGTTGATGCCAAAACATTGGTCTCGGGATGGAAAAAAAATAGGAATTTTGTAGTGCAATTAATGGGAACCAATATTTTGCACAAATGAAGGCTTTCTTCATTCATTTATGTCTCTTCCTTTTTTCTTTTTTTTTTTGGTAGCAAAAAAGATGTGTTTGTAATTTGGTGGGGGTTTGCATTTCCTTATAGAAGAGAAGGCAAGAGTCTGTATTTTGGAGTTGAATTCCCACCAATGCAGACTTACAAGAGCCGAAAATTCTTATCAGAGTTGTGTAGTATTTTTTTTTTTTTTTTTTTCTTTTGCTAATGCACAAAATGAGCAAAATAAAAGAAACACAAACCTATGGACAATTATCACCAAAGGAACAAACTATATCAGGAAATTTCAAATAATTTGAAGTGTAATTTCAGATCAAGATAATATGCAAAATGGTTGAAATTATTAGTTCAATTACTAAAACTAACATTCTACATTTTCACTGAAGCAGTTGTTTCTGTAATTACACTTTGATTATATATATATATATATGTGTGTGTGTGTGTGTGTGTGTGTGTGTGTGTGTTTTTGTGTTCAAATTTCAATATATCTATTAAAAATATGATGACTATTTATATAGGAATAAATTTATAAATAAATTTAAAATTTATAAAAATAAATTAAAAACAATGATAACCAAACATGTTTTTTATTTCTTTTATTTTTTTTGACAATAGCTGGAGTTACAAAACATGTTTTGTTTTCAAAATTCTTGAAACACATGGCTTGCCAAACATGTTTTGCATATTTCTGTTTCCGACATTTCCACAGCAAAACATCATTCACAAACGTGCTTCCGATTTTTGCCAAAGCATTCCTATAGCAAAAACACTATTTCTGTTTTAGCCAAAAACAAAACGCATGCCAAATGAGCCCTTAACATCTTCAAGGTTAATTCGTGCTATCCATCGCGAATCGCGTGGCTGAATATATGGCAGCAAAGATGAACCATTTTCTCCAATAACAATGGTGTGGGGGCAAAAATATCCCCTTCCAATTAAGACAAGACACATCAGCACATAAGGGGACCACCACAAATAATGAGACTATTCAACCTTCAAATTGGGTCTCTGCAAGAAACTTGGGCCGGGTTAACTGAGCATAATGGGCTGAACTCATTAAGAAGGCCCTACCCCGAGCCCAATTATGAATACATTACTAAACCCATTTTAGTAACAGTCCTATTAGAAGAAGGATTATAATCTATGGAAACCAAATCCTTATTATAAGGATAGTATGATGTGATTTAAAATCTTAAGGAATAGGCAATGCGAGTCCTAAAAAGAATCGATTAGGATTTTTCCTATATAAAAAGGGCTTAGGACCCTCAATAAAGAGGAGGGAGAAAAAATGGGCAAAGTCTCCAAAGAGAGATCCAATTCTCTTCACCAGAACTACGTTCCGACCTGATTCCCACACTATATGAGGTAAGATACGTAGGCAATCTAGATAATCCTAGGTTCGGTCACATCATCAAAATATCCCCTCATCTCTGTACAATATCTCTAGTTCGTTGCTTCTTTTCTATTATTTTGCACCTACAAATGGTAAAAAAAAAAAACCACTATAAAACTATAAGAAAAATTTATATTCGTGGGTTTGATCATTGTTATGGTTTATGACTTATATTTCTTCTTCCATCAATTGTAAAGGTCATTAACCAATCTTCAACCCAAATCAAGTTGAACAAATAGGAAAAAAAATCCTAAAATCTTCAACTTAAATCAGTAAATTTTATTCCACAACACTTAAATCGAGGTAATACATATCATTTTTTACAATGACATACATGAGTGAAGGAAAGTAAAATTATGGAGACAACAATTGATATGGTAAGCTAAAGATTAATGGGTGGACAACTATGATTACCCAAAAGAAAAAATATATTGATGGTGTTCAACATTTAAAATACTCTTTTTTTTTTTATTATTATTTTTACACCACAAATTTATTTATTAATATACATGTTTTTGGTGCTTGGATTTCACATGCCTTTGATGCCTTTTAATGTGTTTTTTTTAAAAGGAGAAATACAACCAATACCATAACATCTTCTTCGGAATAGGAGGAGACCGTGATGGGTTAGGGCCCATTTGGGAAGTGTTGTGTAGTGTAGTGTAATACTCTAGCCTAGAACAAAACAAGTGTTTTGTGATGTAGTGTTCTTAAATGGAAACAAAACATGTTTGGGATGGAAATTTGGAATGAGAATTTTGGAATAGAAATTATTATTATTATTATTTTGATGATTAAAATAAATTAATTACAAAGCTTGATTAGTTTGCAAAACTATAATTACAGAGATTGATTAGTTGATTTAGAAAAAAAATTAAAACAAAACCCATACACACAGAATTGCAGTTGCAGAGAGAGAGAGAGACTAGGGCAATTGGGAGGCTGAAATGATTTTCCCTAAAAAAAATATTGCAGAGTTGAGAACGAGAATAGAGATGGAGGCGTTTGGGAAGCTGAAATGATTTGCCCTAAAAAAGATTAAAGCAAAACCCATATAAGTTTGCAGTTGCAAAGAGAGGGCGAGAATAGAGATGGAGGCGTTTGGGAGGTTAAAATGATTTACCCTAAAAAAAATTAAAACAAATCCCATACAAGTTTACCGTTGCACAGAGAGAGAGAGAGCGAGAATAGAGATGGAGGCGTTTGGGAGGCTAAAATGAATTGCCCTAAAAAAAATTAAAACAAAACCCATAACAGTTTGCAGTTGCAGAGAGAGAGAGAGAGAGAGAATAGAGATGGAGGCATTTGGGAGGCTGAAATGATTTGCCCTAAAAAAAATTAAAACAAAACCCATACTCACAATCTGCAAAAAAATTAAAACAAAACCCATACTCACGATCTAAATTGCAGAGTTCAAAAAAATTGTAGATTTTGAACTTCTAATTCTTGTAGATATTGTAGTTTGCAGTTGCAGAGAGAGAGGGGGGGGGGCAAGTTCCAGAGTTGAGAACGAGAATACAGATTAGGGCGGGTTTTGAACTTCTAATCCTTGTAGATTTTGTGTTTGCAATTGCAGAAAGAGTGAGGGAGCAAGTTCCAGAGTTGAGAACGATAATAGAGACGGAGGCGATTGGGAGGCTGAAATGATTTGCCCTAACAAAAATTATCTCCGCTACAATAAAAAAGATGGGCCTGGAACAACACAGAACACCAAATTATTGTTCCACCTTTTGGGCCAAATAGTGGATGTGTTCTGAAAGTGTTCCACTACTGTTGAGAACACAATAAGACGGGCCAAACAACATGTGTTCTAAAATGGGCTATTGTAGCACTGCAGGGAACAACATAGAACATGGTAGAACAAACACCAAACAGGCCCTAAGACATACAAGAATATTGCGAAGAACATAAGAGGTTGAAGATATTAAGAGAAGAACCAATTCAAACCTAAGAGGCCTGTCCATGGCTGGTCGTGTTTGGTGTAATAATATTATGTTTGGTGTGCAAGAATTGAATGGAATGGTCATTCTCATTATATTGTTTGGTCGCAAATATGAAATGTGTTGGAATGGAATAATAATAATCATTCTAATGTTTGATTGGATCAATTTAAAATTTATAATGGAATGAATTTTAAATTGAATTTTTCAAAATACTCCCATTAACAAATAAATTAAATTAACAAAATAATATTTTTCTATCATTTTTTACAAAAGAAATAGTGGCGGTGGTGGAAGACTGTTGTGGTAGTGAAAATCGGTGGTGGTGATGGAAGGCGTCGGCGGTGGTGATGGAAGGCGACAGTGGTGGAAGGCAGTGGTGGTGGTGGTGGAAGGCAGTGGATCAGAGGCGGCGGTGGTGGTGGTGGAAGGCGTTGGTGGTGGTGGTGGTGGTGGTGGTGGAAGTCGATGGCAGTGTCGGGGGTGAAAGTGGAAGTCAGTGGCGATGGCAGTGGTGATAGTGGCGATGGTGGTGACGGTGGCAGTCGAAGGTTGTGGAGGCGGTGACAGTGTGGTGGTGGTGGCCCTCATTCTTCGAGAATCAGAAAGATCCTTTTCAAGTTTGAATTTGTTCATTTAGAATCTGGGTTCTTTTACTTCATTTTTATTTATTTATTTTTCCCTCTCCTTTTTTATTCCCTTCCATATTCCTTAAGTCTCATAGGTTTGATCCTGTAGAATTTGACCCATTTTCTCATTGAGCGAAAGGGTATGAAATAAATCAGATTAATTTTTCGATCAAAAGTTGTGGTTGTGGTAGTAATGGTGGTAGTGACAATGGAGGTGGTAATAATGATAGGGGTGGTGGCAATGACGGTGTTAGTGGTGGAAAGCGGTGGCATTGGTAGAAGCCTGTGATGGTAGTGATGGAAGTAGTGATGGCAATGGGGCGGGGTGGGGCGGGGATCTCATTCCCTATCCCCATCCCTGGTCAAATTTTTTACCCCCATTCCCATCCCCATACCCGTTTAATTTTCAACCCCCTCCCCAATCCCCACATTGCCGGGCCACATTAGCCCCCATCCCCGCCCCATGTAATATTTTTCAACCTAATAATTAAATAAAGCTTCAGCACAATTATAACAATTTAAAACATGATCAAATGTTTGATGCATAACAATTATGTTTTTTCTCTATGCTGCAAGGGAATAGATCTAGGGTTTCACTTTCAAAAGTGAATATATTATATATATAGTTATATAATTTAGTAATATTTTATAATATGTAAGAACAATTTTGTAATGGAGGTGGTGGGAGTGAAATGCGGAGGTGGTTATGGTAGAAGGTGGTGGCGGCGGCAATGGTGTGGCGGTTGAAGGGGCAACAATGGTGGCGGCGACAGTGATGGTAGTGGAAGGTAATGGAGGTGGTGGGGGTGAAATGCGGAGGTGGTTATGGTCAAAGGTGGTGGCGGCGGTGGCTTAATGCACATATTTAATTTATTCGGAGCTATTAGAGCGGGATTTACTTTTTGGGGAATATGAGTCGAAGCAATAACAAAAATATTTTAGATTTGGAATATGAGTGTTTTTTGGGAAGTTGATTTTTTTTTTTATAAAAAAAAAAAAAATTACTTTGAAATGAAATGTTTATTTCATAGGTTTAGTTGTGGAATAAATTTTCATTTTGATATTATAGCCATTCCCATTTTAAATTACATATCAAAAAAATAAATGGTTAAAATTAATTGACATTTCATTCCATTCTATTCATGCACATATAAGTGAATGAATGTATGGTTTGGTGTTTTTGTAAGGCAAAATAATGCAAACTGAAGTGACACATTATTTCCAAAAGATGACAGGTAATCTATAAATACACATTATCCCCAATTGGAAATTACCATTAGAGGATACTTTAGGAACCCAGACTCCAAAGTTATTTCCTCTCTCCCTACAAACCTCTTGAACCCATAGTGGCTTATAGCTAATGGTCAAGTGGTCCGTGCTACATTGACCCAAGTCCTGTGATTCGATCCATATATACAAATGGTCCGAATCAAGTAGTTCAGATTGAGCGCAATTCATTTTTAGTCAAATAAGATAGCACAAAAGTTTAGGCCCTACTTGGATTGGATTTATAAAAACTGTTTTTTGTTTTTATAGTAACAAAATTTTGAAAACAGCAAAATTAGTCTTGCTTGGATCTGTTTTATAAAAACAGTTTTTTGAAAACTGAGATAAGAGAGTAAAGGTTTTCAGAGAACAACAATTTGTTGTTTTCAGAGTTTTGAAAACACTGAGATGCAAAATTGGAAAACACGGAGAACTGAACGCTACTTAAAAGTACGGACAACAACTACGTAAACTCTCGGTCGTTTATAACACAAAACCGCGTAACATCCATCTTTTCTCTCTTCAACCCCTCTGCAATGCATCGTTATTCTCTTCAACCTCTCTTTCTGATCTCGTTTACAACGTTAAATTAGCTATACATGAGTTTTGACCTTTTATCTCCAGATTCTCCTCCTCTTTGAAGAGCCCTCTCTCAAATTTCTTCAAGCCAGATCTGCACTTCTTTCCTCACAATCGTCTCTCTGTTGAAGTAGAACTCTCTAACCCTCAAATTTCTTTAATCCATACAAGATCTGCGATTTTTCTCTCACAATCATCTATGATCTTATCAATTGATAGATTTTTTTTTTTTCATTTCGGGTAGAGCAATATTTATATGGAATATATATATATATATATGCATACATATATTTAGAGGCTAATTAAATTGATGTTTCGTGGTAGATCACTGAAGCCTTCATTCAGACTTTCAACCCTTTTAATCTCTCTCAAGATTGAAGCAGAGAGCAAATTAAAGAAGCTAAGCTGAGTCTTTCTCTGTCGCTCTTGAGGGTATTGTTGATTAATCCTCTGTTCTATATTATTAATTCATATCTATTGACTGAAGCTGAGAATTTTCCATCGAACCTAGTTGTTTATTCTATCATCTGATCTGGGTATAGTCTCTTTTTATTTTTTGATGATGATTTTGAGCGCTTGTTAGATTTTCTTGGGATTTTTATGAAGAATAATTTTGGGTATTGCTCTAATTTTATTTTTGTTAGTTCCTTAATTTTGGCTTTACATTTCTCTTCTTTTGGGGTTAAATTTCTCTTTCAGTTTGACTATGAAGTTGTCTTCTATTCATAGTTCTTTTTCTTTCTGATAGATTAGTGCTCTTTATACTCTCATTTTGATCTTGTAACAATTGGGACAAAAACTATGCAGCACAACAAAACAATGGTGTTAATTGACTTGTATCAATTGGGATTTAATTCAGGCAAAGATAATGAAAAGGTCCATCTTACTTTAATCATTTTCACATAATGTTGTTGGCATCATCTAATTATTTTTTCACAACAAAATAAATAATTTGATGGTGTTAATTGCCTCGGAATAATCTGATTGATTAAATTGAAATTTTCTAAGCACATAGTCAGAATTAGGGATTTGCTTTTTAGTTCATGGCAATTCTAAGAACATAACCATACATGTTATAACAAGGGATCTGATGTAGGTTCTTGAAAAATCTGATACTACAGAGATTCACTTTGCCGGATTTCTTCATTTTTAGGGCTTTGATATATACAATATAAATATATCAAAAAAAATTGTGATCATAACTTTTTGTTTTCTATTTGGTAAAAATATGTGGCATGTAAAAAATTATTTTTTGATTTCCAGTCTATGAGTTCAATGTTGGACTCAAAGTTCATTTTTTTCCCCTGTTAATTTGATGAGCAATTTTGTCACCTTGCTTGCACACTCCTAAATGGTGTTTTGCAGTGGCCCTCACCTTCAACAGTTATCCTTTTTGGTTCAACTAAACTTTCATCCTATATATATATATAGGTAGGCTCATTACAATTAAGGGGCTAGGCTGAATTCTACTATTTAGAACTATAACTCTCCACATAAATATCATAGATATTTACAACTTACATAACTCCCAAATATTTTAGAAATCTCTATAAGTTATCTAATATTTTATAATCTTTCAACTTTCTCTACAATACTCGACACTCTCCACACAAATATGGAAGACTTTAGAAATCAATTTTACTTATGCCATAGAGATGGAGAGTCCTCAGGGATTGAGTGTTGCCTGTGTGGCTGCAAACTAGTTGGGCTTAACAAACCTATGTGAATAATGTGTTATAATTGTCACTAGATTGATTTGTGGTGGTTTACTGGTTTATAAAATATTCAAGAGAAAAAATGCCAGTAAAATATAGTTTAAAAGTGCCACAACACTTTTCTTCCAATGTTGATATTGTACCTTTAAATATCCATTAGCCATTTCCAAGAAGTTTAACAATGCAATTTATTGCAACTAAACTAGAAACTCATGAAGGAAATTCTGTGTAAGATTGTTGTGAAAGTTTAATTATAGATCATGCTTCGTTAAAATTGCTTCTTATCCCCAGTAAAAAAGGAAGAAAAAAAAAGTGTTCTTTTGACTCCTTTCATTGCCGAAAAAGGGTTTACAAAAAATAGTTTTCTGTTTTGGGAGTTACAAAAAACTGTTCTTCAATTTTTTAGTTTAATTATAGCACATCAACTTTGTTTTGTCTAGGTTCTTGGAAAATCAAGATGGACATAGATTGGAGTGACACATCGTCTTCATCGTCTAATAATTCAGATGAAGATTTTGATGACCTTGTAGATTGTATGTGTTTGAATTTGATGCAGGAGTATGAAGATTCCTTTAAATCTAAGGTACCAAAAAGAATTTGGTGTACTGAATGCACTTAATTTATCTGATGATGGTGCAGCACAAATGGGAGCCCTTGGAACTTATCTGACAAATCAAATATGGGCATTATTCAGAGGCAATGCTAGATGAAGTTATTTTTATAATTCTCCAATGTTTTGCTTTGATTACCTATTTGTGTAATTCTCTAATATTTTGTTTTGGTTATGTATGACTAAAATTAATGTTTGTACAACTAAAAGTGCATATGACACTTGAAGTAATTAATGTAACTCTTTTATTGTATTTAAATTTAGTCAAATTTTAATTAAACTTGATATATTGTATTTGTGAAACTTTTATTCAGTATACTTGCTAAAATAAATTCACCTCCAACACTTATATATATATATATATATATTTATTTATTTATTTACATTAATAGTTAATATCAGCAATTAAAGAAATAAAAGAGTGATGTATAATAATATTTTTATTTATTTTATTAGTTCAGAAAACTATTTTCAAAAACTCATACAACTAAGTAGTTTTATGAGTTTTTGTTTTTCGGAAACTGTTTTGTAAATTCTCTTAACCAAGCAGGCTTGAAATCTGAAAAAACTAAAAATCGTTTTGTTCTTGAAAACTATTCTCTGAAATGCAATCGAAGCAAGGCCTTAGTTTGCTAGATCCATTGTTGCGTAGTGCCATTATTGATGGATGGAGAGATTGTTGTATCTAAAGACAAGTGTCACAAATACCATTTAACACCATGCGAGACGTAATTTGTTTCAAGGAGATGGTATCACATATTAGATTTGTCCACATTATTTATTTAATTATTTGTTATCATATTAATTCAATTTATATAACAATAATATAAAGTAGATCATTTAATTAATTGTCCTTCTAGCATATTATTTATATATTGATATAAAGTGTATTGATATAATTTTTGTTTTATCTTAAATACTATATGAAACATTTATTTTCCTAAAAAATTGTGGAGTATTCTGTAAACATTTTTATTTATTTTTTAACGTAAACTCAAGGGGGGTGTTGGAGACAAAAAGAAAGAAAGAAAAATAATGTTATAATTGGAATCTATGGTCAAAGTGGGAACTAAATGGTGATACAAAGCGGCAAGAAAAAGAAGTATGGGTTATAATTGAAATCAATATAAATAGAGTTAAAGATGGAAACTAAATAATATAAAGCACAAGATTTATCTATTCATCGGTAAATAAATTAGCTTTTTTGATAGGTGATGTAGAAAAAATTTATAATTATAAAATTAAGAATGTGATAAATAAACGCAATAATTTTTTTAAAAATAAATTCAATCACTTCTAAGATTTTTTTCTTTATTTATTATTTTTTTAATTTTATAATTACAAATTATTTATATATTTACGATGAGACCATATCAACCTATTTTGTGATACAGTTGTACAGACATTTCATCCTTCGAGAACTAGTTATGGCTAGTTGGGTGGACTCATAATTATTCACACATGAAAGTAGTGCGCATAACACAATTCAATTTGACTCGTTTTTCTAACTCAGGATGGTCGATAACTTATGCGTATGACACGTTGACACAATTCAATTTGACTCGTTTTTCTAACTCAGGATGGTCAATAACATGTGCATATGGGCGCATGGTCCGCATGGACTTGAATCAATATATTCACATTATAAAAATAAAACTTCTATTATTGCATTTTATGATGACTTTTTGTCTTTTTGAACATAAAAAAGAATAAAATAAAATAAAATCCGTCAAAAGAACATTGGATAAAAACAGATGTTTGTCTTAGTGACAGTCGGATGAATATTTTTTTAACACTCAGCCGTGTGAGGAATTGCAACCAAACAGCCCCTAAAAAAGTAAAAATATGAAAATGATATTTTACAAAAAAAAAATGAATTTCAATTCCTAATTGATATTAAGTGATTATACTATATTCGTGAATACCGAATTGATGTTTTGAATTTGAAATTGAAGAAAACTTAATTTAAGACTTCGTTTGTTTAGATTGTCAGATATCATTTTTCTTTTTAAGGTAATATATATATATATATATATATATATATATATATATATATTATTAGTATTTGACAAAGATTCAGGTCGAGTTCATCGAACGGGACGTGTGAAAATATTTTATATCCAAACAAACGGAACCTAAATATTAAACTGAATTTCCTTTAATTTCAAAATAAAAACATTGTAATAAGAGTTTATTAAAATGTGTTACCTATCTTTGCATCGATCTATATATAAATTTGGATAAATTACATGGACCTCCCTTATGTTTTGTCATAATTACAAGTACATCCCTTATAGTTTGAAAAATTATTCCAACCTTTAATAAAAATGAAACTAACATACATAAACCTTCGTTCTATTACGGTCAACGCAAGTTATTTTGCTGATGTTATGTACTAAATAAATTGAAATTTCTATATTATCCTTCGTCCATCTCCTCTCTCTTGTACATACAAATGGTGCTATAGTCATTTACCATAACAATTTGAGGACATTTCAGTAAATTAGACAAATCTGTTAGTGCATTTAACCGTCCATCACTAGGATGGAAGATCTGTATAGGTTAGTTTCATTTTTAAGAAAGGTCAAAGTAATTTTTTGAATCACAGAAAAAATCTCTATAGTTATGACAAATTACGGGAGAGGTCGGTATAATTTATCGTATAAAGCTATATATAAATTAGTCGGGGAATCTTGAAGAAGTTGGTGATAGTGGTGTAGGTAACCTTCAAAAATAGATAAAAGAAAGTAGAGCAGCTCATTCCTTTTGTTGGGTGAGAAAGAATCTGATCTCAAACCCCATTGCCATTGGTTTAAGCAAATTACAAGCTGGACGACGGACACAAACTTTCATTATTGGACTTGTAGCCCATACACTAATAACCCTTTTGCCATGTTGCCCTCACCAAGAGCACACCAATGGTTCAGGGGAGGAATATTCGGAATGCACTGCAGATAGGAAAGGTTAACCAAATGCGTGGGACCCACTTATCTCTTTACCCTTCTTTGTTTGGCTGCTAGGAAAATTGATTTTTTTTTTTTTTTTTTTTTTTTTTTTGGGTTTCTCGGTTAAATAGGAAAATTTTACTGTTGAACCACAACCACATCTTACTACTGTAATAAAGTGGTACTGTCAATATATATTAGTTTGGCTATGATTGTCATGGTGGAAATGTAATCACCACTCTTGCAGATTGTAACATGTACCCATACCTCTTCCAAACAATATTGACAAATTGTTGTACTAATTTACGGTTCAATCTTAAGTACCAGGCACACAAACTCAAAAGTGTCCTTTTATTGGTCCCTTATATATATATATATATATATATACACATAAAAAAAGGTAAAAACTTGGGAGGGAGGAAAAGAAGTCTGACCAAAGACAACACTTTAAATTGTTTTCGATTGTTTTAGGTATTAATTTTTGAGCATTGATACTCAGGCCAAAGACAGAATGCGCAACCACGAGACTTGTGTTAGGTCTTTAGCCATGTATATATATATATTTTTTGTTTTTTTTGTAGGATTAGGTATCGTAGAAAATTAAATTATTTTTCTTATAAAATTTTTGCCCTAAAACAAATACTCCATGGAGAAAATCTTATTTTTTATATTAGCAATCTAAAGAGAATTTGAAGCGTTACACTTTTTATAATATATTGATTCAAAAAGTGGAGTTTGTCTTTATTTATTTATTTTATTTTATTTTTTTGCCCATTTCATTTTGCTTTATGTATTTTATTGTTTTTTTAGTTTCTTTTAATTCAAATTTATCTAAATCACTTTTTCTTTAGGGTCTCTTTGGTTAGATGAAAATCAATGCTCAAAACTGAAAGTGTAAGAAAGTAAAATAAAGAGAAAAATAAATAAATTTTTTAGGATTCATTTGGTTAGTATGAATTTTTTTTAAGAAATTTGTGAGAAAATACCATTTCATAGTTTGGATAACATGAAAGTTAATAAAAAATACTATGATTTATCTAAAATATTTATTTTTAATTAAATATGACATTAGGTTTAATTAAATTTATATTTAATACATATTTTATTTTTTTTTAAAATTAAATTTTTTTTTGATATGTAAAGAGAGGGGTAGCTATTTTAATATTCTTACCAAAAATCATGCATAAACATAATTTATTTTAGAAAGTGAAAAGGGGATATAATTGGAATTTCATATAGTTTTCTCATAAAAGTATAATTTATTGTGTTTTTTGTAGAAAAAATTTGTAAAAAAATTGGGCGGTTATAGAAAATTACTTTCTCACAAAATTTTCTTTTTTTTGCTAATCAAACTTTTAAAAAATCTAAATATTTTCATTTTCTTTTCCTTTTTAACTACCTTCGTCTAACCAAACTAAGTCTTATATTTCAAGAAAAAATCAATGACCTTAACTTATAGAACTTTTAGTGTTACGCTTGTAAAAACAGAATTTATGAGACAAGATTTTTTTTTCCTGATTTCATAGGATTTTGAAAATCACTTTTTAAACTTTTAATTCATATTCTTTTTGAGTACCATATTCTTATTTTGTACCAAACACGGTCTAAATATAAAATAATGGTCATAAAGCAAAGAGCCCCGTAACAAAACGGTAAAATAGAAACAGAAGAACAACAGGTGATCTTCCATTGAAACTCTCTCTCTCTCTCTCTCTCTCTCTCTCTCTTCTCTCGCAGAAGATTTCACTTTCTGTCTCTCCCAGATCTTTCGATCTCTCGCTCTGATCAACCCTCGATTTGGTTAGTTTTCCTTCGTTGCTTCCCAGAATTTTTCTCGCCAATTTCGAGCTTCCGTGATTTCTCTTCTTTTTTTCTCAATCTCCTTTTAGAATTCTGGCTTATATGTATATATACGTATACGCATGTATAAACAGACAGGCATTACCCGTTGAATGAAAGTTTAATTACATGGTTTCTATGGATTGTTGTTTTAAACGATGCTCTTTATCTCTGATTCAAAATTAGGGCTTTTTCCTTTATTATTACAGAAGTGCATAAGATACATTTGAATTTGTTGCCAATAATACCCAAAAAGTTGAAACTTAGAAGCCCTGGATAATCTGATGGTAAAAATGCCTTCTTTATGCTTTGATAGTATGTGTTTTGTTAGGTATATCCTATATGGTTGACCCATCATGAAATTATGTTGAAATCTTCTCTTTATGTCTGTTTGATTGGCTTTCCTTTATACTTGGTTTGGTTACGGAGAAAAAAAAAATTGTTTGCAAAGAAAGAAAAATTCGATGTGTTTTTGTTGTTTTTTTTGTTTCTCAGAAACAAAACACTTAACTTGACAAATCCGGTTACTCATACCAGACCAACTTAGATTCTAAAAAATTAATTTTGAATCTTCGTCTTCTTCTTCTTTTTCCTTATATTTTTTAAAATTACAAGCTTATTATTATTTTTTCAACAAAGAAATGAGTTTTTCTTATTAATTTAAGGAAACTGCTTTCTTTGCATGATTTTATAATAAACTAACAAAGTAACTAAATGTTTGGGAGCACCGAATCTGCGCTATGGATTTGGAATGGAGGTTTAAACTAAATTTCAACTAAGTTCTCCCCAATTCGAAATCAAAGGCACCAAAGGCAATGTAAATTGTTTTACAGTGCAGTGCTCTTTTGTTTATGATTGTTCCCAGTTGTGTTTGTTACTTGTTACTAAGCTATTTCTACAGAGATGTTTTCTGTATATACTTCTAAGTATATTGGCTTGAAGCGGGTTATTAAAAGATTAATAACAACTGGAGTGTCACTTCATGAATTATCATTTTACTCCTCTTAGCAGTTCTTGTGACCTAAAAGTATTTAAGATCCATTTGTAGGGTGAAGGTCCAAAACTTTTATCAGCAAAATCCTTCGGTAACGCCAGTTCTTTCTGGTCTTTATTAAACTCCTAGCATGTGTATCTAAGAAATATTCCTTTTTTTTTTTAATAATTTTTGGTTTTATGATTAGATTTAAAGTGTACTAAAATTAATTTGAGATGCGAGCAAAAGTCAAGTTGAGCAGAGAATTGCCCTTGGGTTCGGAACTTTTCAGCGGTTCACCTGTGTAACTCCAAAATTAGCATTTCTCTTGGTTGAAACAAATTTTTTGTTCCCCCATTTCTCCATTAGGTCCTTCCACACACTTTAGAATTTGATATTCTCTTTACTCAAAGACTTAATACAGGAACATTTTTTTTTTTTCCCCTGCATATGTTCTTCCTCTTAGGTTTTTAGCAATATACTGTTCTCAATGTTGCTGCCATCCTTTTTCTTTTGTTTGGAAGTTGTTATTAATTGGCAATGTACTCTGCAACTTTAATTTATTAATTTTCCTTTTAAGGAAATAAGGTTTTTATGAAAGCTATATTTTACTTTTTTTTTTGATAAGTACGAAAGATATATTTTACTGATTATGTGACTATTACAGGTATCTATATTGATTTAGAATCGTTGAAAGTAGAGGTTCTGTGCTAAATTATTTCGGGTAAAGCTGAAAAGGGTGTGTTGTTGGTGTGCCGTGTGCTACATTACTTTACAGACAGTCCATGATTTCATGAAGTCAACGCTTTCTAGCACTGCTTTCATCGAGGTGTTTCCCTTTTCTCAAAGAATAGTAATGTTTTTTTTTAACTCTACAATGTACTACTAATTAGTTATATTATGGATGATGCTGTGCTTAGTTATCACTTGGAAGTCAAAAAAGTAACAACATAAAGGTTGTTTACAGAGCATGTTTTTTATTTAGCAAATGCCTCTTCATGTTATACTAAATTGGTGCTTCACATATGAGCCAACCTCTAAAAAGTTTTTTGATGAGTTGGCATATCATTTATCTACTTCATTTAAATGAAAAAATCTAAATAAAAGAAAGTAAAATTGTATGAAACCAGCTTTAGCCACATCCTTCTTTGCCGACTTACGGAATGCTTGCCATCCAATTGTTGCAACTGGAAATTCCTGAACCTCCCACATGGAGTTAATGATTCTTATTGACAGCAATCCATAATCACGGGGAAATTTATTGCCAGTCCCAGGGTCTGAAAGTTACTCAACTTTATGTTCCAAATTGCTTTAATGAAACCAAATTAATGAATTTTTTTAAACAAACCATGACCTCAGTTTCAACTGAAAACTTCATTAATGGAATTGATTTACTTTCTACGTAATACTTTATACTTTACTTTTTTTTTTTTTTTTGGGGAAAAAACAGCCTTTAAACATTTGAAAACATAACCCAACTCTTCAGAGTATCAGTTTAGACTCTATTAAATTCAAGTTGTGAGTGTTATTTTCAAGCATAGCAAAACTGAACTCAAAATAGTCCATTCATTGCAAAGATCTTTGTCTATGTTAATGTCACTAAAAGATTTTTGCACAAAATTACAGTCTGTTCATTGCCGGTAAGTGGTCTTCTGGCGTTCAATCGTTCATCGAGAAAGCATAGGGCTAGTTGAAACTTGCAAGGAAACAACTTTTTTTCTTCTTTTTTCCTTTTCCATTGCAGGAAGGAAACAAACTCTCTCTCATTTACAGGGTTTTTCTTTTTTATTTAATTTGAAAAATAAAGAATAAAATGTCTGCCAAATTGCACGAGACTTATAGAGGCTGGCTGGTATCTTAAACGCCTTTGATTTAACCAGCGGAGCATCTCTATAGTCCATACGCAACCCTTATCTTAATATTTTTTGTGTACTAGGAGTATTTATTTTGTGTGAGAAAAGGCTTTGTTTAGTTGAGGAGTATTTATTTTGTGCAGTAATGTTGCCTTATAAGTTTGCGAAAAGGCTTTGTTGAGTTGAGGAGTATTTATTTTGTGCAGTTATGTTACCTTATTAGTTTGTCCAGATGCATCATAACAGTATTATAGTAAAATATTAAACATAAATTAGCTGTATGTATTTCTATCTTGAATTCATCTCTGTCAGAGTTTTTTTCCTTATTATACTTAATCACCGGATGAGTTGAACTTGTAAATTTATGCAAATTTTTATGTCAAGTGTAAGGTAAAGTTGTATATTTTTAGAATAATACATCGAAGTGGTATGTCCTACTGCATCTCTACAGTGATGATATTTTCTCTTGAAACAGAAATTATTCACGGCATCTTTTTATTCAACAACATGGGCCAAAGGAATATGCCATGCACTTGCCCGATGATTGATTTGGAAATGGATCAACAAGCCCAGTGCCATCTCCATCCCGAGCCTTGTGTGCTTTTTGGGGGTGCAACAAATTTTGCTCAGCCAAATATCCACACGATATTACCTGCTCCAGGGAACGCAACGAATTTTGACGTCCGTCATCTACCAGAGCGTCATGATAACGCTTTATTCTATGGGATAACACAGTATAGTGGTGTTCAGCATCATCATCCTGCTGCAAATCTTGACTTAGGTGTTGCTACTGTGTCCAGTTACCATAATTCATACATGACTCCTCCATCTGGTACCGGTGTGTTCCCTCTCCCACAAAACCATGGGTCTCATGAGCAATTGCCATCTTCCAGCAATTATGGAATCGTTGGAGTTCCTTCAAATGACTATGGAAGGAACAATTACTACATGGATGGCCTCAGAGATTCCTTTAAGAGAAAGAATGCGGAAGGCATCCCAGGGAATTTTCAGTATCATAATGCTTCAGCAGGCTCTAGTTCTTCAGTAGCTCCTTTGAATACAAGGCCTTTTGAATATGGGGTTCCTATGGTGGATGCTGCATCTTTTGGACTGCCTGAGTACAGAGTGAATGGGATTCCAACAATGATGGACGGTGCATCTCACAGAACTGCAAGGAACAGATCAGGTGCTATGGGAATGGATTCTGCAGCTCATAACCGTAACCATTTGATTCAAGGAAACTATCTCGCACATCCCTTTCAGATGGCCAGCACTCCATGGTTGGACCAACAGTTTAATAGTAATGGCGGTGATGGAGGCACTTCGACCTGGAATCAGGCACCTGCTTTAACCTATTTGCATGGTAATTTTTTCAGCTTTTTATAATGACATTATTTTTTCTTTAGGTTTTGTCTTGTTTCTTTCTTCATCCCTATTTATATTTTACAACAATCGTTTTTTTAGTCTATGTCATGGTAGCTAGAATTTTTGAATGGTAATTTTCATCCTTTCATTTTGTGAAGTCGTTATTGAATAATTGGGTTGAAAATTGAAATGGTTTCCTCCATGATTCTTGTCCGAGTAGAGACACCTGTATTTTCAAGGTGTTGTCATATTGCCTGTTTTCCATGAAAGGACAGAACAATTAACTTCCTATATTAAGTATTAACATAATATTAATGATAAGTTCTTAGACCCATGACAAAGTGAACTAATTACATCTCTCTCTCTCTCTCTCTCTCACACACACACACACAGGGAGCAATGTCAACGGAAGTTGCATGGAGGCTGGGAACATGGGTGTGCAAGGATATCAAGAGCCAGCTATCAATAGAAATTCCATAAATTTCCTGCATCCTCCCATCCACCAAGGGCACCAAAGTCTTCATCATACACCACCTATCCAAGGAGTGAGAGGTCATGATATTAACTTCCATCCTCAAGTAGCCGCTGTTCCTCACAGACTTTCAGCAAATAGTGCTTCACATAGCAGTATGAATCCTTTTCAGGATGGGATGGAGGCAGGGCCTAGATATGCAGGACCAGTTCCACCAACTGGCCTTAGGATATACCGTCCTCAACGAAGAGAAGTCATACTTGAGGCTACTTCGAGGCAACGCAATCTACCTCACCTTAGATTTCTGCCGACAGATGTAATTTTTTTATACTGACTCGCTGTCATTTTACTGATATAAGCGTGTGTGTTCTATTTGAAAGTAAGTTTATGGTATTTTAGGGTAATTGACTGTTCATGCTTATTTTGTCGTTATAAATTGGCTAAATAGTGATAATTGACTCTTCAAATTTTTGGTTGATGTTTATGTTTATTTTCATATTTGCTATGTCTGCTATCATAATTGTTTGGTGTTTTATACCATTTTTTTCCCCATATGTATATTTTTTCCCTGAATATTCCCCATATAATTGGCTAAATAGTTTTGTTTGATGCCTGTAGGAAGTGGCCATACTAGAGATTTCAGGCAATTATGAAGTAAGGAATTCCATTGATCATCATAGAGATATGCGCTTGGATATAGACCACATGACATACGAGGTAAGTCAGTGAAGCAGTTCATCACTATTTATCAAAAAAAAAAAAAAAGTTCATCACTTGTTCTTAAAATGAGAGAATTTATAATTTAGACACATCAAAAAAAAAATCTTAGTTGGGTTATCGAATCATAATGTATTAGAATAGCTTATGGTTATAGTTTTGAACTTCATAATTCGAGCAGACCTGAAAGGTATATATAAATAACCTGAATTTTTCTTTTTAAAAAATAAATTTCAGGAGCTTCTTGCATTAGGGGAACAGATTGGCAATGTTGGCACTGGATTGACGGAGGAAACTATCTTAAGACATCTAAAATCTAGAACATATCTTTCATCCACATGTACCAATCTGGAAGAGATGGCATGTGTGGACCAGGAAACTGATTTCTGTGTCATTTGCCAGGTACTGTTATAAATCCAACTAGTTATTGATTAAAATTTTGATTATTTACGATATTCTGATTCTTCTGAAGGTGTATCCCAAATTTCCAAGTTCTTTTTTTCTTTTTGTTTCGATTGGTGAAGGTGGTGTAGATGTATTCCAAGTTCATCACATATAAACTAATGTCACATCTTGTTCAGAATAAATCCTGACTGGTTTGCTAAATTGCCGTACTTTTTCTGAATATTCTGAGCTGGCAATGCATTTGGCATCTTTGTTTTCTTATTCCTTCTATATGCTTTTTAGCATGCTTAGCTTATTTCAATATGAAAATTTAAGCTTGACCTGAGTTTAAGTTCTTGCTGCATGCTGTCATTTTCATTGTTTTCCAAAATGTTAATCTGGCATTGAATAAATTCGGAATCATGAAATTGTTACTATGATTATTGTAGTAGTTTCTATCACCATCCTTCTCACTATTTATCCCATCTAACTTGAGTCTCTATTAGACAACTGAATGCTCTTTATTTTTGTGTGCGGGCTTGTTGGGATTTTTCAGACTGATTACAAGAACCAGGAGAAGATTGGAATTCTGGATTGTGGACATAACTACCATGTAGATTGCATAAAGAAGTGGTTGCATGTGAAGAATGCCTGCCCCATCTGCAAATCTGCAGCGTTGACTACTGAAAGAAAGGATTTATAGGAAGAAGAGTGATGTTTGGACACCAATTCAAAAGAATTGCTTTTAATTCTTCCTCTGATCTATTTATTTGGATGGTTGGTATTTTGTAATGTATTTTATATACATAAATATAGACATGCTTGAAGAGATATGACCAACAGTCAACACTGTCCAAAACATTTACTTGTTGGCTTTATGTCTGTCTCTGAAAGTTGTACAGACTTTTTCATTCATTATTCGATCATGTTTCATGTTCTGATGATATATGTTAATATATAATCACAATCGTGTTCGATGTGAAAATTTATAATGTTATTGTTTATTAGTATTGATTGTGTGATTCTAGGTTTTTACAGTTTGTACTCGGTTTGGTACTAGAGATGAAAATTTGGAAGGGAAGGAAGGGGAAGAAGGAATGAAGTATCCTTTTGGGAAAGAAAGGGATAATTTCTTTATATTGTTTGGTTGTGTTGAAAGAAAAGCAGCAGCTGAGCGAATGCACATGTTTTACCTTTATAATTTTCTTGGAGTGCAAAAAACATAGGGAGAAAAGGACTTCCTTTCCCTCCCTCCCTTCCCTTCCCTTCTAGGAGGAGGGAAGGAATATCGGACTAGAGAAGGTTTTTTTATTTCCTTCCCAATCTTCCAATATTCCTTCTACCAAGCAGATGAAAGACTATCGACTCCTCTCCTTCCCTCTTTCCATTTCACTCTTCCTTTCCTGTCTCCATTCCTCTGCTCCTCTCCTTATCTCCAATCATTTTATCCTTCTCCGAATTAGGAGCTGTTAAAAGGAAAGTTGCAATTTTCGCTTTCAAGTGGGAGCGATGATAGATTATTACGTTGTCCTAGAACCAATCACGACAAGCAAACAAAAATTTGACACAAGGCTGACACATTTGCTTAATAATTGGATCTACTATCAAATTTTGCTGTTCTATCCTTTTTATTTAATCATATTTTAACATGTAATATTTGATTACGAGCCAAATTGTTTGAATAGGGATAGGGCATATTGATACACTTCCTTTCCTTCACAGTTCTTGAAAATGTAAATCAACAAATACAGAGAGCTTAAAAATATAAAACCTTAACAAGTCGTACAATACTATTGGCATGGTTAAATATGATAAGAGTTCTCACTGCCATTAATGAGTGGGAAAAAAATTTAGATTAAGGAAATGATAACTATCTGCTTAGTATATGTGGGATAAATAAATAATTAGCATATGTCCAAATTGCTCCTGAAAAAACAAGTATAATTATACATGTGAAGGCACAAATACTTGAATTCATCGCTCTATATTTTCATTACCTTATGACTCAACTGTCAAGTGTTGAGGTGAAATTTGATGAGAAAAATTTCTTCTTTGGCGTCTCCGACGACACCTTCCTCTTATGCACTTGTTGTATGGTTTTATGATTATTTCCTCTCTGCCCTCCAAAGACACCGTCCTCAAACCTCTCTTGGATGATGATGCTAATCAACAACTCAAGAAAGTTTTCTGCTGTAGTTGTATCAGCAATAATTGAGAAGCATATTTAACATCTTTAACATACAATATTGAACTATAACTGTTTAGTAGGATACAAAAAGTGTTTAGTAGGATACAAAATTCAGTAACTTGTTCCTGGACACTAATGTAGTGAAAATAGTACAATAGTAACAGCATCAATTAACAAATGAACCAACACAGATGGTAAAAACTGGAGTAAAAACTAAGAAAACAGCATGCTGCCTTTACAAAAGGACTCCAAACAAAAGGCCAACCTCAGATAACCTCAGGTATTCAGACTGCTGAAACTCTGATATTGAACGCATAGAGAACCCATGAGTTGCAATGCAGAGTTCCTGAATTTAGGGCAAGGAAGGGAGTATAACCTATCATTTATCAGTCCTCGTCTTTGTGCTTAGGCAGAGCAGCAACCAACTTTTTTCACAGCCGAAACATCATCCTTGGTTCCGACATTAATGGTTTGCCCTTTAGGCAAGGCTGCAGGATCATTCCCAATATCGAGAGCTTTCCTGCTGGCGACGCGGTGTATTTGGGTGAGCACTTCTGTGAATGCATTATCAACATTCAGTGACTCAAGGGCAGATGTCTCCATAAAGAAGGTGTTCTCTCTCTCAGCAAAGGCCTTTGCATCCTCGGTGGAAACAGCACGCAAGTGCCGCAAGTCTGCCTTGTTCCCCACGAGCATTATCGCGATGTTTGAGTCTGTGTGATCCCGTAACTCTTTTAACCATCTCTCAACGTTCTCAAATGTCACATGTCTGGTGACATCATACACAATCAATGCACCAACAGCTCCTCGATAGTATGCACTTGTGATTGCACGATATCTTCGGCAAAGAAAATGAAGTAATTATTCAAAGAACTAAATACAGAGAGTAGATATTTACAACTAAAAAGGACTGATCATAACAGTAAGCTGGAAACTCTAAGGTAATGTCAAACCGAAATCCCTACAAAACAGAGGTATTGAGACACTGAGACACCTGTTCAGATTATATTTAGAGTATGCATCAAACATTCCATGGAAAGCTACGCAGATCAGATGAACCACTTCTTTTAATGTAAACATATAAGAGCTTAGCTTGAACTCCTCCATAGTCAGCTAAGCTAGTACTCTTTACACCCCCGCGACACATACACCCCCTTTTGGGGGTTTGGAGGAGAAATAAGCTACTGTTCGGGGCACCCTATTCTTTTCAAAATTATTGAAAATACTGTAAAATCACAATTCCATTACGTTAGACTGCAAATATGTGTGCGCGCCCTACTTTCTCTTAGAATCTACTTATCCAATTGAAATCCTCTAGACATATTATCCAACCACAAAGTGACTTGATCTAACTTTATAAGAATCACCAAGGCTATCTTAATTATAATTTTACCATAATTCAATGGCCTTGTAAATAGAAAACAGTAATTGCAAATCTCAACTTCCTGAAAGTATCCACGAGTCTCAAAGGAATCAACTTTGAGTCTATTTCTAGGAGAAAGGTCAATGGACCACATCATCACTACCCTGCTTTGTAAATTGTAGCCATTCACCTTGGTTCTCAAAGTACCATCTTTAGAAGAGGTCGGAATTGAGTCGGAGCCTATACTCAAGAGAAACAAAGAGCCAATTTAAACTCCAATATTGATCAGATGTTATAAGCTGTAAACACTACTAACAAAACCCATGTCAACTTCAGGTCTAATACAGTTCAACTACCATAGGAGAAACAACTTCTCATTTCTGCCTAACTGTAAAGCCAATATTATTCAAGTATACTTAACTCTCAAGTGAAGATCTTCAAAATCCACAGATCAGTTGAAACATATACACTCTATTTAGCCATTAAAACACCTCAAAGAAAGAGGCCACCAACTAACATTGCGTCTCCGTATATAAGATGTAGTACACAACTAACAAAACCCATGTCAACTTCAGGTCAAATACAGTTCAACTACTATAGGAGAAACAACTCCTTTATCAAGCATTTCTGCTTAAAGAGCCACTCAGAGTCATATGTCAAGTAATAATCAAGTATACTTCACTCTCAAGTGAAAGATCTCCAAAACCCACAGATCGGTAGAAACAGATGCACTCTATTTAGCCATTAAAACTCCTCAATGAAAGAGGCCACTAACACCAACTAACATTGTGACTCATATAAGCATGACTTCATACTTCAGCTGAATAACTTCTTAGAATTTTGATGACTCAGTAGACAGATAGGATGAATATAATTTGAGGTGTATCTTCTACACCTACTCTCCAGAATCTTTCTATACAGTTTTTAGGCATAAGAAGTCAATGATTGATGAAATTTTCATTTGGGTAGGTGTTAGATCCAAAACATATTGGCTTAGAAATTTCTATGTGTTTGTCTACCGAGAAAACTGAGAAAAACAACAGCATACTAAAAATTCAGCCTCGGAGAACGAAAAACCAATTATTCCAACACATTTTCTGATCAAACAAACAGAAATTCACCAAAATAGTAAAACTGGAAAGTGGGTTTGAGGGAAAAAAAACCTTTCTTGTCCGGCGGTATCCCATATTTGGGCCTTGACGACCTTGTCATCGACGCGAATACTCCGGGTGGCGAATTCGACGCCGATGGTAGATTTCGACTCGAGACTGAACTCGTTCCTCGCGAACCTCGATAGCAAATTCGATTTGCCCACACCTGAGTCACCGATCAGAACCAACTTGAACAAGTAATCGTAGTCTTCGTCAGCTCTGTACGCCGCCATCTATCTTTCCCAATTCCAATCGCTTTCTCTCTCTAGAAGATATTTGTTTTCGCAATTCACACGAGAGACCAAATACACATATAATCACTGAGAAAGTTTTGAACAAACCTAATACTAACTTTTTTTTCCAGAGCAAAATTATAATGGCTATTACAAAAACAAGAATATTGCTAAAACAAGAATATTTAAATATAATCATTCTTACAGAGCAATTTAGATGAATTAGCATGACTTGTAGCCTTCTAGACGAGTAAAATACTATTCAAAATGAAATAGTATTAAATATCAATATTTATGGATCCATTGAATATTTGAAAAGTATTTTTCTGATACAACTCTCTTTTTATTTGTATGTATTGTAGTTAATTTGGAATAATTTCACTAATTTGAGAGCAAATTATGTACAACATCTTTCATCAACAATTTTCTTCAATGACAGTAAATATACATCTATATCTTACTCTGAGACTTGTGCTTACGTGAATTTGCATGCGTATGTTTTTATACAAATACAGGGTTCCCATATATATATATATATATTATGGATTTGTATAATAAGATTTTGACTAATATTATTATTAACGTTTTGTGAAAGTTTGATCATTCCTTCATTCTTTTGACATGAAATAAACTATTGAACCTTTTGTGAAAGTTTATATGAACTCTATTTTTGTTGAAATTGGTTAGAAATATCACAATGTTGTGATCACTGTTGATTTAGATTATTTTGCCATCAAATATTGTTTGTAGTTCCTTTGAAATTTGATAGTTGTAGACATCCTGTAGTGATTAATGCGTGATTAATGCTTATTTGTGGATTTAGATTATTTTGTCATCAAAGATTACTTTAAAGTAAACAAATTTAAAATTATGTTTAGCCTTATCCGCGTCTTAAATTTGGTAAATGTGAAAATTTAGAACAAATTTTGTAATAAAGTTACTCAATTACCAAATCCCTCCCAAACTAAACTTAAGAGCCCGTTTGGGATAATATATGTTTTAGGCGTTATTTTTTTGTCATTTTGTTATAAAGAGTGTTTTGGATAAAAGTTTGAACCATGTTTGGTAACAAAATTTTGTTTTGAGAAATTCAGGCTTTAATTCCTCCCCCGCAGTATCAAAATACACAATATCACCAATTTGGTGATATAGATTTGAGTCAAAAAATCTAATGTGTTATTAATTATTCCAAACCAATATCAGCAGTCCCAAACATAATAGGGGTCCAAATTTGAATACTAATATTAGGAAAACAATATCATAACACATTCCATACAAGCCCCAAATTTTTTGGATAAAAATCGAAACCATATTTGGTAATGAAATTTTGTTTTAGGAAATTCAGCTTTAGTACATTACCAAAACACACAATATCGCCAATTTGGTGATATAGGTTTGAGCCAAAAAATATGATATCTTTTGTTAATCATTTCCAACTAATATCAGCCGTCCTAAATTTTTTGTTTTTGCAGTTCAAATTTAAATACTAATATCAGAAAACAATATCATAACACATAATGCATTTCATACCGGCCTAAGTGTAAACATCCCATACTGTTTTGAATATTTTTTGTTCAGTTTGTTTTGGAGTAAAATATTTTTTGTATAACATTTTTTTCACTTGAATAAATTTTTTATACTAGTACTCCATTATTTTTTGGTGTTTGGTTAGTTGGGTGGCCCCGCCTTGGGGCGTTTGGGATGTGGGGGCCGGGGGAATTGGGCGTTTATGAACATGCCCATGCATTTCCCAAAGCCAAATCACCATCAAGCAAAACCCTAACCCTAAGTACTACATATTTCATCTTCCAAACCCATCCAACTGTTCATAAGGCCTCTGCAAATCACACCATCTTGAAGTAACTCAAACCCACCCATTAATTCATCGAAACCCTCAACATATCGTTGGAATATCCAATCCATCGAAAATGGTCTAGGAATTCCCAACCCCATTGGCAAGCGATCATCATTGTCCTGCCATCAGAAGCCCATGCAGTTAGCTCCACTTGTCTTCATTGACACCGCCGGTGAATCCTCCAACGTTGGGAAATCGGCTCACGTAGCGTAGCAAGGTTCTTGGTCGAATCGCCGCCACCATTCATCACGCGTCGCCATCATTGCCATGAAACCACCTTTATTGCCCAGAACACGGGGGATAAATAACTTACGGAGATCAATTTTCTTCTTCCTGATGTAATATATTTTATCCTCACACCCCAAAAAAAATATAGAAAAGAGGCATGCAAATTTTCTCATTCTCAGAACCATTCCATCATTTAATTATTTCTGTCAAAATTTTTATAGATTCCAACGGAATCCTGCATGTGTCTCAGCAAGTATCTCAACAACTCCCCATTTTTATCCTCTAAATAACTGTGAACCTTCGCAACATATGTAAAGTCCTGTCCATAAAGATGACTTGCGCAGGCTGCTTTATAAGTTAGGAGCTCTAAGTTACCTGTCATGAAAATATATATATAAAAAATTAATACATCGGTTCATTATATGGATACATTGAAAGAAAAAAAAATCCACATAAAAGGTGTTTAAAAGTGCATTGCTTTTGGTGAGTGGTTCTTACTAGAATTTTCAGCATGGTGTAAAGGAACTCATGTTTCCAGCAAAATAATGGGGGAGCCTACCCAAAACCCAACCTAGTCAAGCAAACCAAATTGAACCAGTACACCAAGTGGTCAAATTTAATTGGATCAAACTATGTTTATACTAAAGTCAAACAAAAACTCTTGTTTTGAATTACAGTTTACTGCCAATTGTCACCATGCCGGTTCTACAACCAAAAGACTGGTCGCTTCTGGGATAGTTTGTGCACACTTAAAAAGCCCAAGACCACCTAGTAGTACACACCTCATGTGGATTTCTAACACATCTACACGTCTATGATAGGCTTTCCCTGTCCAGATCATTGCGCCCTCGCAAGGGGGACTCACTCCTCGGAATATGATGCACACAACAACTCTGCCCAATCATTGTCACAGGCCTGTGGCCCAAAAGGACTAGTCACTCGTGGTTCCCCACACCCACTTAAGCACTAAGACTACCCATTATACCATCGATGTGGGCCTCAGAACATGTAAGTGTCGACCAATCAACTTCTCAAGGAATTAAGAAGTTTGAAAACCAAACCCATAGGTAAGATCAGAAGAAACCATAGAAGAAATCCCTGTGTTAAATAAAGATAGAACAGGAAAGATACCTGCCGCAAGCTCTGACTCAAGTATGTTCTGGCTAAAATGACGTGTCAGCCACCATCTACAGCGGAACCTCCAAGGCTTTCCTAAAATTCCATCTGTAAATATTTGTGGCATCCTATTGAAATGAACCGAGTACCTTTGCTTGTGCCCACCTTGAGTTCCATCAAGACACACTGACATTCGTTCTTCTTCACATTGAGAAAGCTTTAGGAAGCAACAAGCAAACTCTTTCCATGTATTGCAATCTGCATAAGTAGCATCCAAATGCAAAGCAACCATTTCCAACAATTGTTCAAGGCCATAATACCCTGCAAATTACAGATGCAAAGGTGTATACATTGGAAAAAGATTTAAAATCAGAACATTAAACAGATAATGATGTTAAAATGGTAACTTTGAAATATAATTAACATTGATTTCTTTGTTTTAAATTGATTGCTATTTAGTGGTCTTAAAGGTCCAATTGCTAGCTGCTATTAAGGAGTTGGATCGGGAGGAGGAAGCAAGAAGATTAACAAACGAGGGGATAAAAATGAGAGTGAAACAGGGCCAGGAGCTTGGAAGGTTTGTAAAAATGAAAGATTCAGCTAGAGGACAAGTCTACAGCAGTATGGTTAAACAAAGGGGTAAGACTCAATTTTTTTTCATAGGTTAGCAAATGCTCATCACCAAGCCATATAAGGTGGATTATGGTGGACGGGGAAGAGCTAGGTAGGGAAAAGGAGAAGAGAACATGAATCATGCAGTTATATATGAAGCATTATACCAAGACAAGTAGCCCTGTCCAAGTACAGATAGAATGGAGTTTTTTGAGTCCATAGGAGGGATGAATAGGTATGGCCGAAAAAATCATTACAACAAGAAGTTACGGTGGCATTTAAAAGTTTGAATGGGAATGAGGTCCTGCATCCAGATGTTTTTGCCTTCCCTTCTTTCAGAGTGGCTGGGATGCAGTGTGGGGCCATGTGGTGACTACAATGGCACAATTCTATAAGAGGGGGATTTAGGGAGGACCCTTAACGCATCATAAAATGCTCCTGTTCCAAAGAAGGGTGTTCAAGTAGACATTATAGAATCCAGACTTAGTGGCTTGATTGGTACCTTCCATAAGATGTCGACAAAGGCAAGCCACTACATTGCTGTGATTTTCAACAAACTCCATTTTAGGAGTAGAAATGATTTTTACGAATTTGCTGTGATTTTTTAAAAAGGAAACAAATTGTTTAGACCTACGTTGATTTCTGTGGCCATAATCAGACCAATGTGTTAAAAAAAAAAAAATCAAGCACATTGCGCCCCCCTAAAATGAAATCCTAGCTCCGCCCCTGGGCAAAGGTTCTCATTTTGAAGCTTAAAAGAGTGGTAAATTGTGTGCTGTCAGAAACCCATAATGCTTCTGAAAGGAACAGACAGATTTCTTATAGGATATTGGTCAGTGATGAATGTGTAAATTCAAGGTTGAGAAATAGTGAGATATGTGAATGCAACGTGGATATAGAGAACACCTATGATCATACGGATTGGGTTTTCTGTTGTATGTGGAATGATAATTAGCAACAAGTGAAGGTGGATGAAGGCTTGTATTGTAGATTCCTACTTTTTTTTTTTTTTTTTTTTTTTTTAGTGAATGGGGGTGTTGGTTTGATAGCTTAATAGGTCTGTATTGTAGACAGGGCTATATGAGAGAGATGATTCAGGTTCCTGGGTCCAGCCGGGACGTTTCCATCTCACATCTGTTGCTCACATATGATACCTTGATCTTCTGTGGGGTCGAAAAAAAACATCTGCATTATTTGAGCTGCATGCTTGACACAGATTAAGGTCTCGATCTCAATCCTGGGAAGAGTGAGTTGATTCCAGTGGGTGAAGAGGAAAACATGTATCCCCTTGGAGGAGAAGCTTGTGTGTAAAGCTTTATTTAAGGTGCATGCTGTTGTTTGAGACGGATTCAGGCCTCAATGTGAATCTTGGAAAGAGTGAGTTGATTGCAGTGGGTGAAGTGGAGATCATATATCCCATTGGCGAAAATCTTGAACAGGTACCTTCATGATAGTTTATCTTGGACCCCTGCATGGCTTGTCATATAAAGTCACCTTTTTTCTTTTTTCTTTTTTCTTTTTTTTCCTGAATGTGAAATTATATATATATATATATAAAGAACAGAAATGATACATAGAGAGAGCGATCTACCTCATAGATCAACTGAAACACAAGAAATAAAAATATAAAAAAAAACAATAGTCCAGGGAAAAGAGAGTATTTGCCAAAGGGAAGGGAACTTTACTTCATTTATTTGTTTTGGGTAAGGGGAAGGGAAGGGAAGGGAGCTTACTTCAAGAAGAATATGTTATCCAATTTGCTTACCTATTTTATATTGATTTTCTCCATGCCTGTATTGGAAGAGGTTGGAGGAGTTCCAGAAGGATATCCTTTGAGCAGGCTTCCAAAATAAAACTAAATATAATCTTGTGGATTGAAAATAGAGTTTTCAACTGGTTAAGGAAGCGTATATCAGGTATAGGAGCCTTAGAACCTTCAGGAAATCTTTGGGTCAGGGAGGTTTGCATTAAGGAAGGGTTGTATTTAGTTGAAGTGATGAAGTGGAAGTATGAGGTTGACAAAGGGAATTGGAATTCTTGCAGTTTTGAAGAATGATATTTGGCCAGTTTGTGGAAGATATTTAAAATCGATTGGAGGAGTTCTAAAAGGGCACTAGCCTTTTGTGTCAGGAAATGGAATTGTGAGGTTTTGAATATGTGGTGTCGTTATAGGGTGTTAAGGATGTCTTTCTGAATTTATCTGATTGCAGTTGAGAGGAAGATAATCGTGGAAGACTGTACAAGAATGACAGCAAGAAGTGTGGTTTAGTGGCCCTGACATAGTAGAGTACTGGGAATTAAAGATTGTGGATTCTTTCTTTCACATGCTATACAGAATGAGTGTGCACAATGGAGAGAAGATGCAGTGAGCTAGAATCCTTGGTATAATAGGAAGTTTGGTTTGAGCTCCTACTACAGGTGCCATTAGGGCAGAGGCCATCTTCCTTTCGGCAGAAAGGATTTGCGATGTAGAAGCTCCTTCCAACATGACTTTCATTGCTTGGATGGCCTCCGCTAATAAAGTATTGAAAATTGAATATTTGGTTAGAAAAGATTCTCCCCAGGTGGTGTTATAAGCATAAAGGAACTGAAGAGGCATCTAATCACTTCTTGTTACAAAGTTCAATGGAAATGGGGTTGCGGAATCTTCCTGTGTCTCTATTTGACTTTCATGGTTGACACCAAGTCTTTTATGGATCAGTTTGAAGGGATATGTTCACGTCACTGCGTGCAGAGTGCTTACGTGGAGGTGGTGCCCCTAGCATATTCCGCGTGCACTTGGATTGTGCCTCCTCTAAAACTCCTTAGTGATATATTTTACTTAATCAAATATATAAATACATATTTATGTTTTTATCGACCAGAATAGTGCGAGATCAAGTTTTCAAACAAGCATGTACCACTTTTATGTATGTTGATGAGCTTTGCCAACGAGTGGCTACATGTTGGATCCTTCTTCATAATATCTTCAAAGCAGGTTGAAAGCACAACATGGTTATTTCTATCGAATTGCTCCAAGATACTGGCTTTCAATCTGCACCAAAAATCAATAAAAAAATAAATTAAGACCAGGTCTACATCTGTGCTTTTATAGGTAATAAGAACCTTTAAAGCACCAAGTAGCCAGAGCAAGTAGATCTGGCAATGACAATAAGAAAATATCAACTACTTTCATCTCTAATTAAACCTTTTATACATTTTTATGCTTTATTCAGCTCCTCCAAAATTCTTTTGTTCTCAATAAGTACAGACACTGAAATAATTAGATTTGTCTTATATTTTGTGAAAGGGTTTATCTACTGCTGTGCTGTCAAATGGTTCTTAATTCAGTGAATTATGCTAATTATGATAACGGCTCCTAAAACTATTTTTTCTTTGTTGGTAAGAAGAAACTTGATAGTAAATTCAGCAGGCCAGGGAAGAGGGATGATAAGAGCATCAATTTTATTTTTTGATAAGTAAATAATAAGAGCATCAATTTTTTTTTTTTGATAAGTAAATAATAAGAGCATCAATTCAGTTAACTACTATGCTAGGATGAACTCTCACACACTTCCACTACCTCTCTGTAGAACCATTATTACCACCATTCTGCAAACTCAACCACAACCTTTTGGCACCACAGATGCTGCAAGGTTTTAGAAATGCTGTTGTAACAGAAACACTTCTGCCATAAAGGACACAAGGTGTAACGGGTTAATGTTGTATTACGGTCCTCATGGCATTAAACTTTTCTAAGAACATACAACCTGGCCGAGAATGCATTGGAATACATGTTTTTTACCCCGAAATATGGTTAATTATGGGATATTAATGTTTTTTCATTGAAACTTGTTAAATAATTAAAGATGGTTTAACATGGGTAGTACCAGTACGTTGAACATTAAGTCACTGTCGACAATAAAGCATATTAATTTTTACATTCACCAATTTATGATTACAAATGCACTTCAATGTGAAAATAAATAAAGATATCAAATAAGGTGCGTTGAAATGACATTCTAATCTCTCCATGTCACAGACCATTTACTAATTCCTAATTAGATTTCAGCAACTTTGTGATCAGTTAATTACTAATAGTCTATAAATATTATATGCAATTTCAAAAATTATCGGTTAAATGATAGATCTGAAGCAATGGAGCAAGATCCAAGAACAAATTCCTTAATACCAAACATCAAACACTGATTTAATGATAATGTTAGATATTTAGATAAGAGTGAGAAATTAGAATAAATTCAAAACAATTTTTTTTTTGATAAGTAAGAAATTTCCTGAAAGCTCTTGATTGAAACTGGAAGCTCAAATCTCGAGTATTTTAAGATTTGGAGGCTAGATCTTGTGAGTATTAAGTTACAAACTACCATGAAGGAGAATTTCTCAGTTGTAGGGGAAGAAAAGTAAAAAAGATGAAAAACTGGGTATTTACATCATGCTGCCAACAAGGTTTAGGGCACCATGTAGGTCGTCGGGGCACCATTATGGGTCATTGTGTGTGAATAGAAAACACACAAATATATCTGTGCACAACAGTAACAACCGTGACTCTGTCAATTATGTAATGGCCCAGCAGTCTGTTACACACAGTGACAGCCGTCATTTAAAACCTTGACATGGCTACCCCATCTCTCATGATGTTAAGAACACTGTTTCGACCAAAGAATATTTAAACATTGCCATAATGTGCCAATTATCAAGAAAACAATTCTTTCAGGACTTAGGTTACCACTAAACAGTCTTGGTAGTCCAAAGATGGTTTAAGTCGAGTGTAAGGAAGGGACAGCTTTAGTACCCTATCACAGCTGCTGTCCCTATTTCGCTGCTACTTCTATCACCTCTAGCTGAAAACTTATTTTCTAAGTTTTTTTCTTATTCCTCTAGTCGACCAAAAGAATGTTTTACTTCTATTCATGAATATAATTTCTATTTTTCCTTCAAAACTCACTCAATTCTTTAGCAACCAAACACAAGTGATAACTCAGCCACACACAATATATATATATATATATATATATATATATATATATATATATGTTTATATATACCTTAAAGGTAGCGCTGTGTCACAATTATGACAGACTTTCTCCAGCACTTTTAGGGCATTCTGAACTTGATGGCCAAGCAGCAGTATCTGGCAAAGTAAACTCGATTATAGAAAATCCACATTCAACTTCAATTAAGGAAAGAGTTACAATACTTGCTCTATTTAAATAACAAGCACCATAAAGAATTGGCCATCTGAATTGACTCAACCAAGTTGAAGAGGGCCAACTCGATGCATTTACAAAGAAAGCACAATCTCAATGTGACCTGCAAGTCATCAAAGTCAAATGAGTTGTGTTGCTTATATATTGTGTATATCTCCGACCACTTAATGTAGTAGTAAATTGGTGTGGTAGCACCTATATCAACATTTTAGACAATGTTATGTTGTATATTATACCTATTTTATGGACCCGTGTTTTTCTATTATTTATAAACTTTTCATGATGTTTCTTGCAAATTTTTGGGGCTCTTATGTAGCATATTGTTTTGTATTACCCTTTATCAATATGACACCATTCATCCAACAAAACCTCCTTTTGTTATTTTAAGCAAACAAGGGAAAATAAAATAAATATAAGAAAAGTTAGAGAGGAAAAAGTGATATCTGCAAGGCCTCAGGGATTTGTTGGAGGCCTCATTGGTATATAGACGAGGAAGAAATAAGGAGAACCATAAATTATTTTAACTAAGGATTCTGCTTATTAATGGAAAATATTAAAAAAAAAAAAAAAAAAAAAAAATACTTTTTTTAGCAACCACTCCAATCTAAGGATTGAAGTAATGGCATGTATCCCATGCCCATAATATTTTTATATAAGTACCACGTGCCCCATAATATGAGTTATGCATTCTCATAACAGGGACACATGCATACAAACACACAAGCAAAGTGACAATCTAATTTGGGTAAAACCATTACATTTCCTCTCTCTCACAATCAACTCTTTCAACGAATAAAATTGTATGAAGGAATTATTTAAGGCAAAAGGATGATCATAACAAGTGGAAACTTATGTTTAGTAATTGCATACATACATCTTTACATGCACAATCTCAACAAAGGAACGATCGGAAAGGTAAAAGCGCCGACAGTGCAGCTAGGGCAGTGGTGAAGTTGCTAATGCAAATGAATAGTGATAGCGTAACATGGTGTTGTGTGGTCTTACCCAATGTGTGCTAGAAGAACTGTGGTGTAGCAGCACACAGTTTAATCATATTTTCTTCACTGCAAGAAGGGGAGAGAGAGAGAGAGAGAGAGAGAGGGATTCTAAATTAAAGAAGTTGGCATACGTTGAATGAAAACAAATATACACATTACCTGTATCAACGGAACTAAGGCCTCAAATAATGGAGCTGTTGCGAAAAGAGCAAGTCGTAAATACTTCACTGCATTCTTATAGTAGTCATTAAGCATTTCTTTATGCAAATGGTTGAAGTCTTCTAGATTCTCATTTGTATGCGGCAACCGTAAAGGCAACAGCCATGAATCTAAACCTTTTAGAGAAGAACAAATACAGGCTCAGTATCTGATATACATTATGCTCATGAAACAATTGAAACAAATCTAATGAGGATATTCTAAAGCCTGAAAAACACTTACAAAAGTTAAAAATTTAGAAATTAGTAGTATTTGTTGCTATCACTATCACTCTATGTACAATTGAAAGTGCTCAAGTCTTTTTCACAGCAAGAATAATAAGCTTTCAGCAAAACCTACCAACATATTAGGAATTGATTTTCACACTCGTACTGTCATTTGAGTATGCCATTAACAGAGATAGGTGACTTACTACCACCGAAACACATAATCACAGCATCTTTGCTTCGAATGTGAAAAGAAATTAAAAAAATAAAAAATCTTTATCTGGAGAAATAACAGGAAACAAAAGGTAAATAATTTTGGGAAGGAAATGCTTATAAACTCTCTTTCAGAACCTGAATCGTTTTTTTCTTCTTTTTTATGATATATAAGATGCACACACCCTCAACCTCCCATATGGGGGGATGAGAAGAAACCACTTGAGATAATGGCTTGGTTTAAGAGCCTGAAATTCTAATTAAATTATATAAGAAATTAAAAATAATAATAATAATAAATCTACAATTAAAAGTACTTTATTGAAATCATCACAAAGTGCATTGCAAGATCAGTGGATTTTACATCTGAGCATGCTAAGTGAGGAAAATACTGGTCCATCCTCTACATTTTGTTTTTCATATATAGAATGCTATCGTGATTTTCTTTCTAGAGTACTTCAAAGGCAATAATGTCAACTTTTTGTGTCAAAATGACCTTCATAATGTAATGGATAATATTAAGAATTACTCTCACTGGTGTCCAGATACTCCCAGTAGTTTTTCAGGTGGGTCTTGATGCCAATGCCAACACTTGCGGATAGAATCAGCGCATTGAGTGGTATGCTGCCATCTTATAAAAAAAATATGGTTGTTTGAAGTAACTTCCTGATTTAGAGTCCGTTTATGTAATAGGCTTTTTAAGGACTTTGAAAAGGAGCAAAAAGATGTTTGACGGGTGCCTCTTCTTAGAATCCTTTTGAAGCAAGCACGAGAGATCAAAATCTCATCTTGTGTTATTTGGGAAATCACTTTACCAAGCATATCAATTTTTTCTGGTATATTGTCTATAAATAAATAATTTGCCAATTTAGTGAGGGACAAAGGGTAAAAGAACCTTTTTCTCTTTTGGGGTAATTGTGTTCCATACAGGCAGTATAAGGTGGCTGTTGTAGTTAAGAGTTAAAACATGAAGTGGAGGACAGGTTGTCATTTTGTATCAAATCATAAAGATAATTAAGAGAGATAAAAATTTGTCACATCAAGTTTATGACCAGCTCCCTGAGAAGTCACCACGGAAGCTACCTGGACTGCTTCTCCAGAATGAGTTTGGAAAGAAGTTACTTCATCTAGGATGCCCATCCGGAGAGTCTTGCCAAACAACCTTTAAGTTTTAAGACGGGCTTTCTATGCCTACAAAGCCAATTTAGAGCGTTTATCAAATACAATCTAAATCTATATGCAAGAGTATCAACACTTCAAAGTGTAAACAATAATTGAACTAGATGAAATCAGAAGCATGTGCTTGAAGAATTAGCACTAGTTCCTTGCAATACAACAAAAATGAATAGAATAGATATATAACTAGGAAAGCTAATTGAGATGAACACAACAGGAAAACAATAATATGCAATATACAAACAAATCAAAGATCTCATCAGGCAAGACCTCAAAATCAGCAAAAGCGAGAAGGCCTATTGAAAAGAGATTAAGAATAAAAATCCATGTGAAATTGCATTATGAACCACCGAACAGTTTCCCAAAATACTCTAGTTTATTGTTCATGCAAAAAATGAGTGAAGTACAGATGCACTTCTTAAATCCATTTCCAAGTATTACTCAATCATAAAAACCCAACCATATAAAACAAAGATTACAATAAGAAGTAAATAAAAGAACTTCAAAACTTACCACGTAAATGGAAAATGGAAGCATATGCCATGTCATCACCATGATTAGAAGAAGAAGAATTATCATGTCCACTGTCTTTAGCAGAGTTCACATAGAAGCTTTGGGGTTGGAAGCTTTGGTCCAAAGCAATGTCTGCCTCATTCCTAACAGAGGTTTTCGAATCACGACTAGAGGAGGATTCAGCGTCATGAACATCTACTTTTTTAATAGACGAATCAGCTTCATAAATATCAACTGTGTCATGCTCCTCAAAGCTCTCAACCGGAGTGTTGGACCTTGTTCCCAACGTCTCTGATTGCGAACTAGCGTAAGGCTCATCCAATTTCCCCCACTGCATCTCTTTTGGAATAGAAGAATACCACATCTGAAAAAAGGTCAAGCCCACGACCATATTTGACATTGGATCATTCCCAGAATCACATTCTTGCATTAGGCTGAGAAAAGACCAACATAATTGACTAAGATAAAGTTCTTCAAAACTTCTCATCCACGATAGTACACATTATTATTGTTTTTCTATTTCCAATCTGAAGGGCATTTATCATTACAAAAGAGAAAAACAAATCAAATATTCAATAAGCCAAAAAGAAGGGTTAGCCCACTTTTTTGCTGAACATCAAATCGTTCACATGCTCTATTATACCTAAAATTGATTGAAAAAGTCTTTAAACCACAAATTCATCAAGAATGTGTAGTAATTAAGAATATAATCCCTTGTATCAACTAAAGTTAACATGGAAAGTTAGAAAATTCAAATGGCTATTAACCAATCTCTAATGGGAAATGATCAACCTATTGAAAATGTTTTGGTTTTGCCCTATTTTATTTTTTATTTTTTTTTGAAAAAATACAAATGTGTTAAAAAAAGAAGCATAGAGCGAGAAGGGTGAGGAACCTTACTACGGAAGAGAGACAGAAAGAATATGGAGCTAAGAACCAGCTAACAACAAACAATAACAAGATTAACACCATCCCTTGAAATTTCTTTCTAAGTGAAGAATTCAAAAGGAGTGGGTAGAAAATAATTCATGTAAACCAGCAGAAAAACAAGTCAGCAGCACACATTCTAACCGTAAAGGCATCGACTGCAACATTTCATATGGAATATCTCCAGGGCTACGTCAAAACAAAGTTAGGACTAGGCAACTGCCCACTAGTTGCCTAAGCATCATCACTAAAGGTCACTAAGTAGTGGTTAGCCAATATAAATCTCAGGACATAATATCAATTACGCAACTTTAGCAAATCTGGTCACTAATTATGCATTTCCCAGCAATTTGTTGTATAAAAAATTATGGAGAACTCTATATATAAAAAACCAAACTGTCTTCTCCAAACAAGAATATGATGATGAGGGAAACCATTTTAAAAAATAAAAAATCATGCATGATTTAGACTTTTTCTCTGCCAAAAGCAGAGCACCAAAATTATCACACACACCCAAAACAAAAAAAGTGCTCCAAACCAGAGTTCCCTAGAAGTCATTTCTGCCCTCCTTGAGAAGGTCGAGCTCGTTTGTCATGGTTGGGATATTTCTATTTGCTTCTGTTGTTGCAGTTTTCATTGTTTCTTCTTCCCTTTTCTTTCCATTGGTTTAGAAAGGATTGTCATCCTTCTGACCTTATACTTGTCGATCCTTTTCTTTCTTTTTCTCTCTTTTTTTTTTATTTTTTATTTTTTATCACTATATCTTTTAAAGGCATTGAGTAGTTTCCTACCCATGGGGGAAAATTCCAACCATGACGGAAAATGGCAACATTTCCAGGGCAGTGCCAGTAAAATGGGGTTTCAGTAAGAATCATATAGGCTCTCTCATTCATCCTATATATTCATTGAAATTCCAATTTCTCCATAATAACATATTCAAAAGTGAAACCAAAATTAATAATTAGTTACATGTATGAATTAGGTTACACTCAATTTGCCAGATTCAAGATCCTTAATCATACCCAAGTACCCAACATATCTACAACCTAGTAGGTTGAATTATCCGAGACTGGTATGTTGATGGAGAATGAGAAATGACTGGCACATATGAGCCGCACGTGTTCTGCCTGTACCTTTTGGAGAAGGGTCAAGAATAGATAATTAGGGTTAAATTATTATTTTTATTATTCTAGCAATATTTTAATTTTAGGGATATTTCAGTACTTTATTATTTTAGGAATTTTTAGAATTTGTTTATATTCTGTCTACATAAAGGCTTTTATGTCAAACAATTCAGCTCTATAATATTGATTATCGTGTTATTCATATTTCTCTTTATGTTGTTCCCCCCTCTGTTTCACATAAAGGCTTATTTTAGGGGTAAGGGCAAGTTTGAGATATATAGAATAAACTTGTTTCAAGTTCGGGCGAGAACGGGTATGTTACTATCCCACCCTGCCCAATTACATGATTAAATTACATCTATCCCCTTTCTTTAAATTAATAATGCTCAAATATACTCATATATATTTAACCTAACTTCCTTTTTAGGGAGTGCACTTCTCTCAGCAGTCCCCTCTCCCACCCCCCCCATCCCCAACCCAACAACAAAAACTCCCACTCAATCCAAGCCCCCCTCTTTTTGTGGAAGCAATGCTCCAAAAGAATTGCGTCCATCAGACGCAACCACCACCAGACATGCTTACATGTGCGGGAGACTAGAGCTCTCTACGCTCGGCAAACAAGCCATTCTTAGGATTTTTTAGAGTTTGATATGGCATCTGCTTCCAAGAATCTCAATTCCTGTTTGTTTCAATGGAAAACTCTCCACTCCGTATTGGCTCTTTCTCTCTCTTGTAGCGGGCCAGGGACAGGCTCTATGATTACTTGTCCCGAGGGGGATGGGATCGTGGGTGAAAACCTGTCTTGGGTTTGAGATGGGATGGCTCTCACTGTTAATGAGTCCCCAGCCTATAGACAGGGAACTCGGCAAGACAGCCCTCAAATGCCGGGATGGTTTCTGACCACAAATGCCAGCGAGGCTATTTTACGCCCCAGAAAGAGAATTGTAGGAGAATAGGAACGAAATACCGGAGTATCAGGATACAATTGCGGGGAAAAAGGAAAGAAACTTGGGTACTGAGACATAAATTGTGAAACCACGCACCCTTACCAAGATAAACGCAGAGAAGGCCAATGAAACACAAGAAAGAAAAAAGATGAAAGCTTTTAAAGGGACTGCACCAAATACCCCCCCCCCCCCCCCCCCCGGGTCTGGTTGCCATCCCTTCTGCTGGCATGGTAGAGAACAGTGGCAGCAAGTAGAGGACCGTGGCAGCAACATTTTAAAATGTATAAAAGGCGTGGGAAATAGGATTCTAGAGCTCAAGCCTAGATTTGGCACATGTTAGGTGAAGTGGGTTCCACTTGCAGTCTTGCATAATTGGGGGGATTGGGTGAAATTGCATCAATTATGGTGAAATTGCATCAATTAAGTTATTTGTTACTTTAATTATGCTAGAGTCAACTTTTGATTACCTCAATTGTAGGGTAATCCAAGGGTGGCATCAGTTGTTATAAAAAGGATACTATGTAACTCTGATTACTCAGTCAATGAATGAATAACAAAGTGTTATGAAATTTCTTTGTGAGTGATTCACAAGATATGAGGGTGTGAGGCCTTCCCTAGGCGTGATGCCTAGACCCTATTGGTGTGTTTCCAATAGGTTTTTCTTGTTTTCAATCCTTTCTCTCTACTAACACCTCTTGAACCCCAATCCTGTTCATTTGAACTTTCAGCCCAAAACTCTTATTTCCTTTCTTCTATTTGAGTCTATTCTTGTCCTACATCATGGCAAAACATAAATTGCTAGCATCTAAGACTGTATTAATCATGAGAACACCAACTCATCATGGTTGAAGGATAAAGATAAACTACACAACAATAATGACTTGCAACAAATACAACTATTTTTTTAGACACGTGTTCTGATTGATTCTTTATACTATTTGCCTCTCAAACAAACATGTGGAATTGTACAAAAGGCAATATAGAAACTTCATGTTAGAATCATGACCAAAATCACAAGTCTATTAGCAAGAGTCCAGAAAAGATTGAATTACAAAAACATAACATGTATGGAATGTTAGTACAGGAAATTTACATTTTAAAATATAAGTACATAGCATCATGATGCCATTTATGCTTTGTTATGTTGAGAAGTAATGGATTCATGTACAATAAATGCCCTTTTCAGAACTTTCCAATGAAAAAATATTACGACTTATTTCTATATAATAAGCACGGCCAGATGAAACCCTTTTTGGAATAAGTGCAGTTCCACATAAAGCTTTATTATATGGATAGCTGAATCTTTAAAATACAAGGAGGTTTAATTAGTTGTTACTGTTTTAATACAACATCAGTTTCCAAGATTATGCAAATAAAAAAAGATACATGAAATTAATAACTATACCACATAACAGCCTGGTGTGCATCCTCAGCATTTCCTTGTGTAAGACAATACAGGATAAACTCCAGCCGAACCATAAATCTATGCTGCTCAATTATAACAAATTCAAAAATACAGTCAACATGACAAACATGCACATAATAGTTTGTCTTAATGATTAGTTTAAACATATCCATTATTGATGGGACTCATCTGATGTAAGAAGTACATAAATAGAACTTATAATTGCCTCTGAAGTTGCGCCAAAGGGACTATTGACCTTGACTTTGAATTGGAATGGAAAATTTTAAGGTGAACTCTATATGTGCACTTCCTCAAAGCAAAAGTTCTTTTAAAGACCAATACTTTGTTGTAAAATTACAATTTTACGACTTCAATAAATTCAAAACTCTACTTCACTCCTGCTTTCTCCTTTGACCCATGTATCTACTTATATTTAAGTAACTCATGTTAAAAGCAACTATTATTACAAGACATATATTGTCAGTTATGACCGAAATCAATAATAATTTTAGAAAAGGTTAACGATGAATACCTTGACAAATACAACAACAGAACAGAGAGAGAAATGAGAGAGGGAGGGAGGAAGGAGGGAGAGAAAATAAAATAACATTAAAGAAAAGCATATGCAAATTGTTTGGTGTAAGTATCAAATGTGTTATCCCACATGGCACTTGCCACGTCATAAATAATGGCCCACCTAGCTAAAAGTCAAGTGGCCAACGCGCAAGTTGTGGAACTCGCCATCTGAGTTGGAAGTAGGACTTAGGAATTTTTGGGATCTGAAGAGGTACTTGGTTTGGTGGTTGAAGTCCAGGACTCGTCAATAATGCAAACCACTCTCTCATAGTAGTTAAGTTGACCCTCAATTTGACTTGTGGAGAGAGAAATTTCATTTTGACTCCTGCACAACCTATCCCCATCTCAACCAACCATGTTAACATTATTTATTCTAGTAAATTATTACCCTTGTTATATTTGACATCTACACACATAATGCACCTTAGCCTTGCCATATAATTAATCCCCTCTTATCTTGTAATAAACTCACATATTAAAAAGACATTCTCCAAGGACCCAAAAAAAAAAAAAAAAAAAGAGGAAGGAAATTAGAGGAACCACCACCCTCTCTCTTACTCTCTCGCTCTCACCTCACCCTCTAAACCTTCACCAAGGAAGTCAATGGTGAACTTGCACACTTCCATCCTCTCTCTCTCTCTCTCTCTCTCTCTCTCTCTCTCTCTCTCTCTCTCGTTTGCGTGGAATTCCACCTTACTCAGTCCACTCTGGACCTCCATTATGTTGTGAGTAATGCCTCATGTTACGTATATAGAACCCATGCCAAAATTTGGCAATATGGCATGTAAGAAACAATTTTTTGTCATCTGATAAAGAATGTTTTCAGTACCTCTAACGGCCAATTTTTCATCCATCCAATCTTTTTCAACCAAACATCGTAGACGCTCTGGATCTTTGTTGCTTTGAGATTGTCACTTTTTATGTGCTTGAGAAGCTTCATTGCAACCTGAAAATATAAATCACATAAACATAAGCATGGGACCTGCCAACTTCAATTCAAGATACAGCTGAAAATTTTCACATCAGTAAGCTAAAAAGCCACACACATAAATCTGCACAATTTAGTCAAAGAAATCTTCCATATATGGACAATTATCTGCCCATATTTCTTCAGTAATTTCGTAATGGGTTATAATGCCAATTGCAAGGAAAACCTTTGGTGGAATCTCTATTCTTTCCTTCATTATTTTGTTCACAATGACATTGAGCATGGTGCCACCTCTACTCACAAGCTAGCAGAGTAAAAGCATCACATGAAATTTTAAAAGAAAGGGAACATGAATTTTATAAAATGACCAAACCATGTTACTTCCTATTAGCATTTTGCTCATGCTCTCTTTATCTCCTTTCTTTTGTCCCTTTTAGCTTCTATTTGCCCACATAAGAACAAGCCCACACGCAACACTTTCAAAACAGAAAACTAATTATACTAAATGAATTCCTCATCAATATGATTTTCATAATAGACAATAATTGATTTCATTCTAATTTTCCCAAAATTCAATCAACTGAAAAACAGTTTGTTTATATACAAAAATAAATAAATATGCTACAGGACTTCTTTAGCTCAAGTGGCATCCCCTCCTCCTTAAGGTTGAAGATTAAAATTCCCATTGGGAGAATAGTGAGTGTAAGTGTGAGAGTTGGGTGTGTCAATTCTCTTACCAACCCAAAAAAATTGTTAAAAATATTTGTAACTTCGAATGCCAAGTCTAACCTAGTTAAAATTTCTTGAACCAAAAAAAATCTTGATGCCAACATACTACTCATTAAGAGTGAGGCAACTATACTGCATTAAGGGTTTGACCTCTCAAGCTTCAATTGAAATTTCAAATCACATAAGCAAAAAGGGGGAATAAGTACCATTGCATTCCTACCATATACTTGCGATTTCTCGCGGGAGACTTGTCTTTGCCCGTCCCTTTCAACAGCATGCTCAGTACACCGCTTGCCTCTTTCCAATTGTGTCGCCGCACGAGTCTGTGTAAGAGGCGGCGTAATCTGCAGCGATTTTCAAACCTTAAACTCCTGATTGGTAGCCGTTGTAGAGTATACGATGGCTTCGTTATAGATAATATGATTCTCTTGATGAAACTATCTGGTGTGGGAATGTTGTGACCGTTGTCAATTCTTCTTTGGATTGTCATTCTTGCTGTTTTAACTTTTTTCATATCACCTTCAACTTCCATTATTGAATCCTCCATCATCTTCAAGCACACTTGAGGGAGAACCAACAATTTCTCTGATTTTGTTTTGAGAGGAAAAAAAGAAAGATCAAACGGATAAAAAAATTGATGTTTTGAAACAAGCTTAAGAGCTTCGATTTCGGAACAGAGATGAGGTTTGTGTTGGACCGGAGTTTGCTGGAGCTCACCGGAGATCAGTATCGCCAGATAGCTACTGTAGCAGTCGTCTTCGTTTGAGCCCTGGGCACTATTTCGAAGCGGAATCGCTAGCGATTCCGTTTCCAAAGTTCTAACCTGATTTGGTTTTGTCAGATAAAAAAACCTGTCCTTTCAAGTGCAATTGGGCTACCAAAAGGTTGGGCTTCCTAAACTGTAGGCCCAATATACTTAAATATTGAAACCAAAAGGTTGGGCTTGCTAAATTGTAGGCCCAACGGACTTACAATGTTAAAAACTGGAAGAATCAATCCACTAGGATCGCATAGGATTGTCCTATTCCCAACGGTTCTATTTGTGTATCTTTGCAATCAGATCCATCGGATTATTTAGAATTGTTGGGCATCTTTGGGTTGTTTGGCCTGTAACTCTTTTTGTTTTCATTGAATTGAAAATAAAAAATTATATAAATTTTTTTACTTTATTTAGTTTTTTGAAAGTTCAATTATAAAAATGTATATTTTTATAAAATTAATTTTTATGGTTTTCTGAAAATATTTTTTGTCTTGTTTTTAGATAACTGAAAATTAAAAACTATATAAAAATTCTATTTGGTTCAATTTTCTAAAAAATTTAGTGTTTGTAACCATAAAAACAGTTTTCTTGTTTTCAGAAAACTTTTAAAAAATTGTACAAAAAATGTTCAGTTTTTTGAAAATTATTTTATAAAAACTCAATTATAAAAATGTATGTTTTCATATCTATATATCCTATAAAAGAATATTCAATTTATAATATTTAAATACATTTTAAAAAGTTATTTTTCGTTAAAAGAAAAGTTAATTGACATTTGGTTAACACCTCTTCAAACCATTGCGTATTAAAAAGTATAACGATAATTTTCAAAAGTCATCAATTGTTAAGATGCCTCTTGTCAAGAGTTATCTATGGTCTATATATATGTAGAAAAAAAAAACGTCTTTCTCCCTGCAAAAATGTTATTCTTAGTCTATAAAAGCTGCTGTTAAAATTGTTGGAGTCATGAGATTTGGGTGTTGCCCAATTCTTTCTTTGAAATGATTCACAGGTTCTTCTTTCTTTTCTTTCTTTTTCTTACTTTCCTTTACATTTTTTTGCCCAATTTTAATATAAGAAATAAATGTTTATGTTAAAATAGTTTTACAAAATTATATACGTTAATACGGTATTTTTTAGCAGTTAAGATGTTATGTTTTTCGTCTATATATGGCTACAAAATCCCATATTTTAAGATTTTTGGGTGAAAAAAATAAAAAAGACTCTGCAAAAATATTATTCTATTTTCAAGTCTACCACCTACAAAATTCTTTCTCATATGATATACTTCTTTATATAATAATTAGTTTTGTAGGTGATAAAAGTAGTTATTATTATTATTGGAGTAAAAAAAAATTGGGGTGCCGTGAACTCTTTCTTTTGAAACGATTCCCACGGTTTCTATGTTTATCTCTCCCCCACACGGGCCACACACACACACACACACACACACACACACACACACATATATATATATATATATTAACATACTATCAATTTATACATTTAAAACAGTTTTTTTAATTTTAATCGGAGAAATAAACGTAATTTTTCATTTTAATTAAAACTCTTTTACAAAGATAATTTTCAAAATGCACCAATTATTAAGATTACAATTGTCACTGGTCCTTTATCTACAAATTATTAGAGAGTCCCAAAATTTTCAATTTCAGAGAAAAAAAAAAAGAAAGGAGAAAAAAAAAAAAAAAGAAAGAAGAAAAAAAAAAAAAAAAAAAAAAAAAAAATCATTCATGTTCTTCTCTTTGAATATATCATTGACGAGGCCGTTCCTACACGCCAAATTAATGTAGTGCATGTGCGGTTCAAGAAAATTCTTTTAGGTCAAGTTTAAATTTATAAAAGTTACTACCAACACTACTACTAAAATAGTAAGAGTGAGTAGGGATCGTCCCAAGGGATTATACGTGTTGAAATTTAACTTCAATTCTAGCGTATCACAAGATTGCAAAAGATAAAGATTGGTTGATTAAACTATAAAACAATTAATTAAAATGAAAGTGAAATAAAACTAATTAGAAATAGAGATTTAAGAGATATGAAGAGAGGTCTCAGGGTGTTGGAATCACCACTAAGCTTATGTAGTTAACCACTTGTTTTCCATTAATAGGGAATACATTGTTGTGAACAAAATGCGACTACCAATTGCAATATTAAGCATAGACCATCTAATTTATGTATGAATTGTCAACCTAAACTAAGTGTAGCACAACTTATCAATTTTAAGCATGACCCATCTAAGTAGCAACAATTGTAGCACAAATCAATCTAGAGAATCATGGAATTTATAATAATAAGGCATGGAATATCTAAGCAAGCATAGATTGTCTACCTACCTACAAGCATGAATTAAATTGTAGAACAACCCATTAAGTATAAGTATAAACCATCAAATTAATTGACAAACCCATTCGATGAAAACCCATGCTTAGCCATCACTAGATTTTCAATCAACTACACATAGACATGCAATTAATATAGAAAAACTAGTGTAGAGATTAATTTCCAAATAATCACACATAAGACAACATGTAATCAAATAGAGAATCAATAGAAAGAATTAATCCATATGAATCATGTAAGAAATAATTCCTAATTTAATCACACATAGACATGTAAATAAACTAGAGAATTAATAGGAATAATTAAACCATAGAAATCATATAAATATACCAAGATTCATGAAATTCACAAGGTTAGAACACTAATCACAACAATATATATAAATCCCCAAAAATAGAAATACAAGGGTTTAGATTACATAAGACTTAGGGCTCATCCAAGCCCTAAGTGTAGATCTAGCCAATCATGGAGGAGGTGGATGTGGTCATGAAATCAAGCTCTAAATATGGCTCCATCTTCTTCTTCCTCTTCTTCTTCTTCTTCTTTGAAGCTCTAGAGATGGAGAGAGAGAGAGTGGTCTAGAGATGGATCTTGAGATATGCCTCCACTTCCCCCTTTTCTTCTAACCCTAATCTCTAACTTTGCTAGAGAGAAAATAAAAAATACAATGTAAAAATAAAAAGATAAAAAGCTCATTTACAAATGGGATACTTCCCTTTATATAGAAGGTCATTTTCTTAGTCACTAAGTCAAGAATATAACCCCAAAAATATCTAATCCCGTACTATATGATAGGTGGACTTTTGGGCGCGCACGGAATAAGACAGCTTGCTGCCAGCAATGTTCAATCGATCCAACTTTGATTTTCGATCGATCAAACTTTTTCAGAAAGTTAGATCGATCCAACTTGAGAGTTGGATAGATCCAATTTGGCAGATTTTCAGCATTAGCCTCTTTTTGCTCCAAATCATCCTCTTTCTGCTCCGGATCATCACTAAGACTTAGTTTGACTCCAAAAAGGCCTTAAGAAACCATTTTTAGCCCATTTTAACATTATTGACCTGAAATAGACAAAAACACAAATAAGTACTAAAACGGAAAAATAAGATAGATAAAGGTCCTAGAATACTCAAGTTTAAGGGGTTTAAAAGTGTACTTTTCAGCGCTCATCACACCTCCAAACTTAAATATTGCTAGTCCCTAGCAATGAACTACGAAGTAAAGAAATGAAATGAACAACTAAACAACTAAAACTAGAAAGGAATAAATGGATAACGCCACTTTCGTAGGGAATACGATTCATTTAACATATGCAACAAACCTTTTAAACCCCTAGGTTACCCCTAGTGGACAAGTGAAGTCTTATGAGGGTTTCTAGAAATAATACTCACAAACATTAAGCTCATTCTTTCAAGAGGTACCAATATTGCAAACAAGTATTGGAAGAAAACTACCTCAAGTATGCAATTTTTCAACCCTTTCTAAGCAATCTCCCAAAATCTTAACATCAAGCAAGCAAATATGATTCTCCACACATAAAAAAAATGATCATGCAAATCAAAACAACTCTATAATCCTTTTGAGTGGACCGGCATCAAATATGTTGCTATCTAAGCCAACTAAAGAATTACTCACATCCTTACCCTCAAACTAGCACACAAATCTAGTACCGATCATCAAGACAAAAAGTAGACCTTTTATTAAAGCTTTATTATTCTAAGTGCGTTTATTCTTTTCACTTGATTTTTTTAATTTTTTTTTTATTATTTTTATTTTTTTTAGAATAAAAAATGGAAGCATAGTGCAATGTGTTGATCTTTTAAGCTTTCTAGTGATCGATGAGGTCGAGCGTTAGGTCAATGACTCCCAAACTAGACGGCTTTAGGGCACTAGGTGTTCAAACACCCCTAAGGACTTACAAGCTCAAATCAACTAGGTTACAAATCAAGACAACCTCCATCTAATCATTTCCCACTTCTCACCTTTTGGGAGAAGTCCTCGCTTTTTATTACTTTTGCAACTTTTTTTTTTTTTTTTTCAATTATTAACCTAGAGTTTGGGCCCTCCACCTTTCGGCGCGAGAAGTTCAGTGCTTAATGAAGCTAGAATCCCGGCTACTTAGTGAAAAGGGGTTGTTATCCACCTTTATCAAGAATGAAATATTTCAATGCACTGCTAGCTCAATTGGGATATAACCAATTCAATAATTAACAAAGCACGTACCCCAAAATGAATGCTAGTGTGCGCCTGTGCTAGTGTAGAATATTAGAGTGAATCTCAAAACAATCATAAAATCAAGATGATGTGGACCACAAGTACAAACAAGATATCAATCTTTTGAAAAATTTACTTCTAAATGGCTTCCACAAGGCATACAAGTAGTATTGGACTCTCAAGTCAAGCAATTTTTAAATTTTAAGCAATATAGTCCTCAAAAGATCAAAATCATAGCTAGATATAGACCAATCATAGAAATATCCCTCAAATACACAAGTCATGCTCAAAATTTTGAATTTAAAACTAACACTGCAAAGCACCATTCCCCCCAAACTTAAATGACACAATGTCCTCAATGTGCAAGAGAACAAAGGAAAGAGTATACCAGTGCAACTAAGGCATAGAATAATCGAGACTAAAGTATCCAAAGTGGGTGGCATGACCCTCCCAAACTCCAAAACTTGGGATGAACTGT